TACTATAATAAACTATATAGGGTAATAAAATATAAATATATATAATTATATAAGGAATATTAGTAATTTATATATAATATTATTAAACTTCTTTAATTATTCTAGCTTTAAGATTTCTCTAATATCTTTACCCTTTATAGCGATAATTACTATATTATTAATATTCTAGATATCCTTATAGTATTACTAGTTTTAAGCTTATTAAGTAATAGCTATATAATTAATAAGTCCTCTAAGTTCCTTTATTTTAATAATTATAATAATAACCTAAGTATAGAATTACTTAATTTCTTTATTATTATTATTTATCTCTTTATTACTATTAGGATTAGCCTAAATTAATATAATAAGGGCTAATAAGTAATTAATAAATAGAACCTACTAATAGTTATTACTAAGAATAGCCTAAATAGCTATTATATTTAATATTATTTAAGGTAATATAAGTAATCCTCTAAATAAGAGCTATTAATATATAATAAGAGGATATTTCCTAAGGGATAAAGTAGTTATATTAGTTTATATTAATAGAGGAGAATATTATATAACCTTAAAAGGTAATATAATATTATATTTAGTAATATACTTAAATTATTAAATATAATTAAGTTATATTAATAGCTAAGGTAGCTATTATATAAGAAAGTATAATAAGTATACTTTATATATTATCTAGTCTTTAAGTCGAATATAATTAAGTTAAGTTAAATCGCCGGTATTTAACTTATATGGTCGAGAGAAGTTAAATTAACTTTATTTGACTTATATATCTCCCTTCCCTATGATTAGGTAACGCGGTGGGGTTGGTTTCCTGCCCGGCGTTATTGCCCTCGATTATGTCATGGCCGTGATAAATATAATAAGAGGAGAGAAAAGAAAAACTTATAGAATTATATCTTTTTTTATTATAAATATATAATAAGTAATAGCTTAATAAGTTATTAATAATATAAGGAATTTAGGGGTCTTTATTAATATATCCTAAGTAATATATATAGAGAACCTTACTTAGATCTATTTTCTAGAAGAACTTAGAAGTATTATATATAAACTTTAAGAATATAGAGGTATAAGTAACTAAGAGAGATATTATTAAAAGCTTTATAATAGATAAATATATAAGTAATATTAGAATAAAAAGGAGAGCTAAAGAATTATAAGCGATTTAGGAAGATAAGATTAATAAGAATTATAGAGGTTATAGTAATATTATTATAATAAGTAATAGAATTATTATTATAAAAAAAGAAAGATAAAAGAGGGAAGATTATTATAAAATAGAAAACTCTAATTATAATAATAATAGCTATATTTAAGTTATTAATATTAAGTAATTAATAATATAAAGCGATTATTAAATTAATAATAATTAATTAATTATAAAGAAAAATAATAAATCTATAATAAAGATTATAATTATTATAAAGGATAAAATATAAAAGATATAGCAAATAATTAGTAATATATTATAAAAAATTATTAAAGCTTAAAATTATTAAAAAACTATTATATTTAGATATCTTTAGTATTAAATAAAGGGATAAAATAATTAGCTAGATAAGCTTAAGGGACTAAGCTCCCTAGAGAGGGGGTAATTATAAGAGTATTCGGGTTATATTAGCTATTACTAATAAGTTAGAGAATCCTCGGATTATTATATAGGCCTTAGGCTATATAAAACTCTTCTTATTAAAGGCTCGCGGAGGCTTAAGTAAATTAAAGTTATATTAATATATAAAACCTACCTTTTTATCTCTAATATTATCCTAATTATGCCTATCGGGCCTATACCTTTATAAAAGTCTATTAATAACTTAAGAGCTAAGTATTTATTTAAGGTATAGTAAATATTATATATATATATAAATATCTTATAATTATTAAGAAGGTATTATAATATAAAAATAAGTTTTATAATATAAGATTATTTTTTAAAATATAAAATTATCTTTAGTTAATTAGGATTAAAGGGTATTTTATAGGGAAGTTTTAAGTATATAATAGGGACTATATTAGGCTATAATAATTAGGCTATAATATTATTAACTAAGGAATTACCTTAGTTATAGCTAATAAAGTAATTAATATATCTAAATAGCTAGGTTATAATAGTAATTAAGGAGTTTTATTATAATATTAGTTATATTAATTATTTTATTAAAATTTCTCTTAATTCCTTTTAAAAATTAATAATTAATTTTAGAAAATAGCTATAAAGAAAAGGATTTTATTTTTAAAAGCCTTATAGCTTAAAGTTATATATATATCTTTTTTATAACCTTAATTTTATTAAAACCTTCTTTTTTAAAAATTATTAGCTAATTAAAGAAAACATTATTAGCTGCCTTATAGTTTATTAATATAAAAAAAATCTCTTATAAAGAAAAACTATTAATAGCTTAGCCGACGGTTTTTATAAGTAATAGGGCTACCCTGTAGAACTAGAAATATATTTAAGTCCTTGCTATGTTATACTATATCCCTTGCTCGGCGTGCCTATTAATATCTGCAAGCTACCTTACCACACCCTAACTAAAATTCTCATAACCCTGCCTAGTAATCTCAAAAGCAGAGACAAGATCCTTATTACGAGTGAAGTATCCAAGCCTAACGCAGGAGCATCGCCTCAGTTGTGACGAGAGAACGCGTTAATAGTATTATTATTGTTATTCTTAATAGTCCCACTAACCACTAAAGAAAAGGAAATTTAGTCATAGTGAAATAGAACATAGTCATGAACATAATGATGATGGTATTAAAACCTAACGCGGTGAAGTACTTTCATCATCAAGTCTTGAGACTATGACAAACAATCCTTGTCGAAAGGGTTCGTCCTATTACCTGTATCGGACAGATGACTGAAAAGAAATACGCCATGGTTAGTCTGAAGCAATGACGGTAAACAAAAGGTAAACCCACCAACCTATTCAGTGCCTTCAACACAGCAGCACCTCTTTCTACCCCAACCGCAACTCTGCATGTATTGGAATCCGCCGTAGCCATCACAGTGGTACTCGCATTGGCCGGACTCAAACCAACCGCACTCGCCTGGGTGATTGCAAACCTCGCGAGGTGAAACGAGGTTGGTGTCGTGAGGGAAAGGGGTGGCGAGAGCCCCAGCAACTAGGGCGGAGATGAAAGCGCCGACGGTGAACTTCATTTTGTCTTTTTGAAGGTGATGTTAATGGGGAAACTTTTCTGAAAGGAGATAGAGAAGGATATTTGTTTGTCTAACGAGTCCTACCGTGTACAATGAAAACCTGTGGCATTGAGCTACTTATACTCGCGAGACAAGAGTTTTGCCACCCAGGCGTATTGCTACTTGTAAATCGATATACAAGAACATGGCTATATGAGTCTACCAGTCTGCAGCCCGCCATAAAACATGCATTGATGGGCCAGTAGCTCTTCATCCGAGGTTTCGCGATGATTACGAGCCGATGTTGAGAAAGTGAGTTGGGATCGTCGTGGGGCTGAGCCCATTTCTGGCCCCCAATTCTCAAATGCCGGCCTGATCAGCGCGGGGTAACTATACTTTTAACTATTAGTTAACTTTCATGCTGCGGGACGCTCCTCATGGAATGTCTTCCCGCTCACATTAGCCAATAGTCGTCGGCCAGGTCAACCCTTGAGATCTATTCTTGTGACGATCGAGCTTGAGTTGCTCCGTCTGACATCGGAGAATGAAACAAATCCCTTAAGCGATCAATGCGAAATGATTCCACCTAATCATATCGTCGCCGGTTATTCCAGGCTTGAGGTTTCCCTTCGAATCCTTCATGACCGTCAATGCGTAAGAATTCAAGGATTCTCTATTCTCAGCTTTGCCATCCGACGTCAGTTCCGGTCGATCGCCCGACGATAGAACTAAAATGATCCACCAAGGGTTGTTCAGCTGCTTTCTGATACACCTGATAGGCTGATTCGGGCTTTGAGACCGGCCGTATTACAGAAGATTTTCTGTAAGATATTTGAAACACGGTAGGTTTCTTTTAAGTCATGTTTAGCATGACGCATCTAGAACCAAGTTTATAACGCCTCTCGAAATATAGAGGGCAATGCTCGGTAGCTCAGCCGCATGGCATATTGTCATGCCAAACCTCAGCGCGCGAATCATAAATATTTACCCACGCGCCCGCCAATGTCCCTCGGTCATCACCCTGCTAGCTACGCACACTTCTTATCATGCAACTCAGCAAATTTTTGCTCCTCCTTTTCCCTGGAATATCCATTGCCGAGGGGCTTGACCCTAGTTCTAGGCAGGATGGCTTTTTAAAGCTGGAGAAGAGAAAGGGTTGTAGTGGTAACCGGCTGAACACGGATGAGTGTCAGGGCAACAGGATCAGGGCATTTAACTCGTTCCACAACTGGTAAGTTGTAGTCTGACTGAGGAGCCTACTAAAGAATGGCCACTAACTCGCCGCCGCAGCCAATCTGCTGGTGGTCACTGTTGTGCTCGAGAAAAGACACGTGAATATGGACTGGATGTGAGAAAGGGGTTTGGCCGAGAAGATTGCGGATATTGCTACACAGGCTACTGCAAGTCTGTTTGATTTGGGGGTAGAAGTAGCCATCCATATGTTTATCACCTTGTTCAATACGTATCCTTGTGACACTAACGATCAGATAACTATTTGCTCTCTTTGGGTGCCCTTGTTTCTAGGATCTCTGGTTTCCATATTCGGCCTCAAACACCCCTGTAGCGTCTACCTCCCCCAGCATCTGTGACGTTGTAACAATTAGGGAGAATATGCCATTGACGCATGCATGGATTTCTTCCTCCTACTTTGGGTCTGAGTCTCCTGCCTGGTTGCCGAGGCCGAGTAAAATTTACCTTGCTTAGAAATGAGATTGTCAGGGCAGATGCAGTCAAAGAGATGGCCCCGTCCGGTCAAGTGTTTCGACAAAAGTCTAAACTTAGTTAGATTATGACTCATGGCCGGATTGTTCAATATCTTCAGTACGTCCATTCTTGCGCAGTATGCAAGCTGACCCCAGACTCAAATTCCATAAGGCTTGTGGCTATTCACACAATCGACAATAGTCGTCTCAAACTCCCTCCACTCAATCCCCAAAAACCTCTTCGTCTCGGAATTGTCAACCCTGTACACTTGATCCGCAGGCGCAAGGCCACCTCCGGGAACATCCAGGCCGGGCAGCTTCTCCCTCAGCTCAGGAAAATGCTTCCACGCAATATCCGCAATCATTCTATTGCCAAACCGCCCGCCGAGAGGCATCAGTCTCCTGCCCCCAGCGTCAGGCTTCTCCATGCCGAAAATATGCGTCAGGGCAAGGTCTCGGACATCGATCCAGTAGACAGCCGCGAGGTAGGCATCTGGGATGCCTTCTTTCCACTTGCCTTGGACCAGGTCAACCATGCGCGAGTTGGAAGTATTGACCTTGTCCAGAGACGGGAGCTGGTGCTTGATTGGGCCAAGAACTAAGGATGGACAGACGGTGACGAGATCAAATGACGTCTTGTTCGAGGCGACAAAGTCCCAGGCAGCGCGTTCGGCAAACTTTTTACTCACGCGGTATGCTGTGGCTCTGCTGCCGTTCACTTGGTCCATTGTGACAGGATTCCAGTCTTTTTCGGTGAAGACAGCCGAGGGGTCCTCAAGGCGATCTTCGTCCAAAACAGAGGCGAATGAAGACGTCATGACGATGCGCTTGATGGTTGGGGCGTAGCGATGGACAGCTTCGAAGAGCCAGGTCGTGCCATAGACAGCAGGGTCAACCAGTTCTTTCTTGGCATCAACTAGGAGGTGTTAGTCTCTAGTCGCTTGAAAGTCTCCTCAAAGATGCGTAGTAAACTTGCCGAAATCATAAAAGAATGGCGATGCAATGTGCAGTACCGCCTCAAGACCCTCGATCTGCGCCGCCTCGTCAAAGGCACCCTTGACCACCATATCGGGCACAATCACAAACTCGAGATAATCTTGGTATGTGTACTTGTGGGCGTCGCGAACAACCTGCTCTTCTTCCTTTGACCGAACCGTGGTGACGACCTTGTGGCCGCGCTCAAGGAGCTGGCTGATGATGTGGGCTAGACACAAAGGCTCGTTAGTGAGTGACCTCGGCGTACTCTAGATAAAAGTGATGGAGTCGTAGTTTCTTACTGGCGACAAAGCCGGCACCACCTAGTGTCCTGTTAGTAGCTGTATGCCTGCGTATGGTGGAGTTGACTGTTACCGGTGAGAAGGACCTTGGTCATTGTACTGATTTGGAGCCGTCGCTATTCGCAAAGCTTCAATCGAGTCGTAGATTTCGAGTTCTAGTAAAGTAAAAGGAGGAATTGTTTTGCTGACTTGGGGTATTAAGTAGTAGTTCAGCCAAGAGTCTTCCGATTCTGACGCTCCCCGCAATATCACATCGAGTAGCACACCCGGAACCCCAGTCCGACGCCTCACCTAGGCCTTGCTACGGAATCTCAATCCGCACACGGAAGGGCATCTCGTGGCTGCACTGTAACGTTGATCTGTCCAACAAGCGGATACGGAGATGCTTGTGTCACTGTGGAGGAGGTGGCTAAGTTGCCAGGTTGGGATTAGTCTGACAATATGCCACCTGCAGGGCGCACGCCTTCTTGCGACTACGGTGGATCTATGTCTTTGAGGCAGCCAATCATATCGACAGGGCTAGTTGAAACTATGAATATGCCTGCAGCTTGGCTTCAACTTTAGTCTTCTTGTCAAAGGAAAAGTCTTTAAAAAGTCTCTTCAGTCAGCGGATCTCTCTTCTCTCTTGCTCTCTTACTTGAAACGATTATTCTTGCACGATATTAATCATTATAATAACCCCTTCCCAGAGGCAGAGAAGCCAGCCACCACACCAAAGAACACAGTTTTGAACATCAGCAAGCTTCCACATCATGTCTACAGAATCAAAACACCCAGGCGAACTATCTCTCTCCAAACTCCTCGCCACACTGACGACAAAACTACACCCAAAAATCTATGTCTTTGCCGTCATCAAGGACGAATCCAAGCTGCCGCCCTTCTCCGAGGTGGACATGCTGTTCCGCGAAGCCGACTCAGAAGGCGTCACCGTCATCGCATCTCGCCAATACGCAGAAGCCCAAGGCATAGAATACTTCTTCCCCTGCAGGAAGATGACGCTCGACGTCACGTCTAGCCTTGAAGCCGTTGGGTTCATTGCTGTTGTGGCTACGCGACTTGCTGCAGGTGGCATGGGGGTGAACCCCGTGAGCGGCTTCTACCATGATCACCTCTACGTGCCCGATGGAAAAGAGGAGGATGCGGTTAGGATTATAGCCGAGTTGGCCGAAGAGAAGAAGCGGGAAACTGGAATTAATTAGGGTTGACCAAGAGATGACTCGACCACCTTGCCGTTACTGCGCCCAAAACACACGTATCGCCATCTGCAACATCGAGACGAACCACCCGATCCAATCCGGAGACATTTTTACAGTCAGACGAGCACTGGATAAGGTGCCCTACTTCAAGGCCATGGCTGACCTTCAATTCGCCATGATTACGCCAATCACCAGTTTGAGACCAGGGGCTAGAGGGCGTTTGCAACCGGCAGGTGATTCAAATATGAACTACAAATAGCAATCCCTGGAGCTAAGAAATATATTGGCTCTCATATTTGTCAAAACCATCCTTTCCCGCATATGAGGTAGCTAGTCCAGTGACGACTATCAGGCCTAGGCAAGCATATGATCCAACTAAGCCAACTTGATGCTTGACTCCCTTATGCCTAGCAGTATCCCGTGCACAAATAAATACGCATATTCGGAAAAAAATAAAGTCTACAAAGCTTTCCACTCTCGAGATCACCTATCGTGACAAAGTCAAAGAAAGACCACTCATTGCCGAGATCCAACGTTACACCCGTGACTAGACATTGATGTGAGGGCGATCAATCACGTTGTTTTGTCGTGTGTAATGTTCACTTGACTTCTATTACTAGAGATCCACCTGAAAACAAGTGCCACTCATGCTGAATTGAAGGCTGTGCAATTAGAAAGTTGGCTGTGGTTCTGACTGAGCCTGATCTGCCAAAAGTTGAATTAAAGCCTCAATGTGTACCTCGCAGTTCACAGCACAATATCAGCTATTGGCCGAGAATCTGCCACGCTGTTCTTCCAGCAATAGTGGGGGTATCTTATAAATATAGGGGTCACACCCTCGTCCACGTCAACAGCGTAGAATCTATTATCTATTATGGGAAATCGGCTAAGGACCAGTACTCGTCAGTACGCTGCATCAAGAAGACATTATGGCCATGATGAAAAGTAGACTGTGTTCTTTATTCCTGTGCCTGCATCTGGACGGTGCGTATTTTTGATATCGCAGCATCGCATGATTACATAGTAATAATGCAAGGTTACATCGGTGTCTGCCCTGCCGTGAGATGAAACGTTGGCCTGCTTAACGTCTCATAAAGTCCACCTTCTTAGTATCTCCCAACCTGGGTAAACCTGGTCTTCCTCAAACGCCTCGTTATTCATTCTTGCCAGCGCTCTCCGGGAGGCCAGCCATGTGTGTCTATTGTTATCAATGCCAACCTCGTCGGAATGGGCCATGACATTGTTCAACCAAGCATCACAGCATCTCTCTTGCTCATCCCTCAATACCTTAGCCTCCCGCCTTAGATTCTCGAGGGCTGCCTCCTCTCGACCTAGTAGTTTCAGCACGAAACGTACGGCAACGTTTAACTTAACGCGGACGGCTGTTTCCTCTAAGTCGCCGCGATAGTCTTCTCGATTGACCGGCAAAGCTAGACCCGCGTCAAATAAGGGCAAGAAGCTGATGGGAGAGTGAAGATGCGCCTCATCACCTGTCTTGACTAGGAGCACAGTGCAGCGTGACAAGTCAAGCTCAGTCTCAGCTTCCTTATAGTAGATGCCTTTCAGATGTTCCAGGTGTCTTGGCGGGGGATCTTCTGCTAGAGCCTGTCTATCAACAACGATGTATAGCGCACGGAATAGATGACGCATAATATGGCCGTGATCTCGCCACGACTGTATCTTCCTGCTAGGCATCGGGCCCCACAAAGGTGGCGCTGACGTTTCTGATGGTCTGTTTGGATAGAAATCAACAAGCTGGTCCATTTTAGTCGATAGTTGTTCGCAAAGATGGTGGTGGAATATTGAGAGCTGTTCCAAATTCTGGGGCCCGCTGTTGCTGTTGCTGATGTGTGCTGCTTTGGCGAAGAAGCTATCGCGCTGAAAGATTGGCCGTATATTGTGCAGATGTAGCCACTCCCGGTAAATATAGCAACCAATCTTTCGACTATAAAAATCGCTAACGGACATTGGTTCGAAGTATACCATGACCTCCTTGTTTAAGAACTGATGAGCGTCTGCTGGATTAATAAAGTGTTGGGGCGGACGGCGCTCATCAATACGTGTCATGCTGGCATCTCTGCGCCAGAATAACTTATAGTCATGCTCGTGTCGTAGGTTCTGAGCAGTTTCTTCGAAAAAGAGTCTTCGTAACTCTTTGCGGATGAGGTCAGGCATTTCGTTTGGCAAGAAGTGCAGCGATTGTATCTGGAGACGCAGATACCTCGAATCATAGCCAATGCCCTCTTGCCGACGGGTTTTGGCCGAGCGATAGTGTGTCGCCATCGTTGGCCATCCTGTATGGAGACAGAACGCAAAAAGAATAGAATGGCCTCAGCACGACCTCTCGTATTACCGTAGTCGACATGTCGTCTGAAGGCTTGAAAGATGTGAAGAGTCCAAGAGGGGGACAGGCCTCAACTCACCTTTATACCCTGCGTTGCAGGTGTAATGAGTCACATGCGCACTGAGGGGTCAAGCTTTATGCCAAACAACGTACTTGTACAGCGGTACTTCCTTGATGACACTATTGTCCATCCGGAACGAGGCTTGTCTTAGGTTCTGCACCTTTTTGTTGAGTCATAGCTCTCTTTTCGATAACCATGCACCTGGCCGTAGGAAAACTTGAGACACCAGAATATTAACATTTGGCAAAGAGTGCTCACATAATGACCTAGTTATATGCTAAACAAGAGATAAAAATAGAGAATAGTATCCTAAGTCTTTGAGTTTTTTTTTCTTTAGGGATCTTTATATGCCTCAGAAAATAGAAATCATTTACTCGTTATCTCATGTTTTTCTGCGACCGCGTGCCCTGTTAATTTCCTCCGAAAACAACCTTGATTTTTCTGACTCATTTATTAGCTGATCCTGCATGCCCCCTGTGCATGCTCCAAAGTGTTGGAGTTCTCCTGTATGGAGTGTGCCCTCAGGGTGGTCTCGTGAGTTTTCCTATGGCCTTGGCGCTAACTCATGCCCCGACAGGAGGGGTTTGATTCCAGCCGCTGTATCAGCCACTCTCTCAAAGAAAATCTTCAATGGAGTATTGTATCGTCGTTCTTCTCGCCCCGCCGGTCCCCAGTCCCGCATACACATATCCAAGTCTATAAACCTAACGCACCAAACCTCCGCCAAAAATCCAGCATTTAAACCGTTATCACCAGAGATCGACATGCCCAACGCTCCGCCAACACCATCGCCCGTGCCGCCAAGATGATGCAGGGGTATGGGATGTGCTGTTGGTGACATGGGCGTCTTTCTCCATGGCCCTGTTTGCCGAGCTGGCCTCACGTACAAGTGATATGATTCCCAGCGGAAATATTAGCAGTGTAATATTTACTAAATGCTAATGGATCCAATCACGTTAGATTACTCAATGGTCCAATCACCGTAAAAGTCGGGATGAATATAAAGTTGGCCCAGCTCATCTTCCCTCCAGTTCGTCCTGTCAACTCTCTCACCCCCAATGGTCCAGTTCCGTATCGCAATGCCGAGCGTAAGGTTCTCCTGGCCGGGAGTATAGTTATTCACGTCCCCGGCATCCATACCTACAACACTACGACCAAGCCTTACAGCAGTATTGTTGTGCATCTTCTCGAATCGCACGTTCTGAATGTCCAGCTCGAAATTCTGCAGGGGTGCTATCGTCATGAGAGCTGCGCAGATTCCCTCACAGACGACATCGTTGATGCGTAGCGACATCTTGAAGGAAGGGTTGATGTCCTTGGGGTCAGCGTAGATTGGTGACGCACCCAGAATGGCCGACGGGACATATGCATTGGGCTGGATCCATCGGTTGTGGATGACGCGGACCTTGTTTACCGACACGTCGTCGACGCTTCGTGGCTTCCACCCCATCTGGATGACTGCGTTGTTTCGGGCCTTCCAGATGGTGAGTCCATCGAGCTGAGCGCCAGAATGGTAAAGCTTGATGGCATCATCGTTGACATGCCAGAAAACGTCACGGACGGTGCCCTTATACATCTGTGTGCCGTCGGTTTGGAAGTAGAAGGCCCCGACCTGCTTGTAGTCCCGGATGTGGGCGCTGACCTTGTTGTCCTCCTCGTGCGGTGTGTGATGCATGGGGTGGAGGTCCATGGTGTTGAAGGGAGGCGAGTTGAGCGTCGGCCCTACGCAGTGCCATGTCTGGTTGTCCATGACAGATTGGTGCCAGAACATGCGCAGGCTGTATCGGTCGTCTTTGACTGCAACGTAGTCTTGAATGGTGTTTGCCATGTAGGCGTAATTCTCTCCAGACACCACACCGTTGCCAATGGTGTAAAAGTTCGCGCGGCGGGTGGTGTATTCAAACGCAGCCTTGACGTATGATCCGGGCTCGAAGTAGACATAATGCGTGTTTGAGTGAAGCTTGATGTGGTCCTTGCCCAGGATGCCATCCTTCTCCATCCAGTAGATACCGGCCTCGAAGTATAGCGTGGGCTTTGAACCAAAGCTCTGCTGTGTTAAGCTACCAGGACTTATCACCTGTGTGTCTGGCGACGTCTTTGACGGGATGAGATCGTCTGGTATGATGGGACTGGCGAAGATGAGGAGTGCATTCCTAGGTTCCTCGCTGACGACGATGCCACCTTCAGACACGTATTCAGTTCCGTCTGATCGGTAGGTATATAGATCGTTCTGAAATTCGACTGAAAATCGGTTGCCGGAGTCTCGGTATGGGATTCGGATCTCGATTGTATCCGCGCTGGGGCTGATGGCAACCAAGTCTAGGTCTACCGGTCGAATGACCACGTTGGATGCTGGGCCGAGCGGAGACCCATCTGATGACACAATTCGAACATCGACATCCCGGCCGTACTGGAACTGGGACCATGCCATGTTGATCCCCACATCGACTTCAACAGTTATCCCATCGCCATCGGTGAGATTGTACTCCTGGCCAGGTTGAGCAGGGTCAAACATCTTGCCGTTTCCATTGCGAGGGATCGACTCATAAACAAATGAGCGCTGAAACCTGTCCTCTCCTGCTGGAGAAACAAACACATTGTATCTGCGTGAGCGTCTAACCTCATCAGGCGCTGTAGCTTTGTTGGTGTTGACGGAGAACTTGTCATGCCACCATGTCGTCAAACCAGGAACGCTTGATTCGGCGGCAGCCATTTGCATCCCATGAAGGAGCAGGCTGGCAGAGAAAAAAGATAGCTGCATGAGAGAACAATGTTGTGGATGGAATGATTAACTCCTGGATAGTTTTCAAGTTACCAGGGCGATATTGGGTCTCGTTATGAATGTTTCATGCGACGGCGGTGATGTCACTGTGTTCCAGGGGGGATTGCACTCGGACAATTACCCGTTTTGGAAAATCACCGCATTCACGTGAGTTGATGGGCCATTTGCTCTGGAAGGGATAGTCTGGTCTTGGGAACGAGGAGGGCTTGGCAGTCGGTAATTGTCGGCATTATACGGATAGAAGCAGTGGCTGTGATATGATTTGACTGGCTTAGACAGACTTCTACCAGGTCAAAGTCTTGTCATCGGCCTCCTCACATTCATCCCCGCGAGGTCCCAGCACGCCTACCCCTGCTCTCTGGATGAGCAATGCCGTGGCTCTCTCCGCTAAAGGGCCGAGATAACGAGACTCCTCGTTCCTAAAGTTGGACAGAAGACACATAAACTCGTGGAGGAGATTCGGAATAGAGTTGATGTCCCCGACAAGACAATCTGGTTCCAAGTTGGGAACCAGGTCGCACAGAAAGCCGGCGATCACGGAAATCTTCTGCTCCTAACCAGGGACGCATAGTCAGCCCCAGCACTGATGGTTGTGTTGTCACTGGTTAGAATACGTACCATTCCGATGCCGTGAGACTCGAGAGAGTCCAGACGAGTGGCGTTGAAGCAAAGTAGCAAGCTCCGGGCAGCGACGCTCAGGGATATGACCTCGTCGGCCCCATGGGTTTGCGTGAATTGGCTCCGAAGCTGGCACACGAGGGTTCGAAGCCAGCATTGTGTAACGGCGACATCTACTCGCTGCGTCTCGTCGACCACTGACGTGTGTGAATCGCCGAGAAGTGCTCAGGGTCTAGAAGCTTGTCATTACCCACCCTTGGTGATTGCTCACTCCACCAAGACACGAAATCTGTATCAATTCTGGCAAAGAGTCTGGCCAACGTTATGAAACCTGTCAATGTCGGTTCGTCGCAGCCATTGTAGATCTTGGGAAGAGAAATGGAAGCTCTCAGCTGGCATGTAGTTCGGTGCTGGAGGCAATATGCTCTGGGTCGGATCAGTAACCCAAAGCCACCCCAGCGTGCAGCTCTCACCTCTCTGTAATGAATAACAACCAGTATAGGCGCCTTCTTCGTTCATTTACTTCCAAGTCAGGGTCGTTGTAGGACTCCTCACGATCTAGTCCCATTGCCAGAGCAAATCCCATCGCTTCCCGCAAGTAGTACCAGGCTTGCTTGCTTTTATTGCGGTTCCCATAATAGGAAAAGATGAAGAATGACTCTAGAATCGTCCATTCGTCCGCATCCTCGATGAAATCCAAATCTTGGCGCCCTTTCATGCACTGATGGATGTACTTGTCCGCCAACTGTGCAGAAGGCTGCTCGCCCTCGCTGGCGGCAGAAAGATTGAGCTGGACGATGACAGCTGCAGACATTGCGGCAAAGAACCGGGCCATACTCCGAGGTACCGCGTCTCGCGGCAAGCCGAGTGTGTTCAGAAGGCATCCAGGATCCAGGACGGGGAATACGGGATAGAGGCGTAAGAGAAACACCCTGGTCCAGTGGGCAAATTCTGATAGGGGATATTGGGTCATGCCATCTTGGTCTGGAACTTGCGGGCCCAGGGCGGGCTGGCTCGACAGCGTACTCACTGTCGTTAGAGCCAACGTAGTTTCTGACGTTGGCGTATTCTCAGCAGGCGTTGGCGGAACAAACAGCCCGTAGTTTCCCTCCGAGAGTCCATCAGCCTCGGCCCAACTGGGTGAGGTAGTAGCATTGTCTAGTGTTAGCGGTGCCGTGGTGATGACGTCTATACCTTGGCTGGGAACATGGTCGACTGCGCAGCTGGGAGTGGACAGCCAGTTTTTGGGCGATGAGGTCGGAATTGGGTCGAGGAAAGTGTCCTGGCTTTGCCTAACAGGCCGGCGGGTTTTCCGAGGGGGGCGACCTCTGCGCCGAGGTAGAGATTCGTAAGAACAAGTTGCCTGGATGGCCCGGCAGACCCCGCACGGCCTACACCTGTCGCATTTCATCTTGCGTCGCTTGCAGTGGTCGCAGGCTTGACCAGGAGTTGGCTCAAGGTTGCTGTAGCCATCCTGCTGGGAGGTCATCTTGAATACAAACATAGTGCCTGATGCCGCAAGTGCGAGGGATGGAGGCGTATGGGGTGCTAGCGTACCTGTGCTGGAGAACCGTCCACTTTAAGTAAAAGCCCGGCTGTAGCTCCTGTGGCCCCAGGCGTTGCCTAGAGCCCCTAGCCTCTTCAGCTGAACTGATCCCCGCGCTAGGTATGTACTCCGCAACATTATGTGGCGGGGTTGGCGGGGATGTTCGGGGTTGCCCGCCACATCACATCACATTACTCTACTGCAATGAGATGCCTCGGGTGTCTGGGCGTTCTATCACGCGGATAACATACGTGACTATAGTGAGTGTCTACCTTTGCAAAAAGAGTTCTCGGGTGTCAAGTGTCTAAAATACTCCTACGGTAGCGACAACAATTGCCTCAAACGCCCGGAAATTGATAAACCCCTCCCCATCAACCGACGGAAGGGCCGTGTCATATGTTGAGAGAACAGTCTGGCCTATGTCACTGCTCAGGAAGGCCCTCTCCGAGACAGGAAGCTGCCACCGCTGTTCCTCATCTGTGAAGTTGATCATGACTATGGCATGTGCGTCGGTAGTCTCGCAGTGGCGGGTGTAGCTCATTATGGCCTCATTCTCACCATCGTGCGCCTCAAAAGTTCCGTAGACCAGGACGTCCCGTAGCTTCTTTCGCAGTGAGATCCCGCGTCGCCAGTAGTTAAGGACGCTGTCGGGCTGAGCCTGCTGATTCCTGGCATTGCACCGGGTGACATCCTCGTTGACCTTCATCCAGGGAGTACCTGTGGTGAAGCCGGCATTTCTAGTCGTGTCCCACTTGCAATGTACGTGTTAGCAAATATTCCTCAGGGGTGCTGGAAGCAGGGCGCGTACCTGCACGGGAGATCGCGCATGGTCCCTAGCTTTCAATCTGATTTCTGTCCAGATTTCATCCAGAGCCTTCTCATCACCCCCAGTCGCCTTCAATGCCCTATGGTCCAAAAGTTAGCCTCAACTCAAACTCAGAATATTTGTCTTTCCTCCTAGGACTCACTCTTGCAGAAAGTTCAGAGACTCAATATCTTTGTACTCTTCGATGCCCCAGGCTGGTGGCAAATTCGCCATTCCCAGCTCCTGACCTTGGTAGACGAAGAGAGTCCCCCCCAAGGTGCAAAGACAGGTTGCCAGCATCTTGGCGGCCAACTCACGGTGTTCGGGCCTGTGTTTGGTATATCGCGAGACTGATCGGGCCTGGTCGTGATTCTCTAGGAAGATGGCGTTCCACCCACCCACCTTGTGGGCAAAGGTCTGCCATTTTTCAATGATGCCTTTCAACTCGGGCAACTTCCAGTCCTTCCTGTAGAACTTTCCCTTGTTAGAAACATCTATGTCACAACTAGAAGGGCATCTGTCAGTTATGTTGGGTGAAGCTTCATGCGGGACGACGTACATGTCGAATTGGAAAATAGTATGGAGCTCCTTCCTGTCCGATGCCACAACCATAGCTACTTGATCGTCTTCTTTGACGCCTGGCATCTCTCCGACGCTGAAAGCTCCGTATCTGTCCAGGAGCTGTCGCAGGCCCCTAAGGTGCTCGTGTAGTCGCGGTCCGTTGCAGAATAATTTGATCGCTGACTGCCACGGAGCGGCAGGGTCTGTGATCTCGGCATCTGGCAGGCCGGGCTCCTTGGATATGAAGTTGATTACATCCATGCGGAACCCGTCCACGCCCTTCTTGAGCCAAAATTCCATGACTTCGTGGACCTCGCGGACGACGGCGGGATTCTCCCAGTTGAGATCTGGCTGTTCGGGGGCGAAGAGATGTAGATAATACTCATCTGTGACCTCATCGTAGGTCCAAGCGCTGCCTAGAAGGAATGAGTTTCCAAAAGAATAAGAAAAGAGTAAGTCATGCTAAGGCTCTCACCGCCAAAAGCTGCTGCCCAGTTATTCGGGGGCTGTCTGTTCCCAGAGGCATCGAATCTTGGCTTCCGCCAGATATACCAGTCTCTCCACTCGTTATCCCGTGAGGCCCTGGACTTTTTGAACCATCCATGCTGGTCGGAGCTATGGTTCACCACGAGGTCCAAGATGCACCGCATACCGCGCTTGTGGAGACCTTGGATGAGCTCCTGGACATCTTCAACGGTGCCGTAGGGAGGATGTATGGCTCGATAATCCGAAATATCATACCCCATATCGACTTGGGGGGATGCAAAGACTACGAAGGTACCTCTTGTGTCAGTCACCTTCCGCACATTCTAGGCAGTCAGTTTGGAAGGTTGGGCTCACTTGGGCAAAGCCATACAGCGTCCACCCCGAGATTTTGGAGGTAGTCTAGCTTCTCAATGATGCCTTGAATGTCTCCTAGGCCGTCTCCATCGCTGTCTTTGAAAGACGACGGGTATATCTGGTAGATGGTAGCTTCCTTCCACCATTGTCGGTGGGAGGGCTGTGGATTCTTGGTCGAGGCAACGGTTATGTCGAACTTGAGCTCTATTACCGCGGTAAGTCCAAGAGAAATGAGAAGCCTACTTGAAGATGGGTGTTGTTCGAGACCATGTATTGACTTGTCAGTGGCCTGATTAGATCCCATAGCCAGAACCCCGCCCTGGGCCATTACTCAAAGAGGTAAATGGCCGCAAGTACCAATTGACGACTGGCCTGAAAACCCCATGGCGAGTTGAGCCAATAAGGTGCCCTAGTTGCGCATTAGACTACTGCTTGACACTTTGACTTGATTCCCCAATCAGTTAGGCCGTGAGGTCGGTGGGAGATCGATGTGGAGGAAACTGGGGCAACTTCGTTTCCCCGTGGGGCATGGTATCTTGGTATGGTTTGAATCGGGGATCGAGAGGCTCCATTGATGGCTTCATAATGGCTGTTCCCTCCAAGTATAAGAAGGAAAGGTCTTTCCTTTCTACGGGGACTTAACCCACCACCATTCAACTCTTCATCCCGACAGAGATCTATACCTTAATTCTTCCAAGATGGATTCTGAGAAACAGAACTCCCCCGTTGCCGAGACGGCCGAGTTCAACGGTGAAAATGAAAATGCGACAATGCTAGCCATGCGGCTAGAACGCGAAATGACGGTCCGTCAGGCCATACGCTTCTGGCCCAAGGCAATCTTCTTCTCTTTCATCGTGTCTCTCGCCATTATTATGGAGGTTAGTCTTCACATTCCTGCTAGCCAGATCCTCTGCTGACAATGTTGTAGGGCTACGATACAAACTTAATGTCCAACTTCTACCCCTACCCTTCTTTCCAGGAACGCTTTGGTGACGAGATTGACAAGAATGGCGACCCAATAATCAGCGCCCAATGGCAGACCATCATCAGCAATTCGGGACAGGTACAGTTTGGCCCCCTTCCGTGTTTCTGGGCTTGAGCCCTAACCGCGCCGTATGCATAGGCTGGGTCTATTCTAGGTCTCATTGTCAACGGGTGGGTCACCGAGCGCATCGGCTATCGCTGGACGATGCAGGGTGCCATGGTCCTCATGATTGGGGCCATCTTTATCCCCTTCTTCTCCACTGGCCTCCCCATGTTCGTGGCAGCAGCCGTATGCCAGTCAATCCCGTGGGGAGTTTTTCAAACTCTTGCTGTTACATATGCTGCAGATATCTGTCCTCTGACTCTCCGGCACTACATGACGTCTTGGGTATGTTTGACTTGACTTGCCGCTCTTCAGACTAGATTGCTCATAGGAGACAGATCAACATTTGCTGGGCCATCGGCCAGCTCATCTCCATTGGCATTCTGAACGGGCTTCTATCTCGTACTGACGAGTGGTCGTATCGAATTCCATTCGCTCTGCAATGGGTACGTGTTCCATGCACAGCTCCTTTTCCACCGGACGAGTACTAACTGACTCAGATCTGGCCGATCCCCATCATGATTGGGACTTACCTCGCCCCCGAAAGCCCTTGGTGGCTGGTCAGACACGGCCGATATCAAGACGCAAAGCAAGCTGTCGAGAAGATGATTACACGTCAGCCAGATATCAACTTCGATGTTGACGCGTACGTGGAGATGATGTGTGTCACAACCCAGTTCGAACGAGAGAAGAGCGCAGGGGCACGGTACTTTGACTGCTTCCGCGGTACCAACTTGTAAGTGGCTCATTCATAAGAGGCAGACCTCCAGAAGCTGACCCAGTATTGCAAGACGCCGTACTGAGATTGCCTGCATGGCTTGGCTCACCCAGGCGTTTGCCGGCACCCCCTTTATGGGTTTCGGAGTCCAATTTATGATAGAGGCCGGGCTGTCGAGCCGCCATGGTTTCGCCATGAACCTTGCCCAAACCGGCTTGGGCCTCATCGGATGCATGGTCGCCATGTGGGTTCTGACACGATTCGGACGCCGAACAATCTACCTGGCCGGTCTCAGCTTTGCCGTTGTTGACCTGGTGATTATCGGGTCACTCGGAATCCCAAAAGCGTCTTCAGGTACGTCTTGGGCTGTTGGCGCTCTCATGGTGGCCATGGTGGTGTTCTACCAGATCACCATCGGCCCAGCCTGCTTCACAATCGTAGCCGAGATGCCTTCCACCCAGCTCCGCTCCAAGACAGTCGCGTTTGCGCGCGCCTGCTACAACGCGGGAGGGTTCATCACCAACGTTCTCATGCCACGAATGATTGGCCGGAACGCCTGGAACTGGGGCGCAAAGGGTGGCTATTTTTGGGCGGGGGTTGCTGGCCTGTTCCTTGCTTGGACATATTTCCGGCTGCCTGAAGCCCGCGGGTTGACGTACTCGGAGCTTGATCTCTTGTTCGAACACAAGACTAGAACCCGGGGCTTCTCGCAGGAGGCAGCCGACTTGTTGAAGCCAGATCTGGAGGAGAGCTCGGGCAAGACTGTTGAGTAACGTGGACGACGATAGCAACCAGCTTGGCTTCATATCCAAGACATTCACACTTCAAGCATGGGAGTTATTTTTATGACTTCTTGCTTATAAATGGCTTTCATTTAGTAAATAGCAAAGTAATGTCAATTAAGACAAAACGCAGGTGCATAGATCTTTAAATCAGTAGTATTCTTCCCGTTAACCCGGGCATTTCTCTGTCGAAGCAGTAAAGACAAGCAAAATCCCCATAAGCTGCTTAGCTGCTAAAGAGATAAGCTTTAAATAACTCGTCCAAGTCTTTTCCATTAGTGATGGCAATCTCGGCCGTGAGGTCATGGGGTGCTGTGGGCCTAGATACCTCCTCCGGAAGCGGGTAAGGATGCGATACGGCCCCTGTAGATTACAGAACAGAGATCAGTGGCCATGGCAACAAGGCTCCCCACTCTTGGTAATTCCGGATGGTTAATTCTGAGGCGGGATCTTTATGTGCGGTGATATTTCATTTTTGTTTGTCCCTTATTAAGATATTCTATTTCTGTTTGCAGAGCTCCGACGCTGGCAACGGTATAGGTCAAGCCGCGCAACCAACATTATGATGGTCGATGTGAGGGAGCTGACCATCCCCCAAGCACGAGCTGGGATCAAGGCCGGGCGCTTTACGGCCAAAGAGTTAACCGCTGCCTTTTTGGAACGCATCGATAAGCTGGATAAAGGCGGACCAAACATCAACTCAACGCTTGCCATATCAACAACGGTCCTTGCAGAGGCGGAAGAACTGGACAGATACTTTGAGCAGAATGGAAAGCTCAAAGGCAGGCTCCACGGTATCCCCATACTTGTCAAAGATCAGGTAAAACAATCTGACACCTTGCTTGTTCCTCACTCACCCAGTTCACTATCTCTCAGGCCGATGTCAAGGGCTTGGTATCAACATACGGATCGGCAGTTGCAAAGCATAACGTGGCTGATCAAGATGCTACCATCATTACGAAGCTCAAAGAGGCCGGCGCTCTGATCCTTGGAAAAACAACCATGGCTGAGTGGGCAACAGCTTGGTTCAGTGCCAATGGCGCCACCAACTACACCTTCACAAAGAACCCCTATAATCTCTCCCATGATGTTGGTGCATCTTCTGGGGGGTCTGGCGCAGCTGTTGCCGCAAGCCTTGCCATCTGCGCTGTGGGCGAAGACACTGGGGGGTCTATTCGAGTTCCATCGTCCTTTTGCAATCTGGTCGGCATTCGCACGACACCTGGGCTTGTCTCCCGTCATGGCTTCTGTCCTCTGATCAAGAGCCAGGATGCCCCGGGCCCCATGGCCAAGACGGTAACAGACTGTGCTTTGCTATTGGACTGCATGGCCGGTTTTGATCCCAATGACGAGTATACCGCCTATGCGGCACGTTCGGCTTCCCTGGGGCTACCTAAGGGAGGAAGTTACGCAGCCAATCTCGATGCCAAGATTATAAAATCAGCTAGAATTGGTGTTGTCCGACAGCTTTTTGGCAAAGATACAGACCCTCACTGCCGCACGGTCAATGCTGTAATCAAATCATCCGTGGGAAAATTAGAAGAGGCGGGCACTACATTTATCGACATCCATATCGATAACCTTGAGTACTACTTGGACTTTGGCCAGATTTACTTTCAGACATCACGACATGACATCAACACATTCCTCGCCACCAAGCCTCACCTTCCCCAGGACATAGCAAGCATACTGCCAGAAAAGGCTGAAAAGTCTTTTCTGCAAATGATTTGCTCGGTCGCTCACGGACCCAAGAACCCATCGAAAGACCCAACGTACGCCGACCGGCTTCTTCTACGCGACGAGTTCAGGAGAAAGATCAATGTTCTGATTACAACCAACAACCTGAATGCCTTGGTCTTTCCCGATGTGCAGGTACCTCCGCCTCGGATTTCCGACGCAGCGGAAGAGCGGTTCATCATCAACGGTGTCGAGGACTTCCCCACCAATACATTCCTAGCTAGTATCGCCCGGCTGCCGGCTATCTCCGTACCTGCAGGACTCACAGAGGATGGACTTCCTGTCGGCATGGAACTGGTAGGATTGGAGTACCAGGAGCAGCACTTGTTGGAATTAGCGTATGGGGTGGAGAGTCTAGTCCAAGCAAGAACATGCCCTCCTGAGCCATTTGATGTTTAGATTAGACAGTAGATAACAGTCACAAGAACACTTTTTTTTCATTGTTATATTTATACGCAACTAATATTTACTTGGGTTTGATTAGAGGTTGATTGAAACATTCCCTCTTTAAGCAAAAAGTCGAGATCGGTCACTACGACACGGTGGCAGGGAACCAGTCCCAGAGTCTTCTTGATAGTGTAGAGCCCCAGACTGACTCATGGATGGTAGAGGAAGCTAAGTTGAGTTGTCAGATGTTATCGTTCCCTGGATAAAAGTACGGGAACAATCTCGGCCGAGACGAGCAACCTGTACTTCCCCAGCGCACTAGGCACCCTGCCCGGATTGGCTTGATGTCAGAAGTGGAGTCACTTATCTCCTTATCTGAATTGTTATCGCTCAATCCGATATCCTCTTTTGTATCGCGCCAAATAAGCTCATATCGTCGCATTATCTGCAAGATGCTTAGAATGTTTGATAACAGTATAATCCTTCTACTCTATAACAATGAATCTGAACCGCATTGCAGTCTCAATTGACACGCAAACCTCTGTAACTACAATCTTCCGACGAGATGACCATTCGCCGCAACTTGTTGGGTCGATTGGCTCTGCCCAAACAAGCCACGTCTTTTGCTCCAGAGGGAACTTGGACCAACATCGATCTCGATGTAACACCCTTAGAGAGACGTACTTGGACTACCCTATCCATCCTGGGTTACTGGCTCTCTGATATTGTACGTCAACAGCAATCCATCATGCACGTCCTTGTGAAGAAATGTGGCGCCTGAGTGCTGACCCTGGTAGCTCTCCGCTCAGAGCTGGCAAATTGGGGCGTCCATTCTAGCGATTGGTCTGACATGGCGTGAAGCTGTGTGGTGTGTCATTGTTGGGTCATTGACAATGGCATTTGTTATCGCTTTGAATGGTGCTCCAGGCGCCTATTTGCGTGTACCTTTTGCCGTCTGGATTCGATCCTCATTCGGCTATCATGGGGCGAAATTCCCTGTCGTCTGCCGCCTGATCACAGCCCTGTTTTGGCATGCCATTCAGACTTATACAGGAAGCGTGGCGCTTACCGTCATGCTGACGGCAATTTGGCCAAGCTATTCGAGGCTTCCAAACCATCTCCCACCCAGTGCTGGTATCACCAGCCAAGGGCTCCTCAGCCATTTCCTATTCTGGTCGATCCAGTTACCTTTCCTCACGATACAACCCCACAAACTGAAGTGGTTCTTCGTCTTCAAAGCTGTTATTACTATCACAGCCGCTGTTGGTACTACAATCGCCGTCTGTGTCATGTCGGGCGGGTCTGGTGATATCTGGCAACAGCAACCGTCGGTACAAGGCTCAGCCAAGTCCTGGCTGATTGTTGCGACCCTGACATCACAAACAGGATCGTGGTCGACTGTGGGTACAAACATCTCAGATTTTACCCGTTACGTCAAGGTTCCACGAAACATATTCTATCAGGCGATTTTCTTCCCACTCATTTGCTTTGTCATCGCCATGATGGGCATCATCAGCGCCTCTGCATCCAAGATCATATACCAGGAATACATCTGGGACCCTCTCGCGCTGGCTAGCAAGTGGACATCGCCGGCAGCGAGAGCAGGAGCCTTTTATTGTGGTCTGGCTTGGATGGTGGCACAGATTGGCGTTAATGTCTCAGCAAATGTTATCTCGGCCTCCAACGATTTGGCCAGTCTGTTTCCTAAGTACGTCAACATTCGGAGGGCTGCAATCATCTCCACCATCCTAGGTGGATGGGCCATGGTCCCATGGAAGATTGTTACAAGCGCTGAGAGCCTTGTCAATTTCATGGCAAGCCTCGGTGTCTTTCTTGCTCCTATAATAGCTATTTCCATAGCTGACTACTGGATCGTCAAGAAAAGACGTGTTGAGGTATCTGCGCTGTACAAGCCTCATGGTCGTTACCAGTATTTTGCTGGTTGGAACTGGAGGGCTTTCCTCGCCCTTGCTATCGGGGTCGGTCCTGCTCTGCCCAGCCTTGCGGCAAATGTCAATCCCTCTCTAGATATTGGAGGTGCAGAGTACATCGGACACTTGGTGTGGTATTACGGCTTTCTCAGCTCATTTCTGGTCTACATAGTGTCAAGCAAGCTTGCGCCCGCCAGACAGACCTATGTGCCGGCCCATGAGGATGTTATCGAAGGTATCAGAAATGACGCTGAACGATTCCAAGTTTTTGAAGACAAGACTAGGTAGAGGTCGATTGACTTTATCGCCGATAGGGCTCATCAGGTGTGATCACAATCATTCCAGCACAGGTACATTCTAAGAAAGTGAAATTAGCAATCAATCACCAAAATACCCGAGGCTTCTTTTGAGATTGCTGATACAAATCAGCTATTTTTTTACGAGTGCAATTGTTGTTGCGTTGTCAGCTCCAGCTCTGTGCCGTGATATACCGTATTGCACTCATTTGACCATCAGAGATGGTTGAAAGGACTAAAATAGATGTATCGAGAAGGCCTGAGATATGTACAGCCAGAAAGGACAACCACACAAGCATGTGTGCGAAACAGTTTATGTTCCACCAAATATAGATCCGTGTCTCATGATATCATCCATTTACATAAAAGCACAAGAACCTACCCTGAAGCGCGCAATATTTCTTGCTTGCGTCTATCATGTACTTCTGAGCAAGATATTACCTTGGAATGAATTCGTCTTTCATCTTCACTAGTCTGTCTCGTCCCTCCAGGGAATTGAGTCTTGCGCTCCTTTCCTCGACCCGGCCTTCGACCTTTGAGGCGCAAATCCAAGTGCCTACTTCACAACCATGAACTGTGATCAAGTTCTCGATTCACTCCCTGGTTGAAAAGTGGAATCCTGCCTGGCGTTAAGCCCAAATTAGCTAGATTTGACTCCAAGTTTGGTCGACTCAGGGATTCACTGCCCCCCTCGGCCGAGGATGTAACATTGACCACTGTGGGTCTAGCACAAACTCGTCCGATAAGGCAATCATGATCTCGGCCGTGCCGGACAGACAAACCTCAAGCACACTCTTGCTCCGACAACCACTCAGACCCATCATGCAAGCTCCAGGGCCAGTGAGAAACACACAGCGCTCAGTCCTGGCCTGCACGGCATGCGTGCGCCGTAAGATCCGATGTTCAAAGAGCATACCCTGTGAGGCATGCATCCGTCAGAACAAGGCATCTTCTTGCCAGCGTGAGCAGGTTGCCGTCGTCACTCGGAGAAGAATCTCTCGCCGAAGCCGTCCCGCAAATGATGCTGGATCGCCCTCGGCTTCATTGGAGGACACTTCGGTATCGCCTGAAGTACCCGAAGAGCCTGGCCATACACCCACAGATCCGGCCTCATGTACGACTCCGGTACATGCCACTGTCGTCGACGCTCGGGTTGAGCCGGCAGTACCGTCAGCAGTGGTTCCCCCTACCAACACAGAACCTAGAGGAGCATTCGAAAATGCCATCCCCGAAATCACCAATGAAACGCTGATGCAGATATTGACATCAACACACACAGCTGATAGTCGCCTTACCAACGAAGCAGCAGCTGCCCTGGAGTTCTTGGCCCATGGCCGTAGAAACGTTCTGAATAGGTTCTCAGGCAGAGAGTCTATTGCCCAATCTACTCCCCGATTCTCAACCAGTCGTCACGAGCTTGAAGAACAGTGGGATCCTTTCTTTGCACCCGAGGACGCTCGCATGCTATTGGCCCTTCACCAAGCCCATCTCACCTGGATGCACAATGTGGTTCACTTGCCAACCTTTCGTCAAGAGCTTGATAACAATTTGATGCGAATGGAGTGCGACTGCTCCTGGCTCGCATTATACTACGCATTGCTATCTGTTAGTGCTATGGAAGTTCTTATTCTGGGGTTGACCCGTGTATGCTTACCCTGACAATACAGCAAACCGTCTACCATATTGATGGTGGGTATCTCGCCTCATTACCACAACCAATACACGGTCAGTCTTATTGACAAGGCACAGTGATTAATGCTTGCTAATATTACATCAATAGCCGATATGAAAACATCTCGCCTTCTTTTCGACAAAAGTATAGAGATCCTATTCAAAGGGGGGTTTATGGATGAGCACAAGTTGACATCGGTGCAAGCCATTTGCCTCTTGCTACAAGTGGCTCACAACTTCGACAAGTCCGACCTCATATGTGTCCTTATCTCCACCGCGATACGTATCTCGCAATGCCTTAATCTTCATCGACTAGGAGCCGATCGACCTGTGCCGGAAGCAGTGGACGACGACACCCAGTACATCATCGACAGAGAAATACGGAAACGCGTCTGGTGGTTCCTCGTTCGATACGATTGGCTCCAAATACCATTTCAGAACACCTGCCAGATTCACCCAGCCCAGTTTAACACTCCGATGCCTGCGAACTCGTTCGATGATGAAGTGCGGATGATTCAGAACGGAGCGGTTGTCTCACAACCACCTGATGTATGCACCTCGAGTAGTTGGACGAATTCCTTAAACCAAGGTGAGCCGCGACGAGCACATGAGGATAGAAGATCTTGGCTAACGATGTCTTAGTCTCTGTCCTGATATGGAAACATCAAGATCGTATGTTCAAAGTTGGTTATCCCGGCGAAGACCCTGACAGGATCTTAAAACTCTATGATCAAGCCTTATGGGCCGATAAGGAGATAAAAGATCTCTATTCGTCCTGGCCGTTGGCCTTGCGTGAAATAGAGGATGTCCAACTTGATCAGCCAATGCTCGACTCTTTCCCTGTTAGGTTGATGCCAGGCATGGTACTCATTTGTACCGCACATAAAGTAAGTCCAAGTCGAATCTCTGACTAGAAAGATTTTACCAAGCCTTGTTCTGATCCTCTGCAAAGATCTTGACGGTCCATCGCCATTTCCAGTTATCCAGCTTTCGCGATAGGCGTTTTGCCTTCTCGCAGGTATAGCCATACGCCTTTCCTTGCTCTGTGCCGCTAATTGACCACCGCATAGTTGTCCTGTATTGCGATTGCCGAACGAAGCATTGAGTCAATTCAACGTTGGCCCGATACACTCGAGTCTAGTATCAGCCGTAGGATGTGGACAACTTTGACGCATGTCGTTAGCTGCTGTATCACCCTCGTCTTTGCTCTGTTGTTCAAGTCGCAAAACACGCTCACTTATGACTCCGCTAAGATTCGTGGTTATATCGAATTTGGGAGGAACTTCATAAGCCAAGAGGAACAGTTTAGTTCTATTGCGCGAAGGGGGGTGAAGCTGCTTACCGCTTTGATGAACTTGGAAGGATGCTCGGATTTTTCGCTTGACATTGAAGCAGATATTGGTGGCATAGTCCGTCGTGTGGCCGCAGCGGACGATGGAAATTTAGAGCTAGGTGCGGCTGAGGCCCATCAGCTTGTGTTCCCAGGTAGTCAGGATCTCTGGGAGAGCTTCATGAGAGACACTTTGGCTGGAGAGTTTCTTAGCTTTTGATACTGCGCGAGGGTGACTGAGTATAATTCATGTCGACTGACTGGATGTACTCTAATCACTTACAAGCATCTACAATAGCTCTAGGCTCCGGAATTAGGAGACTGCAGAGTAAATAAATGAGAAAGACATTTACAAGGAGAGCTTGACGCCATGGATAGGCAGATGTGGCATGATGTTGTCACAGGTGGTCATGGGGGTTAACGCATAAGGGAGAAGTGAACAGCGAACGTTTGGGCCGCAACTGTACGTGCTGACCCTGACCAGAATTGCACCACTAATATGCCATGCTATGTATACAGCGCTTGCTACTCATAATAATCTACTGTCCAAGTCCCAGATCCTTAATGATGATGTCCGCCGCCTTCTCACCAATCACAATAGCCGTGTTATTTGTGTTGGAACCAACGTTGGCCGGGGCAATACTCAAGTCAGCAAGCTTAAGACCCTTTGTGCCCCAGACATTCAGACGTTCATCAACAACACCAAACTCATCGCGGGGAGCCATCCGGCAGGTGGCAATGGAGTGCCATGTAGTTCCAACGTTCTGACGCACCCATTGTTCAATAGCCTTATCATCCTCGGCAGAATACTCAACGTCCTCGACGTCAGAGAGAGACGACTGCTGCTTAAGGTCTACACAGGCAGCTGGGGACCCTTCGGGGAAGGCCGGGTGGCCGGGGGCGATTTCACCACGGAACATCTCAGTGCGGCGCATAATCTCTCGGGACTTCTTATAGGCCCAGACCTGCTTCTTGAGATCAATGTCGTTCTCATCGTTGAGGTAACCGACGTCAAAGTCCAAGGGGTCATCAACATTCGGTCCTGTAATATGCATGTGACCTCGGGAGTAGGGGTACGCTGTGTAGTTTCCTACAGTAACGTACTGCTCCTCTGGCACACTAGAGGGGTCACCCAAGAAGCTGTGTTTTCTGATTAGCTTTGCTTTTATGAGTTCCATCAGACAACTCACCAAGAAACAAGACCCATCAGCATAATCGGTTTGTTGGGAATATTCTTAAAGTCCTTATCCCATGCCTTTTGGAAGTCGGGACCCAAAGCTGTAACCTCAGCATCCGTGGGTCGGAGCTTGGAGGAGATATCAATCGAGTTCCAGCCAAGGACCTTGTCCTTTGAGTCGATGAGCCCCTGGCGCTTCTCGGGGTGTCGGAGAACTCTGTCAATGGTCTCATGGGGCTGGAGATTGGTCTTATAAGGATACAAGATCAACTGGTGATCCTGGTACTCATGGCCAACGCCAGGCAAGTCAACCTTGACAGGAACACCGGCCTTCTCAAGAATCTTAGGGTCGCCAAGACCAGATCGCTCAAGCACTGGTGGTGTGCCACAGGCACCACACGACACAACGACAAGCTTTCGAGCCTTAATAGTCAACTTGGGATGTTGAGTAGGGCCAACCTCAGCCTGAAAGGCAGGGTTAGGTGTGTACTCAACACCAACAGCACGCTTATCATCATCAAGAAGCACTCGGACGACCTTGGCCTCAACTAGCACATGCAGGTTGGGGTACTTGGTGGCATTGAGCTTATCGTGGACATAGACGGTGGCAGTATCTTGCCGCCTGCCCTCCTTCGAGACATAGCGAAGCCAGCGCTCGTAACCGTTGTTGTGATCTAGCGACTGCAAGTCCTGGATCTCAGGCCAGCCGACTTGGGATGCAGCCTTGATGAAGTCGCTCTCGGAGCCGGTAGAGCGGAATGTACCGTCACTGACTTGGACTGGGCCGTCATGACCATGCACAGAGGGGTCACCTCGACCATGATATGTCTCAAGCTAGGAAAGAAGTATTAGTATAAAGAGTCATCTTGGTCATGGATAACTAATGACACACCTTCTTGAGGAAAGGCAGAATCTCATCAGCTGACCATCCGGGTGTCTTCCATGAGTCAAAGTCCTCGCGCTGGGCCCTAGTGTACATCATGAAGTTGATGGATGAACCACCGCCGAGCGTACCGCCTGAGGGAACAATACATTCTCGTCCGGCGAGCTTCTCAGACTTGTTTCCCTTATAAAAGATGGTTGTCTTGGAAGTGGGCAGGAGATGGTCTAGGAAGAAGACGGGATGCTCAATGTTGGCAACACCCTTGTTATCCGGACCTCCCTCGATGAGGAGAATAGACAGGCTGGGATCCGCCTCTGCTAGACGACCAGCTACAACGCAAGCTGCCGTGCCACCTGTGGAAGGGTCAGCTTACTGAGGGATCGTAATTGGGGTAAGAGACGAGGATTACCTCCGGCGATGATGACGTCGACCTCGTCGATGTTCTCGGCAAGCTTAGTGTAGAGACCCATGATTAATACGCGGCTCTCCTATGTAGATCAGGATTTCAGAGTTGAGTATTCCTTGGGGATTGTGTGGTATTTTCTTGTCTCCCCCTCACGAGGCTCTTGGAAGTTATATGCATCTGCCGAGTCTCTGCCCCTTGCATGTGTCGTCTTGGTCACCAAGCTCCGGTCGTGCGCGTATCCATTCCTGGTCTGACCTCCGGTCCCTTTCTCCTGCCTGTAACACTCTCCCTTACTCTTTGAGGGGTCGAACATGGTTCCTCAGAAGCCGGGGCTTTGGGGTAGCATCGCTAAGCGTTTTACAGATGATCTGCGGAGCAAGTGGCTGGTTGGGCTTGGACCCAACAGAGAGGCCGTTGCGACGACTCGTACTTGCGTATGCGCTCCGTGGGGCCCGGGGGTATGGATGCATTCCGGGGTCCTGGAGAGCCCCGGCCACTTGAGCGAAATTATTGGCGCTCATGGATGACACAGACAAACTCCACCGGAGTAGCAACCAACAGCGCTGATCTCTGCGTTCTCTAGTCGGGGACCGTCTCTCGTTGTGCCTAGTGCCACATGTAAAGGTTCAGACCGAGGCCGTTTCCGCGCGAGCCAAGAGAGCTATGTGACGGTTACATTGCAGGCCCGCAGGCGGGTCGCAATGGCGTACTAATAGTCACAGATTTCTGACTGGGTTCTTCTTCTGGCTGAAGAAGGTCGGTGATCTGAATTGGGCATTCTAGTTGGCCGGGCCTAGTCTCAGAATTCGGGACAAATGATGTCTATAATTTTATGTGCTTCTAATAATAATGATGATTCTAATGCATTTGCCTTGTGGTCTAATTTCCCGAGTCCAGCCATTATTCCCGTTCCCGAGGCAAAGATTACCTATCGTTACACGCGGTTTCACGGGAATGGATCGCGGTACATGTTCCCGGCTCCCTTCAGCTGCCGTGTCGAAGACTGCGAGCTCCCGTCGTCGTCCTCGGGAATTCGTGACACCGTCACCTGCGTCTGGGTTATCTTGGTGATGCCTCGGGACATGTTTACCCTGCTCAGGCCATCTCCGTCTGTGTCGATGCGTGCTTCGTTTGTGCTCGAGAACAGCGGGCCGGTATTTGTACCCGATCGACCCTTGTTGGAGGCTCCGTTTCCGTTTGTGCCTCCGCCCATGGGCTTGGACTGCAGCTCGGTGCCCTGGTTGTAGTAGTCGTTCTGGTACGAGCTGTTGTCGCCGGTCGCGCGGACGACCTTGACGATGAGAGAAGAAATATTCAGCTCGATATGCAGCTTGAGCATGTAGACCAGTGGATGGAACTGGACATAACTGCATTATTTCCGTTAGTGATGGAATAAGGAATCGGAGGGGTTTGGTGCTTACATGAAGCCATTGCCAATCGACATGCTGCCAATGAGGATAACCTTGACGCCACGAGATTAGCTTGATCCTTCCTTTCACAAGCGAGAGCTGAAGGGAGCCTTACATCCAAACTCATCGAGACTGCAATCATGGCAAAGTTGAAGCGCAGCAGTGGCTTGTACTTGTCCAAACCATTGGCGATCAGCTTGACGCGGATCAGGTACATGAAGTAGGAATGCAGAGCGGCGTCAATGATGAGGAACAAGCCCTTTTCGATGCGGTCGTAGATGTGATTCACGTTGATCCATGTCGACGAGATCTGCAGCTGCGCGGGGATCCAAATGACAAAGACGCTGATGTTGATGAGGCCAAGTAGGATGGCGGTCGCCCAGCGAATCTTTGCTCCGTCCCGACGGTCCACCATGAGGAGCGATATTCGGTTGATGATGATGCCGCAGATACATTGAATCTGAACGACCCAGAGAGCCACTGCCCATGTCACAGTCAGCTTTCTTCATTCGATCGATAAATCAGCGCGGGGGTTTGGTCGTACAGAAAGTGAAGTAGATCCAGAAGCTGATCACATTTTGCATCGTCAGTTGTCACATTCCATTTGAACAGAAGGAATGATAGAGTTTCGGTACTCACCTTGGCTCGATAAACCCTCGCAGGAAACACCACGACAGCACACTAATGACGATAGAAACAAGCCACTCAGCCCAAACCATGATGACATATGGCTTGGCGCGTCCTGAGCGCTTCCATTGCGCATATGTCTGCTTGATGGCCTTGTGACCAGAGAACATGCCCGTCGCGAGCGTAAAGCCCCAGATGATGCTGGCGACCAACAAGTCATCGAGGGTGGGCGCGACCACCTTGTAGTGGTCCGGCACCAAAAAGCCCGGCATGTTTGTTTTGTTTCGACGAAAAGGAACAGACACAGCTGGCTGGTGGAAGAACGATATAAAAAAAGAAAGGCGAGAAAGAAAGAAAGAAACAAACCCCCAAGAACACGGTAAACTTGCGCAGTGTGTTTATGCAGTCGATCTTTAAGCAGTAAAACTAACTGTTACAGATCTGCTGTCTGTCTTCTGGCTCAGTTACGTACAGTATCACAATAATAATCATTGCCCCTAGCAGGTTCATCTTGACGTTCCAACCTCCAACCGTTGTGGACCAAACTAGCTCTTACGCATGTAGCAAAGATCTACCGGGACTTGGTAGCATCTCGTTCTAGAGGAGGGAAGAGGAGGCACGCAATCTGAGACGTTCGGGCGCGGATAGATCCAGTCCAGGGTCAAGAATGGAGACCAACAGAAGAATAAATGGACACAAAATGTCAATCCCCGCGGGTTACTAGGCCGGTTGTGGTGTATCATACCGGCTCCGTGATGCGGGACCCTTGCCCCAGTCAGGGGACTCTGGAGCCCCAGTATGAATGGACAGAGTACGTAGCATTGCCACCGGGGTTTTCTGGGACGCCGAGTTTCCCGAGGTGGCATCGGTCTAGAAAGAGGGCCAGCGAACTGTCGGAGCCGTTTAACTAGGTCGCTTCCTCTAAGTCTCAGTCATGCTGATTCTGATTGGGAAATTTGGTGCTTGACGATCAATCTCTGGTCGTGTCAGAAACCCCGTGGCCTGTTCCGAGATACCTAGAGAGTTTACTAGTGCAACGTTCCAGAAAAGTAGCGCCAAGTCGGCAGTTCACATTAAACGTGCAGATACACACAGACAGTGGACGAACAGGTCTCTCTATCTGTTACCTCATCCGCCTCCCCTACTACGTATGTTGCCAGGGCACCTTGCTAGAGGCTCAACTCGACGATCCGTTGGTAGCTCAACGGCTCACTGACTAGTACCGCCGAGTCAATAGCGCGCCGCGTGTCTAATGCTGCACCGGCGCTATAACGGCAGTTATCGCTGCAGGCACCTTGACCGCTGCGGCACCGAGCAAAAGACTGAGTCATGATCGCCACTAGAGCAATTACAAGAGGTGCGCCAACTACTGATCGGGCTTCAAACGCTGCTACCGTGGCCAAGCTGTAACGGGCGCCCACCCCGCGAGTCAGCATCGGGCGTCTTCTCGAGGCGAAGCTTAAGCTAGCCCAACGTTGGCGCGGGCCGCCCTCACACTAGCCAGCTGAAAAACAAAAACGGTTTTTGAAGCCTCGCGCGGGTTCCGTGCAGGTTCTACGTGTGAGGTTCTCCAATGCTTGTTAGGTATTAGATATGGCCACCCGTGCGTGATGCATCCTCGCGAAGGTGTTCTAACCAAAAAGAAATGGTTGCTTGTGTGCGCTAATGATGCCCTCATCCTTTGCCATCCAACTAGTAACAAGACACTCTCTCACATCGCTAAAATGCTTCATCCTAAACCACTTCTCCAGTGATTCGACCCTAGTCAAGACAAACTCGCGTTCTGTCTCATCCGTGAGCTCCTTTGCAATAATAGAGATTGGCCATAAAAGAGTATTATTATAGGGCGAGACGGGTGAGAGTAGACGAAGCAGCTCAACGCCCCACGACGGAAGATTTCCCATCTCCGAATCATTTTCGTCTAGCTCTTGTGGGCCATGGCCGAATGAGAGCCACTGATCTACAAATTTTTGTTTTCGGTAGACTGAGGCTGCTACGCGGTATAGCTCCGAGACGATACCCTTCTCATTCCAAGTCTCTGATCGGGCAAAGTCGTCAAGTCGTCGGAAGTAGGGGTTTAGAACAAAGGCCGGTTCTGCAACTGGAAGCCTCCCGCGGGATTCGCTTCTATCAGGTGCATCAAGCGCGAAACTTGGAAACCAGTCCAACCGTCCATCCCACCTTGCGATCTCCTCGTCTGTTACTGAAAGGTCGCCAGCACCTAGCCTGGCGATGATCTTGGGGAATTCGAAGCGTGATCCAGGGTCACCGTGTCTAATGTAAAAGTCTGACAGCGTCGAAGTGCGGAGCGAGGTTGACCTGACGAGATCGTTATAAAGGAAAAGGCTAGAGAGAAAGGCCATGGCCTCGTTCCACTGGCGCCCGGTGTCGTCGAGAGGATTTCCATTCGCAATAGCCAGAAACAGCCTATTCGGGAAGAGTTGGGCAAAGAATCGTAGATGTGTAGTCGCGTTTTCTTGCCCTTCTCCACTGAGCTTCTCGTAAAGGATCATAAGGACACATGTGGCGAGGAGATACATGACGTCGCCATCATCCAGGTTTGCTGCCCGAGATGCCACAACCTGGATGGCGGCATCCACGGTTGATGCTGATTGGATCTCCTTCCGAACTCCAGATTTGTCGATGGCCGACTCAATAGGTTCTCTACAGCCGCGGAGGGCTTTGTATCGGAAGAATAACATGGGTCTTTCCATGACGAAGCTTCCATGCTCCCAGCTTTGGACGCAGCTAAGGGTTAGAAGAGCATCGAGAACAACTCGACTTTGCATCGAGAGAGGAATAAATACCCTTAAGAATGGGTTAGTCGGACCAGCGCAGGTTGGGTATGTCCTGGAGAAACGTTGGATGTAGTGGTCGAGGGCGTGTGACTCTATGGGATCTAGTTCGAAGGGCCATTCTGAGATTTTGCAGAGGCGTTGTAGGCCCCCTTCATGGCCAGACTGGCTGGAAAGTAACGGAACTGTGACTGGGTTGTGATTCCTTTTTTGCGAACTGGACTGACCATCCACAGGTTGGGTAGTATTGGTACGGTTCGTGGATTTGGATGGGCCTCTCCTCTTCATCCCCTGTCTGCGAGAATCATCTTCCCAGACAAGCTTAGTTTCGGTATTACAATCCAAGCCCAGCCTTTGGCAATTGCCACATGGGAATGAGACACTGTCGCACTTCTTTCTCCTGTGATGGATAAGTCAAGATTCGCTGAAACAAACCGGCGATAGCGTACCTATTCCTGCACGTCCAGCACACCCTGCTCGAGACCGATGTTGGCGCTTCTTGGGTTCCATTGCCTCTTCAAAGGCGTCGGACGAGACAGACTTGGAATAGCAAGGATAACACCCGCTGCTGGTCGAGAGGCTTCCCAGTTGATACCAAATACGTGATGCGAGGGGAGAGTTGAGTGACCAACTCGGCTGGGATATCAGTGGAGTCGTCGGTTAGCGCCTCCGTTTACCCCGCAAAATCCAAAGATAAGGATAAGGGAGCAGGGGAGTGAGGTAGCACAGTATGGGCGGACATGAGTCTCACGAATGTGAGACATGACAGAAGCAGATTCTCAATGATAAGGCATTCGTGGAAATCCGAGAGGGAGAGTTCTGTTATATCCTATCTTAAGCGCCTGCGGTGTAGTTTTTGTCACGATGGAAGAGCTGACTAACTGATTTCGGGTGATGCCGTATTTCCTAACTACCGATCTAGGGTAAGTGCCCATCACAACCTCAGCAGTATACCTAGGTATAAGTCCAAGGCAAAGGTCGCCTTTTCTTCTCGTAGCTTTGAGTTGCTATCTGGTATCTCGTGGCGATAAAGCCCTAAGTGAGGCCAGCTCAAAAATTGCACAAATGGGCAGTCGAGATGTAAGGGTAGTGACAATTTTCACCTTTCATCACAGCTGCACTTGCCTCCAAAGCATCAAACCTCCAGTTTATCGTCGTGAGTAAAATGATCAACACAACAAGACAAATATTTCCATAAGCATCGAAACTATTGTAGAGGCAGCCCCATCTCCTTCGTTATGTCCTGGATGTACTTGATCATCTCCTCAGACCACTTCTTGATCTCATTCGGGCTGACAGTCTCGACTCTACACAAACCAGCTTTACCCTCAGAATCTGACTCTGCGACATTCTTTGCGTACCTTTCCTTTAGGGCATCTGCAGCGATGCGAGCGCGCTGAGCAATCACATCCAGACGATATGTAGTCCATTGGTAGTATAGCTCGGTGAGGTGAGACTTGTTCCTGACGTTCTTGTTGGTGGTGTCGTCTACGAGCAGGGGGTTCTTTGGCCGAAAGGACGTGACGATAGTGACTCGTTCCGGCATGTTAGTCACAGGTGCTGCTGTATGCGTGATTTAACGGCCCTGGAGGAGAACTGCGCAGCCCTGCACACCTTTTAGTAACACACTGGCATGAGATGGACATGTTACTTACCATTTGCGGTGCCTTCACCTTGAGGGTCGTCCCATCGCCCTTCATGAGCTCCGTCTCGCCACCGGACATATGTCTAGCGTCTGAAAGCATCACGACGCAGACCCAGGGGTGGGAGTCTTGATGCCACTCGATGATTGGTTTTGTCTGGTCCGTGACCTCTTGTTTCTTGGGCTTGTCCTGCTCGAACTTCTTGATAGCTTCTACGGTGGCCTCCGGGGGCTCAACTGTGGTGTTTCTGACAGCGTCAAGTCCACCGGGACCAAGCTGGACGTTGGTATGGCTGATTTCGTAGTCCATAGCTGGGACGAGCTCGACACCGGCAATGTCACTAACAATCTTCAAAACTTCGGGAGAGTGCCAAAACTGGTGAATGAAGGGGGCATAGCGAGGAGCCATGCCGCGAAGCTGCACAGAACCAGGGCGGGTGTGGTGGAGGCAGTTGTCAAGAACATCCTTGCTGAAGAGATCTCGTCGATGCTGCAGAACGGCCTCATGGGAGAGCAACGAGAACGGCTCTGTTGTTGCAACCGGCGACAGTGCAGTAGGCTCAAGGGAAAGGTCCCTCATGGTCAAGATAGACGAAGGCGGGGAGTAGGCCAGGTGTTTGGCTGGGTTGAACTGCACCGCGGAGCTCTGCTTTGAGGAGGCAATCTGCTGGGGGCTGATTGGCCCCTGGGCAAGGGGAGTTTCGATAAGAGCTGAAGGAGCCATGGCGGTTGTGTCTTGGAATGCAGAGTCAATGACTCGAAAAGGCAGGGGTACAGATATTGAAGTTGGAAGTTGGCGTTGGTGTTGAAGAGATAAGATGGTAAACATGCCATGTTTATGCTTTTATAGATAGCTGGTCTAGGGGACTATTTTCCCAAAAGAGGTTATTCTAGACGCGCTCCATCCCTTGTCCACTTTTGTAACTGCTCATGATAATATTGAAGGTAACAACAAAGCATATCAACCGTCTTCCCCGCAAGAGGCAATCTCTCGCAGCTGGTGCACTCCATAGCCATGATAGGCGAGTAACGCTATACCATATCTGGGGTATTCGAGGCGCCCTCGGCTTCTCGGAATCGATAACTTGTGGAGACGGCTATGAGCTTACGATGACGTCGAGTGTAAGATGCAGCGAGATAGTGTGCGCCATTCACCTAGTGTATTCGAAATGCCGGAATTACTGCTTGTTGTCAATGGCCAAATGAAGGCAAAAAACTCCTCATACCCTTCCTCTAGGCATGCCATGGCCTCAGTCATTTATCGTGGGGAGAGCAACGCTATACCCTATCTGGGGGATTCGAAGCGCCGGCCTGGCCGCTATCTTGGGCTGAGCTTGATATGAAAAAGCGGAGATGACTCGGGGACGCGGCTCCCGGTCTGGCTAAGTTCTCCCCGCAAACCCCAGCTTCAACCATGAACGATGATAACTCGGGGCCTTGCTGGTGTTGATAACTGGTATAGATATGAGAGAGCAAGGAGCTTTTATTTCCAACGATTCCTTCCATCAACGACACAAACCTCCAGCCTCATCTTCTTACATCTTGCTTCTAAACTCTACCGCCCCTGACTCATAACTATGGAGAATTTTGACATGAACAAAGATGTCAAGGCTCCAGAAGTCATATCTCCCAACGAGAGGACTTTGACCAACGAGTCACGAGCCAATGGCAAGATTGAGGTCACTGAAGACCGAGACTACCATGGAATCGACACTCGTGCTATTCCGTCTGGAGCAGACGTGGTCTACGAGAGGAAGGTTGCCGTTATGAACCAGGCTCTCATTGATATTGGAATGGGATCTTTCCAATGGAAGGTCTTTGCCATGACGGGCTTTGGTTGGTTTGTGGATAATGTGAGAGCCCCTCGTCATACCAACGCTCCTTTACTGACTGATTAGTTCTGGATGCAAGCCATCACCATCATCAGCGCCCCAGTCCGGAACGAGTTCGCTGTCAAGAGAATCGCCTTTCTCACGGTGGCTAAATACGCCGGCCTTGTCGTCGGTTCCTCGGTGTGGCCAATGACGGCCGACTTCATCGGCCGCCGCCTCGCCTTCAACGTCACCTTGCTCCTGTCCTCCGTTGCCGGACTTGTCGGCGCCGGGAGCCCCAACTTTGTCGCCATCGCCACATTCTGCGCCATCATCGGTGTCGGCACGGGAGGCAACCAGCCTGTCGACAGTGCCATCTTCCTCGAGTTCATCCCGGCCACGCATCAGTACCTCCTCACCATGCAGTCCGCCTTTTGGTCCGTTGGTCAAGCTGTTGCGGCATTGATTGTATGGCCTCTGATTGCGAACTACTCATGCCCATCTGGTCTTCCTGCTGGAGAGTGTCGGTTTGAGGATAACCTCGGCTGGAGATACACGTATTGGACATTCGGTGGTCTTACACTGGTCATGTTCTTGATGCGTCTTCTCTTCCGCGTTTACGAGACGCCCAAGTATCTCTTAGGCAAGGGACTGGATCAGCAGGCTGTAGATGTCGTTCAGAAGGTTGCTGCCAGGAACAAGACCACAACCTGGCTTACTATCTCGCACTTTGAAGCCATCGACGCTGAGTTGAACAACCGCAACAACAACAACAGCAGCACGGCAGTTGAAGACCAAGCACCCAACGTCAACCACCGAAACATAATCAAGCGAAACATGGAAAAATTCAGGCCCGACGAGATCCGCTCACTCTTTTCCAGCCCTCAAATTGCCATATCTACTTCGCTCATGCTTTTCTTGTGGTGTTCCATTGGCATGGCCTATCCTCTCTACAACTCCTTCATTCCCATCCACCTCGAGAACAAGGGCGTCAACCAAGGCAGCTCCTCTCTGGAGAAGACATACCGCAACTACGCCATTCAGGCTGTGTGCGGCATACCAGCCTCCATCCTCGGTGGGTTCACCGTCGATCTGAAGAAGGTTGGGCGCAAAGGCACAGGAACCTTTGCCTGCATCGAAACCGGTGTCTTCCTCTTCCTTTTCACCAGAGCGAATTCAGAAGCTGGTATTATTGGACCCACTTGCGCGATTGCATTTTTTCAGAATCTGGTTTATGGTCTTCTTTATTCGTACACCTCTGAGCTGTTCCCTGCGCCCATCCGAGGCACGGCGAATGGACTTGTTGCTATGTTTAATCGGCTCAGTGGGCTTATGGCACCTATTATTGCTGCCTATGTGGGAATAGAGACGGACTTGCCTGTATGGATATCGGCTGCTTTGTTTGTTGTTGGCGGTGTGGTCTTTCTTATCCTGCCGTTTGAGACTAGGGGGGAGGGCGGCTGCTTAGGCTATTCATGTAAATTTATGTCGTAATGTCGTACTCATTTATAGAGAGATCCTGACTCCCCAATGTGTTGTCAATAGCCCTGCCAACTTGATCCTAGCCTGTTCTGGAATATCGCCCCCATCAAGGACCGTGGTGATGTTCGCGGCTATATTCAATCCCCCAAAGCCAGGGTTCAACCCTCAGTCAAGCCTTGGGGGTCGTGTTCGAAGCCAGCCAGTCGAGTCGCAGACAGAGGCAAGTCAACGCGGATAAATCTCCTAGGTCGGTCAAGCGTAATTGGCCGCAACAGGGGTCCTACCCCAGAAGTGAGTTAGCCGCCTCTTCCTCGGGGCATCTGTATCCGAGACTCAAGATGGGTCTACTATTTCAGCAGCCGAAGTCCGCATGAATATTTGCAACGCCATGCCATCCTCTAAGGCCTTCATTCTATCTAGTACACGCCAAGCTTTCAAGATGAAGCTATTTGTGTTACTTTCTCTTGCCGGTGTGCTGCCATGTGCTACAGCAGCACCGTCTTTCGAGCGATCAGGTCACCGAGGTTTCAACTTCAAAAACATCAGGAATATCGTTACCTTGTGAGTCAACTGTTGGTCAACCTCAAATCGTTTTCTTTCTCACCTTTCCTTCAGCGGTGATTCATGGACGGATACTCGATTCAATACCTCAGGCATTCAGCCCTCAATCTCTAACCCTCTCGGAAATACTGGCAAGACGAGTTCTAACGGTAAAATGTGGCCTATTTACTTAGCCACACAGTACAACCAATCATCTGTGTTGCTTTACAACATGGCCGTGGGTGGTGCTGTCACGGATAAGGACATCGTGACGACCGGACCGAATGACGTAGATACTCAGGTTCACGAGAAGTTTGAGGTCTACTCCAGCCAGCAGCCCGGCTTCTTTCCACCAAAGGATACACTTTATGCTGTCTTCATTGGCATCAACGACATCTACCGGACTATCAACGATGTTGACCAGGAGGAAAAGATAATTGCTATCATCGGTCGCATCCGTGAACTCACCCTCGACTTGTACAAGACCGGTGCTCGGCAGTTCCTTTTAATTTCCACGCCACCGCAGTCTTTATTCCCCAACAACAGGCCCAAAGACATTGTTCCGAAACTGGAGGCGGCATCTCAGAGCTGGAATAAAAAGCTTTACAAGCTCGTGCAACAGCTGGATCGGAAGCTGGCTCACAGCACCTTTTTCTTCTTTGACATCGTTCCGTTAATCACTGCCGTTACCGAAGACCCCTCTCAATTCCCCGAGACAGCCATTTACAAAAGCAACAGCTTCTGCGCTGAATACAAGTCGTAAGTCAACTATTCATCATCTGTTTCTTGTTGTGATTTTGGGCTAATGGGGTGGTGTCTAGGGGTACATCTGTGCCAGACTTCAAGTCAGACGCTTGCGAGTATAATGCCCTGGAGTACATGTATATCGATGGCGCTCATCCTACACAAGCATTCCACCAAATACTGGCCAAGAAGATCTCTGAGCAGTTGGCTAGGGGAAAGTCGGTCAGCTGAGCACAGAGGTAGTTGTAACAGGAGCGGATACCAAATTTTCAGTGAGCGGAATCCGATGCAAGACTTCCGGATGTCACACCATTTTTGGCCGCTTCCAATAAAAACATTACAATTTTGGCATCGGCCGAGCTCTTTCGTATGATCACCCTCCGCACTACCCCGGAACGGAGATCAACTTCCCCCGCATGATCCCTTGTTTGACTGGGGGCAGAAGAGAGGCCCTCGGACTATCAAGGTCCGAACAAATCCCACACCATTACAAGAAAATAAACATCGGCCAGCCGGGCGAGTGCCGAAGACGTGAGACGGTGACTATCAGCAGCGATTGTGCCGCTCTTGATACTGATAGTTGGTCTTGAATTATACTAGACACTAGGTCTCACTGCTAATATTAAAGTGTGGCATCAACTGGCAGCGGCCGCTATCAGTTCTTGAAGTACGCCACTCCCGTTGCAAATGCATAGACAGGCTAAAGCAACTAGGCGCATGAATCCGTTACAAGATGCGCTATGTCAGGCCCAAGTGAACCCAACAGTAACGGCACTTTTGGACAGACTCTTAAAAGCAGTTAGTTACATGAGCTGTAGCGTAGGACATGATTCATGGCCCCTGGGCAGCCAAGCCGCCCCCCACATCAATTAAACTTTATTAATCGTCAGGGGCATCTGCCGAACCGCGCTAGCATTACTCAGTTGTTACATTGAGTCTGAGCTGCAACACACAAGGAGTGATTCGGCATATGAACCTTTTACTCGCCTCGTTTCAGGGCCACTTGAGTTTTATCCTTCTATACCCAGGCTCATATACGCCCTCGTAAAGCCTGCATCTAGATGGGCATCATACCTTGAAGGTTTCCCAAGACCGTAGACCTAGGTCCTTCCTGCTAACAGCTCATTCATTAGCAGCGAAACCTCATCCAGATAAAGTCATCTGCTGCCTTATCCTGCCGGCCGGGAGTGAAAAGCTGAACCTCGACGCCTTGACACCATGCATGGTGCGACGCCAGTAGCTTGCGATCCAACTAATAACGTCAGGGATTTGGGGATGTCATCCAAGTTGCGATAATGTCGATCATCTAACTAGGGTCTTTGCCGATCACGTAGGGTTCTCCAGACGATGTGCGATCTGCATTTTAAATACGACAATATTCTGTATTCGGTCTATTCAGCCGTCACGGGCCTCGATTAGTGCAGGTCTAAGCTCTTTTCACGAGTCGTGCCCCTTTTCTTGTTTTCTCTTCCTCCACCTTGGTGAATTAAAGACCCTGTATCTTCCCTTCTCTCCCATTTGAGGCGGGGCCTGATCTGTTTCTCAACTATCGTCAACAGGTATATCACCCCGCGGTGAATCCTCCTCTGTTTTTGCATTTCACTTTGCTTCAGGGACCAGTTGCTTCGAACCCGTATTTGTCAGCTTCGCTCCCACGACAGCCTCTTCTCCGTCCATCTTGTCCTCGACCGTCTTCAATACGATACGAATCGCCGATAATACCTGCCGCTATGGGTTACACACCGGACGCTGGCGTAATGAGCTCTTCGCTCATTACGTTTTCTGTCGCTACAACACTCGTAATATGTCGCCTTGTGTCTCGAAAGATCACAAGTGTAGTCTTGTGGTGGGACGATTATTTCTGTATGACTTCTTGGGTGAGTTACTCAGTCCTACAAACTCATGACGGCACTCTTCTCTCCCTTCCCCCCCTCTCTCTCTTCTTTTATTTCGCCTTCTAATCCTCATAATAAGGTGGCCGCTGCTCTCTACTTCGGTTTCACAATGTACTGTAAGTATATCATAACTGGGGGGCTCGAAAATCTCTGTCGGGGCGGGCAGATATCAATGTACTGACACTTCTCTGCAGGGGCTACTGTGATGGGCTTAGGTCATCTGAAGGCAGATGTTTCTAAGCCACCCGAGAAGGTTGAGGAGTATGCTCGATTCGGGCTTTTTATGGCCGAGTTCCTATACGCAATGTCGCTGGGATTCTCCAAGCTGGCAATCCTCGGCTTCTATTGGCGCCTGTTCAATGTCTCCAACATCCGACTAGGAATCTACATCCTCCAGGGAAGCACTGTGATCTGGCTCACCATCCGAACCTTCATGACCATCTTCCACTGTATCCCAGTCCAGGCATACTGGAATCACAACATCAAGGACGCTGTCTGCAAAATCGACCCCGCCAAATTTATGTTTGGCACAACCCTTGTCCATCTATTCCTTGAGATAGCTGTCTTATCGCTGCCTGTGTTTCAGGTCAAGGCCCTCAAGCTTCGCCTGGGTCAGAAGATTGCTGTCGTCGCTATGTTTATGTTCGGTATCTTGTGAGTCTTGGTCCACATATATATCCCCGTTGCTTTTTACACGTGAGTGAATGACTGACTGAGTCTTTTAGTGTTTGTGTCGCTTCAATTATCGTTCTTGTCGAGGCAATCACACTGAATCCCAAGACAACGGAGATGGCAAAGGATATCAGAGGAGTTATTATCTGGGCAGGCACAGAGGCTTACCTGGCTATCATCTCTTGTGAGTAATTCCTGTCACTAGTCTAAGCAGCATGTTAGTTTTGACACTAACTTCCCCCGACAAAGCCTGTCTCCCCATCATCAGACCTGTCTTCCGCAGGGTCATATCCAGCTCGATACTCAGCTCCAAATCCAACTCAACTGGTCCCAACCCTATCAGTGGCTTGACCAGTAGCAGGGGCATCAAACTTAGCAACATTGTACGAAAAAAGGAAATGAACGACAACAGTTCACAGCGACAGTTGGCCGACCTTGAGGACGGGTCATCTGGCGACATGGACTTCCATTCCTATCCGGAGCGTGGTGGCCATAACAATACTATTATTACAACCGGCGCTGATGAGGTTCCCAACAACACGGATAGGGCATATGGCATCCAAGTGAAGAATGAGACTAAGGTATATTATGAATCATCATAGAAAAGAGAGAGGGAAAGGAGACTGTTAGTATAAATATATGTTTGTTATCTCATTAATAGTCGAGGGCCTCCCGGCTGTGTGATCCCATCAAGAGCCAGGTTTCAACTATCTCAAAAAGACCTTATGAAGCGCACGCCACAATCATGGCATTTTCGAAGGTCATTCCTTGTCTGTCGCCTATGAGCCTCAAACATACGTTCTAGCCTGAGCCCTAACGGCACCACTGATTTGTCTCTTGAAACTTGACTTGTAAATCCCAATACCGCAATTTACAGATTACTTTCGATACGGACCAATCGTGAAGTGCAGTTGCATGTCAGGCTCGGGGTAAATCGGCGTGGCTGAACGCCATCATTGCAATTTCAATTGGCGCCAAATTACATCTTTTGCACATTTGGCAACCCTCCTGAGCAGAACAGGGCAATCCGAGCACACCTTAATCTAGCTGTGACCAATCACGTTCTGCCAAGCGCCCTTCCCGTCAAGGTTACTCCCCGTAGACGACTCTCAACCTCGCTGTGAACTACACATTCAGTCCGACTTGCATTGATGCCTAACGTGACTGCCTCTCTTATCTGCTAGGCATAGGCATTTAACAGAATCGTCATTCCCAAGCAACCCTCGCAGGGCCGCCTCTATTCTTGTATGCTCCAAGCAGGACTGACAGCGCTACACACAGCCCAGATCTACAAGGCTATCTACCATCGGCCTCATGTCCCGCTCTCCTGGGAGCAGCCCTGATGTCACATCGTCCTTGGACCTTACGGCCCGGACGTTTGATCTGCTTGGCTCGTTGGTAAAAGCGAGCGAGCCAACAAGCGTAATCACCCAGGCCGCCAAGGACTTGATCAAATGGCTGGCAAGGGAACGTATAGATGAGGCGAGCTTCAAGAAATGCGCGGAACTGGCTCGAGAATTGGCATACCCTAATCAACACGGGCTGATCATTCGAGAGTCGATCGAGCACGCAAACGAGCGCCTGCGCGGCCTCAACGCACCCATCAGCTTGATCACTTCCGGCTCCCTGGGCAGGATGATGGTTCACGACCAAGACTACTGCTATCTTGTCTCTACTGTCGCGTCGCTTGCCTCGTACTACGGAAATGAGCACATCACTGATATCATTTGCTCGCTGATCATCGACCGCACCGATGCACTGCCCGGCATTCGTCAGTACAAGCACTATCAAATCTACCGCGCCCCCATCGCAGCAGTAATGGCAAAGATCGTGGACAGCATCTTTCTCAACGTCATCAATGCCGGCCATCAGCCACCTCATCTTCCTCCCCAGCTTTCTGACCTACATCCTCACGCGTTGGGTCACTGGGAGCTTCCGGCCTTGATTCGGGGGGTCCAGCAAGCTGATGGCGATGTTCTCATCGTTTGCGGTGTCTTTTTTGCGGACGTTTTTGCCTGGCTGTTCTCTCACTTTCATGGGCATCTCAAAGTGTCTGTCCGCGGCATTGTTTCCTTCACAGAGCATCTTGGTCCAGATCAGAAGGGCGTACACCTGATGGTTCAAGAAGTCTGTAACGACACCGACGACTGCCTTCAAAAGAAACACGTATTCGAGGCATCTGTGGCAGCCGGAGATGGTTCCTATCGTCTTTTTGTGGGAAAAAGTTCGAAAGAAGGCCCGTTCTCTGAGAGTGTTCGGCCACAGGCCCATGTGAGACAGCCTTTGTACCACGAGTCAGCTGTAGAGTCAAACAGACGATACACTGGACGAGTAGCGAAGCTAAATCGTACTGAGAAAAACCACGTCACTGCAGTTGCCAAGAGCATACTGAAATGGCTTCTCGCACTTCAGCTCAAATCATGGGGAACCGCGCTGGTTTTTGCGCCGAAGTGGGACGGAAAAGATGGCATCACTTGTCTAGCAGAAATGCTTTCCGTCCACCCCAGTCTTCTACAAAAAGACACTGGCCACTTCGAATCTACGGCTCCTGTCTTCAGTCGCACCCAAGAGCAGCCCGACGATGATTCAGACGGCAGCTCCGGCTCAGACATGGGGCCAGGGGAAGCGTATAGACTGTCTGCGGTTTTTTCCTGTTTCCCTGTTGTCTTGGACATGCTAGAAAGTATATCCAAGAGGTGCTCTTGTTCTGCCTGTGAGCGGCACCTCTCTTTGGACGAATGCAAGAGTGGATGTCTGCGGGATCTGGCTGTCACAGAACTCCTCATCCTCCTCGCCCACGCTATCTCAGAGGGATTCGGAGCAGTAGATGTCTCCGGGCTCGCAAAACCTGACGACGTTGTAGGATCAATGTTCGGATTGCTTCACCAGTTGATTTTCAGAGGGCTGCTGCAGTGGAGCGACTGGTTCTCCGTCGTCACCATCGTTACTGCTGGGATACCCTATCGGATCTTCACTGAGAGCGGCCCATCCTTTGGTGGAACCCAGCCTGTCGCTATGCAGAATGGTGCCTATGTGGCAGTAGCGCCATGGGCTAGCTTGAGCCGCGAGATACAGCTATCAGGCTGCTTCAGCCTCGAATTCTATGAAGGTTGTATTGAAGGCATTTCGGAAGAGACTGCTATGATGCGATGTGAAAGGGCATCGGAGGGCAACGGCAACGACGAGTCAGCCAAAGCCTTCACGGGAGATGAAGACGAAGATGACTCGAAACTCTCACTCAGCACCGCCATTTTCCGAGAAAGCGACTCCGTATACCGGCTCATGACGTTGGTATCGACTGGACTTATTATGCGCGTCTTTGACCCTACAGAGGCACTCGAGTGTCTTTTCAACTCCCGTTTCCCCTTGTGTTCTTGTACTGGTAACCCGAATCCGCAAGAGAGGGAGGGTGAAACGGCTATTAGAGTATACGGATTGGAGAATATGTTGGAGGACTGGAGCTTGATAATGCCTCAAGCTGACATCCAGGTCACCCCTATTCTTTCTGATCGTCTCAAGGTAAACGTTGCTCTGGCTCTCTCTGGTGCCGGCGTTGTCATGACCGACGTCAGGTCATGCTGCTTTGAATGCGCATTGAAAGAGCTCAGAAGGGAACCTAGAGCAATGAGGCCGGAACGCATCATTAGGACACGGTTGCATGATCGGGCTTTAGCTAGTTGAACACAAATTGTTGCCGTTTAGGAAGTGCTTTTCCATTAAATCTCAATAGAAATCCATTGATGATTATACCTGCTAGTACTTGATAGGTCAAAATGAGTGTGCACCCACGACACTCGCCAGGTTGGGGCCGGTTACTGAGCAGAGCGGACGAGAGAGTATGGGATTGATAGCTTGATCAGAGCAAAGTAACAAGTCATCTAACCAGCTGCCTCTATTATGCCTTTTTGTTCACACCCCAAGTCGTTGATTCCTACACGTCCACCGCTCGAAACTGAGCCGATAGATAGTGCTGGGAGTCAGAGATAAATAGGGCAGAACTCTCCTCGCCTCTGTTTTGAGATCAATCTTAAAGCACCGACGACCAATCCTCCTGGCGAATAAACTCCTCAATAGTCCAGAAGGGAACCTCTACCCCAAGCTATACAATTCCATCATTAGCCAAGAGTTTGCGAAAGTAGTGAAGGTACTCACGTCAGAAGGGAAGATGACGCTGGGGTCACCACCGTGATATCCAAAGTCTCCAATGTATTCGTACATGTCAGCAAGCTCCTCCCCGACACCGCCGGGAATCGCATTTTCGAGGACCTTGCGATCCAGTTGTTGGAAGGTACATTGCACGCCGTGGACCTTGCCCCACAGAGCGGCGTACTCGTTCCAGCTCAAAAAGCCCGAAGCACCAAGAAGGTGTTTCCCGGGTTCGACCTGGGTGAGAGCCTTGACGAAGTAGCCTGTAGAGCCCTTTTAGTTGTGTGTTCTCCCAAAGTGGGGAGACACCTACCAGTATCGTGGCGCGCATTAACTTGGGCTACTGGGGCGTCAGGGTTTCCAGGAAGGTTCCAGATGTATGTGTTATCAGGTTGCTGCCGCCTAGTTAGTGTCCGATCTTGGCATCTCACGTCGACACCAACTATGCGTCACACGTATAACAGTGGGGGCGTGGTAGATTTACCTTGTTGGGCCTCCCCAGCGGAGAAGACCTCCAGTTCTCAAGATACAAGGCCACCTGCAGATACGACGTTTTCTTGTCCAGGGCCGGGTATGTAGCCTTGAGGTATTCGACAGCTTCCCATTTAGCATCAAAGTGAAAGTTGTGCGTATACTTTCCCTTGCTCAACTTCTTGGTGGGAGAGAGAGTCGAGAGCACGAATCTGTCAATGGTCTCCAGAGTGGCGTTGACTGCGTCAACAATGTTGCGACCTTGCTGCACTTCGAGGTCGTAGGCCAGCACATTGACGGGACTGCCAGCCTCTTGGGCTCGCTTCTGCACCTCAGGATCGCCGACGATTCCCCAGAAGTCAGTGACTCCAAATACCACAGTTGATCCTGCAAATGCGGCTTTCAGAGAGGCAGCGTCGTTCAAGTCCGCCTTGACGAGTTCGACACCTTTAGCAGCCCATTCCTGGCTTGAGGCCTTGGTTGGATCGCGTGTAACGCCACGGACGTGCCAGCCTCCCTCTTGGAGGAACACGTCGGCAACCGAAGCGCCCTTTTTTATCAAAATGAGCAAGACTTATCGTCACCAGTCTGAACCAGGACCATAGCATTCTTACCTGCTTTCCGGTAACACCGACCACTGTGATAATCTTGTTCGCCATATTGATTTATTGAGAGAAGTTTTGAGATGATTGTTTGATAGAATAGGTACTAGAACAAGAAATAATAACAAAGTATTTATAGAGGTTCCGTCTTCTCGCCCATCTAACAAAGATGTCGTCTCTATCTGGAGGTCGGGACAACCAGTGAGCCGTCTTGGCTTGCGTTCCATTATGGCGCAATATGATTAGTGATAACGGATCATTGCGTTGTGCCTACCTAGTTCTCAAGGTGGCCCGATTAATCGGGTTCGGTTCATAATGATCCCCGTGAGAACAGAATCACGTGCGTTCTTTCATCCGTACGGACGCCGCGCTAAACCGCGAGCAGGACGATCACTAATCATCGTCACAGATGAATTAATATTCTACCTTTATTAATAGATGAATGAATCTTCTACCATTATTCATCTTAGACAGAACAAGACACGAATTCAGCGCCGTGGAGTTCCACGGACATAGCACCCAACATGATAAAATGTTTGCGAGAGCGCCAAACATCAAACGGCACTCCACCCTTGACATATCTACGCTTACTCTCATAAAGGCCTACATCCCATAAAATTGTTACTCCTCTCTATCGCCATGACTTCGTCGTCTATCATCAACGTCCTCGTCCTTGGCGCAGGCGGAAACGTGGGCAGGTCCACTATCAAGGCTCTGCTAGAGGAGAACTTCACAGTCACGGGATTGACCCGGGATACTTCCAAGGCTGTCTTGCCGGCAGGAGTGAAACATGTCAAGTCCGATTACTCCGAAGCATCTTTGATCGAGATCTTCAAGGGCCAGGACGCCATTGTCAGCACCGTTTCCAGCATCGTTCCTGGAGATGCTCTGGCCATCCAAAAGAAGATTGCCAAAGCGGCTATTGAATCAGGCGTCAAGGTGTTCGTTCCATCGGAATACGGCGTCGACACCTCGAACCCTGATGCTGCTACCTACATCCCATTTCTGAAAGACAAGCTCGATACCGTCGATTACCTCAAGACGCAGCAGGATAAGATATCCTGGACAGCAATCGTCTCTGGGTCGATGTTTGACTGGGGCTTGAACATTCCTGGATTTGCAGGACTCAATGTCCCCTCTCGTACCGCTACGATCTTTGATGGGGGCGATATCCCATACGAGGCCACAAACTTGGATCAAGTTGGCAGGGCCATTGCCAAGAGCTTGAAGAACCCAGAGGCTACGAGTAATGAGTACGTGTACGTCAATAGCTTCACCGTCACACAAAATCAGGTGGTGGCGGCCCTCGAGAGAGCTACGGGGGAAAAGTTTGACATATCGCATGGAACCGTTGAGGGATTGTGGCAGGACGGCGCCACGCAGGTTAAGGATGGGCAGTTGCTTGGTACTCTGGCGATGCTTGCCGGGGCTATCTATGGTAAAGGTAGTCTGGCGAACTTTTCTGTCACAAAGGGGCTGTGGAACGAGAAACTGAGCTTACCCCAGGAGGACTTAGATGCCTTTATCCAAGCCTACGTGGCTGGAAAGAAGTAGCGTTTGAATGCCGGTTGTACCGTATTATAGGTATCCTATATTACAATGAGTTCTACCTGTCTGATGGGACGGCTGCCTGCTAAGAGCCTCTGCCTCAAATGCGAAAGTGGCCTTTTCCGCTGCAAGCTGTAGAGTGTTCGGGTTGGGGAACGTTCAACAATCTGTTCCGTTCACGGAAAATGGCACCCAGCACCGGATCACCGGATCACCGGAGTTCTACTCCTAAATGTTAGCATGTCGTCGGCGCCAACGGCGCCAAGCTATTGTTCAAAGCTAAACTCGGCCCCTGTGAGTGACATGGGGTGTATTAATCCAGGAAGCCGAAGCATGTGGGAGGTGTGAGCACCCAGTCTTATAAAAGTCCGATCAACCGGCGTTTGCTCCCCTTCCCCGCCCATAGAGCCATTTGTCATATGCAATTCTGTGAGCTTCTAGTGATGAAGATATGACATTTCCATCCATTTTGATTTATCATCATGCTATGATTATCATCAACCTTGCTTCGTCGCGATCCCGGCCTGACATCCCCCATTCAGAATCCAGAGATTCCATCTGGACTGACGAGACCTCATTCTCTGGAACAATTCATCCTTGTCATTTGCATCCCCAAGCTCATCCTCAAATGCCCGAATGTATTCCTCGGTGCTCTTCAGCATTGACAGAGCAAGAGCTTCGTTGGGCTCTGTCGCAGGCGTGAAAGTATGCCCAGGTACAACCACCTTAGGCTTCAACGCCGCAATCTGCGAAAGGGCCTCGATCCACTGCGCCCGTTTGTCGTGGGTGGCGGCCTCACCAAGCCATTGGTGACAGTCCCCGTTGTAGACGATGTCACCCGCGACCACCAGTCCTAACTCGGGCAAGTGGACGAAGGAGTTGGCGTGGGTATCACCGTGTGGGACGTCGTAGAGCTTGACCAAGTGCCCATCAAGATCGACCTCGTTGGACGGTGGAAGGGCTACAAACTCGGCCCTTTCCGCCGGCATGCCAGTGCCGGCTTCAGCTGAGGGAAAATGAACCTTCCAGAGCGCTTCGTAGAGCTCAGGGGCGTATTGAGATTCAACCCCTTCAACTACACTCTTGGTGGCAATAGCTGTGACGGAAGGGAAGAATTCTTTCAAGACTGGGAACCCAAAGAAATGGTCCCCATGGGCGTGAGTGGCGATGAAGTGCTTCAAGGTGCAGCCGGCTGGTAAGGTAGATTTAATCCATGATGCAAGTTCCCTAGTGGCGGCGATGCTTGCAGGACAATCCACCAAAACGGCGGTAGTCGGTGTATAGATAAGAGTGCAAGAGAGGGGTGACCAAAGACCAGAGTCCTTTGATGATGGATCAGGGGAGCTGGCGGCGGTCGGAATCGGCTGGCAAGTGTAGATGGAGAATTGCACTGCCATGGTTGCAACAACTGAATTCTATTGGGGTCTGAGTACGATGATATGTAGAAAGGTTACAGGGTGGCAGCAAGCAGCCTTTAATAGTACTCAAGAGCTGCTCGGGGAGTTAGGTAACTGATACCAATAATCCCTTTAGTCAGCTCCCCGAATACTTTTATGATTACTGACCCAGTGGCGTGTAGCATTATGCCGGAGAGAAATTATTAATAAGGTTACTCTAGGCTGAGAGAGTCTGGCAAGACTATTTGGCTTCTAAGCTTCTAACCCTTGTTATCTTCATCACTTGACCAGTCTCCCTCAGCATCGTCATCCTGGCTCGAGATCTTGTTTCGGGCATTGCCGGTGGGAGTAGCTAGGCTCTCATTTAGAACCAGTGAACTTGGCAACACGGTTCAAGCAGTAAAGGTTGGGGAGGGTCATGGAGATGTTTATTATTTCTGGCGACAAGATCTCTTTCGACCAAACTAGCAATTGAAGAGTTCCAGAGAAAATGGATAAATTAGAGATAGGCCAATCTAATGCAGTAAGGGCCCGGCACCCCGATTTCCACATCAACCAAGACCCGCGGCGATGCAGTTGACATGCAGAATTCATCTTATGGCATTAGTAGACACCGCCTTGACTCAATTCTCCTTTTGATTACGCCGACAGAGTCTCCGAGAAGCTGCGTTTATAGCTCAGGCTTCTTCGGCTTCGGTAGCCGAGTATCCCGCAAACACATCGCAAATGCGAGCATTGGGATCACAAGACACATACCAGCAATCATCAAAAGGCGTTGAATGTATCGATAGCTCTCGATGATAGCGGTTCGTTCGGGGGTTCCAACGGGATATTCAGGCACCACGTACAATGGCGCGGCATAGACTTGCTGGGCGAGTTCAAAATTAGGAGCCAGATCCTTTTGAAGTCGATCATATAAGGTCTGTGTCCAAATGGCGCCCGAGACCGTGTTTCCAAGAGCCACTCCAACATTGTTCATCGTCAGCATAATGCTGGTAATAACTGCGATGTCCTCGTGTTTGGTGAGAGCCTGAGCGGCAGCCATATTGGGATAGGAGAAGAAGCCGCCAGTCAGTCCTAGCACGACTTGGCCTGCGATCACACCTGCCTTCGCACTTGTATCAGTGCCTCCACGGTAGTGAAACATGATACCATATGCAACAAGCCAAAGGCTAATGCCGCCGACAATGAAGGGCTTAAGGCGTCGGATCTTTCTGATGACTAGGCCGAGGGACACTCCTCCGACGATAGCACAGAAGCTATACACAGAGGCGATACGGGTCGAATCGGCAATGCTAAAATCAAATCCAACGATCAAAACTGTGTATAGAAAGTCGGCCTGTGTGCACCAAGAGAAGGATATGAAGATGGCGACAAGAAGCGCTGCCCAGACGCCCCTCTCTCGGAGGAGGTACCTGGGCATCATCGGATGGGTCGTAGTTCTTTCCCAGACAGCAAAAACAGGAATCATGAGAATGCCTAGCACCAAGGGGGTGATGATGCCGGCGGTCTTCCACTTCTTCGATTCTCCTCCCGCCAAGGTGAGGGGGATGAGAGTGAGAGACAGAGTAGCTGTAAGAAGAAAGACTCCTACGACATCGAGTTTATGGAAGACATCTGCGAGCATCTGTAGTCTTGTGTTTCCTTTCGATGGCGTGTATTTTATCTCGTGAGGAATGGCTTTCGAAGCGCGCCGTCCGACGATGGTCATGATCGTAACAAAAGGGATCAAGCAGACCGGGTATATGATGCACCACATGCCAATGCCCCATTTCCAGGTGGTTACCTCAAGCACAGCTGAAGTAACATTGCCACTGATCCAAGTGTTGATGATATAAGGCGTATTGGGAAGCAACACGAAAATGACACGGCTTCGAATCGAGGTGATATCGGCAATGATGATCTCGAGCACCAACAGCGTGCATGTGTACCCGATCTGGTACAATAGAGCTCCGGCGGCAAAGTGTTGTACTTGAGTGGCGCAGGTTTCGACGATGGTGCCAACAACGTAGAACAGAGCTACGATCAGGAACAGGGGCAAGCGGCCAATCAGGTCGGATAGCTTGGCAGCCAGGGGCTGAGATGCAGCGGCGATGACTCCTCGGATGACATTGATTGTCGAAAGCAGCGAATGCTGGGAATAGCTCGAGGTTGCGTATCCTTGGTAAGTAGATCGGACAAGCGCGTCGAGGCCGAAGGCGAATCCGACGACGAACATGCTTGAGAACAGCATGACTCGTTCTGCAGTGGTGATCTGGTCGTTGAAGGCCTCCATGTGGATAATTCCGGGGAGCTTCTCTTCTTGTGGCTGTGAGTTCTCATTGGTCGCCATTGCTTCGGAAATATTGATCTTTTGGTCCGAGTCAGGGCCGACGCCCTCGTCGGTTGGATTTGAGACCATGTTGAAACCCAGGATAAGGAGCAATAAGCTTATGCCAGAGAGATGATTCGGTGACCGAGTACTGCGGGATTCCAGGTTAAATAATGGCCATGATCAGCGAGTCTAACCATGCCTTAATGATCGTGACCGGCATTCTCCGACGCCGTTAGTCCACCCGTCGTCGTCACTTAGAGGAGCTTCAACTCGGGCCGTTGTGAACCTTTTGCTCGGAGGCCAAGATTGGAGGAGAAATGCCGATGTTCCGGGAATCTTGGCTCGCTTTCGCTTTTGAATGGACGAGTATACGAAAGCCGCTCAAGCCTCTCGCAACAGACCCATATAGTGACAAGGGTAAGGCGGATATGCCATTAAACCGACACTCCGTTCCTCCAACAGTGGCCATCAGGGTTGACAGGCGAGACTAAACTCCTTCTCTCTAGCTTTAAATCATGGGTCAACAGAACAAAACTGTGTGGTACACCACGAAGAATGATAATCTCTAACAAATGCTTCCCTTGGTACCCCCACGCATCAACGCAATAACTTGCTCAGCTTTCAGAAAGCTTAATTGATACTGTTCCGACATCGGGACATGGGTATAGCTTGTAGGGTACTTTAATAACGCATGGGTGGCACCTTAATATCTTTACCCAGCACATAGCATACGGAACACAGATGCCCAGGTTCCTTGATGCCAAGTCCCTCACTCAACCACACGTCAAGAATGTGGGCCATGTTTAAAAAGTTTCAATCTGTCAATTTATCATTATCACTCAATCTAACTTAACCACTCCCACTCAAGCTGACTTAACTCAGTCCGACTTTGAAGTTCCATAAAACAATTCAACGTAACTTTCAATGACGCAAAGTGCGACAAGAGCGGCAGAATGAGTCAACTCCTTGTCCGTCTTGAGACTCTCTTTCGGGTCTTGGGTCAGTTCCTTGTCGAGATCCACGCCAATCTGGCGATCAGGCATCTCTTCGGGTAGAGGGTAGAAAGGTTTGCCCTTGGGCATGTCACCCGGCTTCAGCTTCTGTTGGTCGTTGGGGTCATAGGTTGAGTCCCCCTCCTTGGGCACATGGCTCAGCCAATACATGGCGTCTTTGTAGGCCTGGCATTCAGGGTCATTCCTGCTGAGTCCTTCAAACATGACGTATGTAGCGCGAATGACGCTCTCGAGAGCCCCGACAATCCAGGCGTGGTGAGATGAGGCTGCCTCGCCGACCATGTAGAGTTGGCCAAATGCGTTTGGCTTGATGATCTCCTGCCACATGTTGGAGAACTGACCAGGCCCAAAGTAAGCAAAGGCTCCTGACATATTCTGGTCTCTGTACCAGTCATACGCGTGATGATCCATGTACTGGTCCTTGAGTTTCTGCAAAAGACCCTCATATTTGGACTTTTCTGGGGCGTGCATCAGGGCAAGATCGTGGAGAAGAACCTTCATGAGCTGTTCCTCATTCTCAGGGGTGTTGTTGGAGATGAGCGAGCCGATACGTTGGGCATCCTGTCCCCAGGTGTACGAACACAATAGCACCGCAGGCTTGTTCGGATCAAAGTCCTTGCCCTCTAGAGACTCAATGTTGTAGGAAGGATAGACGCAGACTCGAAGAGGGAGATCAGTTCGACCGATGCCTCCCTTCTTGATGTTGAGGTCCCCTTGCTGCCACCAAGCAGTCTTGAACTTGATGGCGACCTTGCAGGAGGCGCCGTAGCCAAGAGATCGAATGGCTTGCTTCGTGCCCCAAAGAAGCCCGGCATCCTTGAGGTCCATGCGCTGGAGGGCACCAAGGGTGGTGCTGTTGAACACGGCGAAATAGTCCTTCTTCGTCTTCTTCCCCTTGTTGTTGATGGCAAGTGTCATTGGGACGTAGTCCTTGGGGTTTTCTCGCTTCTCGACATTGGCATTGATGGCCTCAACCTGGGTGTTAAATTGAACTGGTCGCTTGATCTTCTCTGCCATCAGCTTGGCCACTCTCTGAGCACCTCCGTCGATGCACCACCACCACTGGACCCCCGGGGCCTTGTCTTGTGCAGGAGTTCCGAAGTCGAGTTCTTCGAGAACGCATTCACTGAGCGCTTGATCATACCATCCAGTTCCACTAGTAGGGTCAGCGAACGGTTCTCGGCCTACACGTTGGGTGAACTTACTAGGTTGCTGTCTCCAGCCATTCAATCGTGTTGTAGTTGAACTTTCTGTCCTTCCCCTTCTGGTTCTCTGGGTTTTCATCGCTGGACACGCCTTAGACATGTACTTGAAACAGTGGTGATGTGGGATATACTCACGAAGTCAGATACTGCCGAGTGCTCATGTGGTCTGCCGCCATGAGCCGCTTCCAGAGCTCCTTGGAGGCCTCTCCCTGGATAGTGCCCCCATCAACCTCCTCCAGGGCCTTGTCGAACTTCTCCTGGATGTCTTTAATAAAGGGGGCGAGCGAATCGGACACGAGCTTTGACGGGTCCTGTTCCAAGAATCTGAAGGCCAGTTAGCTGTGCATCTTAGTCTTGGGGGCTCATAGCTTCACTTACTCGTCGGGGATCTTTCCACCATCGGGAAGCCCACTGTTGATTCGAAAGGGATCTTTGATACCCTTGTTCCAGGCGTTGCCCACCTGTCGCACGTCGTTGAAGTAGGAAGGGCAAACGCCATCTATATCATCAAGATAGTAAGGGATGATACCACCCTTGCCCTGATGCAGTCCAATCAAGTTGAAGAGCTGAAACGTTCTACAAGGCGTTTGAAGTTAGTCGGGCGAAATAAGAGAATGAGACCGAGCGCACCTTTTCATGATGTCATTGTTGGGGAAGCGCATCGCACCGACGTCGTAATAGTCGTGCGTCTTCACCGGGTCTCCCTCAGAGAACTTGTGCGTGTAAAGACGGCCACCCAGCCTTTCCTCCCCTGCAGCCTCCAGGATGTCGTACTTGATCTCGAGCTTGCCTTTCAACTCGGGGTGCTGGTTCAACCAGTCAAAGACCATGGCAGAGAAGAGTCCAGAGACTCCAGCACCAACAATGCCAATGTCAAGCTTGCCCCGCTCCTTAGGCACGAAGCCGACACCGGTCACTTTGGCTGTTGCCTTTTGTAGTTCAGCAACAGACTCATTGCCGGTGATATCGATAGGGAGGTTGGAATCAATGACAGCAGCCTTGGTGACCTTCAAGTCATAGTTCAGCGTGAGCTTTTGAACATAGCGAGACCACATGTACTTGAATGACTTGGACTCGAGATGCTCTCCCACCACTGTGACGTCTGTGGATGAAGCCATTGTGTAAAGCAAGAGATGAGAGTTGTGCGGTGTGCACTGACAAAAGACGATGAGAGAAAGAGTCGGAAGTACTAGACTATCTAGTACTAGATGGTCTTGTTCTGATTATTTCATATCAGCGGCTAGGGGAAGACTATATAGTCGCCTCCTTCATAGTTGCTATCCAAGCTACCAGTAGGTGAACCTCAATATAGTGAAGAACTTGTTGACCGAAGGGGACATTCCGACGGAGAGATGTCTCGGTGAGGAGACGTAAAAGGCTTGTGATCACATACCGGTACCTTCTCAGCTCTCGTGAAGCAACGCCTCATTGCCTTTTACATCCAGATGCTGATGAACCATCTATCCATAACAGGATTGAAGGCTGGCTGGACTGATGGAGACACGCGGAATGTGGCTAGTTTCGCGGGCCGCAGCCGGGCTCTGGCCTCACACTCTATGCCTAATCTGGCCAAGCATAGTGCATGCTGATTGGCGTAAGGCCTCCGCTGAGACAGGCTAGAGACACTATCGAACCCTGCTAGGCTCATTCGGTCATAGGCCAGACATCCATTATCTGCGCAGCAACGCCATCGCCAATGATGCGGCCCTCAACCCCTCTCGATATGACACAGAATTCAAAACCAAAACCAATATCTTGTCCTGACCTGACGTGAACGATAGCCACGAGGCCCAGAACAAACGCGGGGAACGGCCTGTCTCAGCACATGCCTAAGACATGCAGGCATCTCGATGCGTCTTTGCGGCTGAAGTTGTCTTGGCCCGCAGGTGGCCAAGACAGGCCAAAGCCACAATAAGTATCGATGGAACCATAGGAGGTATGAGAAGTTGAATGCCAGAACTGAACTAGTTTTAGATACATGAAGTTGGGAAAAGACAAAGTCGTCAACGCAATGCGTGGATACAAAAGCAAGTCTGACACAAAACAAACGAACATGTACAGTCATTAATGCCAACCAACAAAGGCATGGTTTTGTCAAGTAAGAATAGATGTAAAATGCTTCAAGATCTACTGGGTTTCTTCCAACTTCGTAAACGCAGGGTTTGCAATAGAAAGTTGAGATTAATTTCGATCTCATACGCGTTTTGAGATATGAGAAGAAAAGAGGCCCTACCCTAGACATCTAGGGAGGTCCATGTGCTCGCCACAAGAGGGAAATCGACCAGATATTAACGCAGCATATTAAAACTATTTATGCATAGATAACCGAAACCAAAGCAGCTCCAAGGGTTTCCTAGACTTGGGAAGCCATATATCTATCTCTCTACCTGGGTTCTCGCGTTGTTGAGTGACGCCATTGACGCTGGAGCATATCTGTGGGACAAGGCTAGATTTGATAGGCCTGTGTGTGTCTGAGCGCTGCGGATCACCTCCTCCGCTTCAGTACGATTGGCTGAGCCGAACCGCGAATTATGGGTCTTTGTTGTTGATAAATCTGGGGTATCCCGTTCAACCCTAATTTCGCGATTGTGAGACGCGTTGTGTTTGACAATATTTCTGGTTGTCTCACTGGACGTTATGAGATTGCAGCATATATCCCCCCCCCCCCCGGAATCTAATGTCTATCTGATCAAAATACCAATAAAGACCCAGTTTCTCTCTGGGCAACCCCCAATCCTCATCCTATGTCCAGCGCTAGCTGGTGGGTCTCATTAGGTATTTCCGCATGCGACTCAACGGACGGCAACCTCTATTTTGCCTAATGAGCCGACTTCTCGTGAATTACTAACGCACGGTAGCATGGACTGGACACCTTGGTCTGCTGCCCCATACGGAGTAGAGGGTCCTTCTTTAACTGCCGACATTTTGTACCGTTGGAGTACTTTTGGTTGCGCAACGCCGATCTAACTCGCGCCATCTCCCGCCGACGCTTTCGTATGCTGCGAATTGATTTCGTCTTTTCTATGTACCGAAAATAAAAGAGGAAACCGAGGGTTATTGTTGATGCATTTCGTGGTGCCATATTGAACATGGCTCGGCCTATCTTTGCGGTGCTACATCGGCTTTGACCAGGGCTATGTGGTGACCACGGCAACGCGACACGGCAAATCTTGTCGCACGATAGCCCATGTGATTTATACAGGTCCTCAGAAGGCATCACAGCAAATTACTTGAGAATAAGATCCAAATGAAATACGGGCGATGAAACATTCATTGCCACCGTGACACCTGCACCGGAGCCACTCTGCGTTTGACGGCATAGCGAGCACCCTCATGGGCAAAGATTTAAGCTAGGATTGTTAGATAGTCTATCTCCATAGAATTTCATTAACTCATCAGTTGAGCGGATGGACTGTACCTGTCTCTTACTGCACGCTGTCTAGATGTGTCTCCGCCCCGCCTTGACAAGCTTAATAACGTTACGCCCCGCAAGACGGATCGTTCGTGAACCTGGGGTCTCCGCACTTTGCACGCGGGGTAGTGTTGTAACCGTTCCCATCGCTGTTGATCATTCCGGTGGAAGGTTACTTCCAGTTCAAAGATTCGCTGTCTCGGGCTAATGCTATGTCGAGTGAGCCCTAACGTCACGGTGAAGCTGTGGCCGAGGAGAAAGTAGCCTCTGTTGATGTTGAGATGGGCTATATAAATCGTGTGTTGGAGTAGTGCGAGTTTGGTGTCTTGTAATCCTCTCTTGGGTGTAACACTCACCTGTTGAGATCCGGCAGTCATCATGGCATTGGAAATATCTCGTGTCTCTTTTGAGAATCATCGTTCCGCCCTCGGCATTGCAGAAGCGCAACCACGTGTTTCATGGCGATTTGGAGGCGTTGCTTCCAACTGGGTGCAAAGCTCCTACGAACTTGAAATCAACCGCGACGGGGCATCAGAAGTTTACAACGCCGTCTCAGCTCAGTCTCTTTATGTGCCTTGGCCTGGCCCTCCCCTCAACGAGGCCGAACCCGCTTCGGTCCGGGTCCGCGCGCATGGGGACAAGACATCTACTCCCTGGTCTGACTGGGTTTATGTTGAAACAGGTATCTCTAATGAGACCTGGTCTCGCGCTAGCCCTATCACTTCAACCCACGAGTTCGACACAGACAAGCCCAAAGTACCGCTTTATTTTCGGAAAGCTTTTGATATCTCAGATGATATCCTCTCAGCTAGGCTCTACATTACAGCCTTAGGGCTTTACGAGGCAGAAATCAACGGGCAGCGAGTCGGTGATCATGTTCTCGCTCCCGGCTGGCAATCCTATCATCACCGCCATGTCTATGATACGTACAACGTGACGGAGCTACTACAGTCTGGTCATAATGCCATTGGTGCTCTTGTTGGCGAGGGTTGGTACGCGGGTCGACTCGGATTCGGTGGAGGCAAGCGCAATATCTACGGCGATGCTATCGGGCCTTTAGCATTGCTCAAGATCACTTTGAAGAACGGTAGCACACAATGGGTACCAACCGACGACACTTGGAAGTCGACTACCGGGCCTCTTATCTCGGCGGAAATCTACGATGGCGAGGAGTACGATGATCGTTTAGCCTCAGACTTGAAAGGTTGGTCTACGGTCAGTTTTGACTCTGATGGGTGGGAGGGAACTCGTGAGCTTTCGCCTCTGAAAGGAGAACTTACTGCGCCCGATCAACCACCAGTCCGTGTCATTCAAACCGTCAAGCCGAAGAGCTTCTTCAAGTCTGCCTCAGGCAAAACCCTTGTTGACTTTGGCCAAAACCTGGTTGGGCATCTCCGCATCAACGTGACGGGCCCCAAGGATACCAACATCACGTTTCACCACGCAGAAGTGCTTGAGGATGACGAACTGGCTCTCAGACCCCTACGACAGGCTGCTGCCCGCGATGTGCTTATTCTAAGCGGTGACGGTCCAGTTCAGTGGGAGCCCAGATTTACATTTCACGGCTTCCGTTACGCCCAAGTTGACGGTTGGCCCGAGGAGACGCCCCTTGACGAAAACTCAATCGTGGCAGTGGTCGTTCATACGGATCTGGAAGAAACAGGGTTCTTCGAGTGTTCCAACCCCCTCCTGAATCAGTTCCATTCCAATGTCCGTTGGTCAATGAAGGGAAATTTCCTGTCGATCCCGACTGACTGTCCTCAACGGGACGAACGGCTCGGATGGACGGGAGATGCCTATGCTTTTGGCCCGACTGCCAACTATCTTTTTGATACGGCGGGGTTTTGGAAGGGCTGGCACAAGGATATTTGGTCTGAAATGCAGGGAAACCGGATGGCACCTCCCGTCTATGTGCCTTCGGTCCCCGTCAATTTAGGAGGTTACTTACCAACCGCAATCTGGGGGGATGTGGTTGTGGGGAATCCCTGGAACACCTTTACAGCCTTCGGTGATGAAGCTCTCCTGGCCGAAAACCTGCCACAGGCACAGTCGTGGATTGATGTTGGCATTCCTCGCAACCAAGAAGGACTTTGGGACCCAGAGCCATTCCAGTTTGGAGACTGGCTGGACCCGCTGTCGCCAGCAGACAGCCCCGGCAATGCTACCACTCACCGTGTACTTGTTGCCGATGCATATTTGGTCAAGATGACGGAGATCATGTCGCAAATATCCGATGCTTTGGGGAACCAGGACTTGGCGAAGAACTATACTCGGCAACATGATGATCTCAAGCAGGCATTCGAAGCCGCGTGGGTACCAGATGGAGATCTTGCGAACCAAACGCAGACGGCTTATACCCTTGCTCTTGATTTCGACCTCCTTAAAGACAAGCAAGTACGTACCAATGCCGCTCAGTCACTCATCCGAAAAATCAAGGACAACAACTACCTCGTGGGCACTGGCTTTGCCGCTACAGCTCGGCTCGGGTTCGCGCTCAAGAGTATTGATTCGATTCCTGATTTTTATCGAATGCTCCTACAGGAGAAGGTCCCCTCCTGGCTGTATCAGGTTGTTCAAGGCGGCACGACCACATGGGAGCGCTGGGATAGCCTTCTAGCCAACGGCAGCGTGAACTCAGGGGAGATGACGAGCTTCAATCATTACGCATTTGGCTCTGTTGCTGATTGGATCCATAAAGTGGTAGGAGGCATTGCCCCAGCTGAGCCAGGCTACAAGAAGATTACTATCGCGCCAGTTCCTGGTGGGGGTATCGACAAGGCCAAGGCCAGACTGATTTCTCCTTATGGAGAGATCGTTACGGATTGGAAGGTTAAGAATGGTCATTTCGATTTAAAGGTTATCGTCCCGCCAAATACGCAGGCCGAGATAATCCTCCCTGGCCCGAAAGAAAACTCAAGGGTTGTTGGCTCAGGATATCACAAGTTTCGTGTTGAGGGTTTCACCCTGCCGCAGTGAAGCAAGTAGTGTGGCGGAAGTGCGAGATCAAGAGTATCTCTATTAGTTTTACCATTCTTAATGTGATGTTTCTACGTTGTAGGGTTTCTTTAACAACTGATACTTTTTATTTTTCTTCTTGCCATCGATTACATCTTCAAAAGAGGCCCTCCACCGATTTCTATAATGTCACTACATGATAAGATTGAACCCTGACACAGTAAAACACATCAGCCTAGCCATAAACTAATTCATATATAACTACAAGAGCAGTATCTTCATGTTTGTTTTTTGAATCACAGCGTAAACAAGTTGGCGTTCTCTCCAGTCTCCTTCAGTTTCCGATTCGCCTTCTTCAGCATGATTTTCATCACCACACAAGTCACCACAGACAGAAGCGAAAAGGCCATCATCAAGATATTGGCCTTGACATAGCGAGGCCCATCGCTCGATGGAAAGAAATAAGGACTCCAGATATTACCCAACTGGCTCAAGAGGTTGATGATGGCTGTTGCACAAGCTCGCTTCTCGGGTGTCTGGTTAAGAGTCGAGCTCGCCCAGCTGAATACCATTGCGTTGGAAGAGAAGCACCCGCATATGTATAGGAAAGCGGCTGTGTATCTTGCAGCGTTGTTGAGGGTGGAAACTGAGATGATGAAGCCGATGCAGGCGACGAATTGGGGCACTGCAATATGGTAACCTCGATCCTTGCGGCGATCACTAGACCAAGCTGTAGCAAAGGCGGTGGCAGTAGCCACAAGGTATGGAGGAGCTGTCAAGACAAGTGTCAGGGTATTGTCGCCGAGCTTGAATCCTTTGACGATGGTAGGGAAGAAGCTGTTAAAGCCGTAGGCGCTGTGGTTGGCCGTGAGCATGATGACCTATCAAGAACTATTAGTTGTCGTATACACAATGATGGAAACAAGAACTTACAAAGACCCAAGTCCGGATATCTTTGGCAGCCATTGCCAGCCCGCTCCAGACACTGTTATCAGCCTGGGGCAAGGACACGCGGTCTCTCTGGATTCGCTCAACCGCAACCTTTTGCTCGTCATCCGTGAGGAGCCATTTGACCGCCCCAGACTTTTGTCCAGGGAAATCAGGCAAGAAGATAAACGCAATCAGAGCAGCACCAAAACTGCCAGCGCCTTCAATAATGAAGAGCCATTGCCACCCAGCAATTCCCCTGACGCCTTCAAGATTTGACAAGACGCCAGCAGCAATGAGACCCGAGAAAGCTGTGGCCAGGAGAACACCAGAATATAGAATCGCTGTGCGGAGCGCAAGTTCCTTACGGGGATACCAGCAGCTGAGGAGATACATGGCACCGGGGAAGAATGGGGCTTCTGCGATACCCAGGAAGAATCGAATGACGATGAGGTGCGTGTAATTACCGGCACCTGCAGTCGCAGCAGAGACGATAGACCACAGGGCCGTCCAGAACGGTATATAGATCGAAGGCCGGGTACGCGTAAGGAGCATATTACTGACCTGGCGTTAGTTGAAACCTCAGGAAGGTCTGTCCTGTTAAGCATACCTTGGTAGTTGCATGAGCATATAGCCCACGTTCAGAATCGAGACTGCCACATTGAATTGATTCCCCTTGAGACCGAGATCTTGCTCAAAGCTGCTAAGTCTTGCCTGACTGGGTAAGAGGTCAGTATTGGTAAAGAGGAGACTGTTTATCTACAAACCACGTACGCAATGTTGTTTCGGTCAAGGTAGTTGAACAGATAAAGAAGCCATACCATAGGCACAAGAGTATAGTCGAGTTTCCGAACAAGACTCTTTTCGGCGGCGTTGTACTCCTCCTCGGTCATACCCAAGTCGTTGCTCTTTGTTTCAGTCATTGTCTCCTTGTCCACCGGAGGCAAAGCATCATCGATGTGATCCGACGAGCCATGGAGATCATTGAGCTTAACGTCTGTCTTGGAGTTTGTCATTCTAGTAAGAGTAACTGAAAAGTGTGCAAGGACAGTGATGTATCAGGCCTGGATGGAGGAAGCACTGCTAAGGGTGGTTGATGACTCCAAGGAAGAAAGCGAAGGGCCTTTAATATGTTCCTGGCCCAGTTGTACGAGCACCGTCACCCACCCAATGTGATGAAGAGGCAACTCTGTGTTCAACGCGACCATGATTCGATCAGTTGACAAGTTGGAGGCACACCGTGGGGGCAACGCGGAACGCGGGGAATGGGAGATTGGCCACAGTTGCTTCGGAGCAGTCCGTGATCGGGGAAAAGACGGCACGGAGCTATCCTTTGCCTTGGGAGAGACCCGAAGGGACCATCGAGATGTTCTCACCACCGCTCCACGAGGATGGCACGGCAAAAAGCAAGTGATAGATGCATGGTACCAAGTTACATCTCATCGACACACCATCTTTTGTTTGTAACTCTACCACATCCTGTCGTAACTCGCAATGCCCCCCTCCAAAGCGCTCGACCTCTTGCGCAGGTTTACAACTTGCGATGTAAGCCCTTGCTTTAGTGATCCCACCTCTTTGGTGTGGCTGAAAGAAAGACTTACAGTTCTCAGATTGGCGATGCCCTGGTCAAAATGAAGTATCCATATGGGGGATTCTTGGATGGCATCCGCATCTTCTCTCCGGACTCTCAAGCTCGCATCATTGGTCCGGCTGTTACTGTCAAGATGGTTGAGTCAAGCGATAAATCTGCCCCAGCATTGGACAAGCACTTTGTTGATCACAACGAACACGGTGGCGTCATGTATATCCAACAGCCCAAGGACCTGCCGTCAGCTTGCTGGGGTGGATTGATGTCGACTAGAGCAAAGTTCCTGGGGGCCAAGGGCGTAGTAATTGATGGCCGAATGAGAGACATCAATGAGCACAAGGAGATGAAGTTTCCGGTATGTGTTTCACTTGAGATTCGTCTATGCCGACTAATTGCCTCGAGGTGTTTGCTCGCGGCCACTCCATACTGGGCTCCAACACTTTCACTAGAGCCTCTGCAGTGAATATTCCTCTCCAATTTAAAGGCAAACTCTGGGTCAACCCAGGAGACATACTTGTGGGAGACGCCGATGGTGTCGTCGTCGTGCCTCCGTCGCTTGCCGAACGCGTTGCTGAACTGTGTCAGGCGAGAGCTGAGGTAGACGAAAAGATGTTTACTGAACTCAGGAAGGGCGCTGCGATGGGAGAGCTCATCAAGACGATCCGAAAGGATAAGTGACGAGGTATTAATTACAATAGTTTATCTTTATCACTATAGTAATTATATGTAAGCTGACGAGTAGGGTAGATGGTCAATGAAGACTGACTCTGGCTCGCTCTGATTGCGCTACTGGCCTGCATCATTTCAGTTTAGCATCGGATGCGCGATCCTCAGCCCGCTTGACGCCAATGCCCAGCACGATTAGCACCCTGACCATCACCATCGGCAGCGTTGAAACCATGGTAATCCAGTCGTCACCAGTCCAAGCCGTCAGGTTTGCCCAATTGGCCAGCCCCCCGGCGCCCTGGACCGTGCCGGCGCAGTACCAGATGTCGCTCAGCAGCATCCCCGTGCACAGCACGCGCCAGAGGGCCAAGTCGTCGAACATGCGCATCACCACGCCATCGATAAAGGCAAAATAGATCCAGGAGCCCCCGATCTGGGTATAAATAAAGGCGTTGCTCTGCGCAAAGGTAATGCTCCCGCGCGTCATGGCGTCAGCGTAAGCAGCCGGCTTGACCGACACCATGATGGCGCCGGCGGTGGCGAGGAAGGGCTCGATGCTAAGGAGGATGAGCCGGTATATGAATGGCGTGGATTGGGTTGCGGATACAACTTGACGCGTGGACGACATTTTGAAGCGGGAGGGCGCGAGCGGTGCTTGGAGGAGATGGATTGGGATGAGGTCTGAATCTTGGTAGGGCGAGAGCCTCCAGCTTCAAGACCAGGATCAGGGTCAGGGGCTAAGTCCTGTGACAATCCTGGCTGAGCCAGTTAAGAACTTTGCCAAGTTCAGGCTCTGAACCCAATTATATATACTCTCCCTGTACAGCCACTAGCAAGAAAAAGAAAAGAACCACCATCCGTAGTGAATCGCTCCAAGAAGAAGTGTGGAAGAATTTATTGCCAAAAGCTATTTGTAGAAAGCGGCTGCCGCTTTCATGTTGGATTCTACCGCAGCGATCCGAAGGGGCGCGTTGAAGCTGCCCTCGACCTGAGCTATCAAACATGACTTTCCTGCCCACCGCTGGAATGTGTTCCCCAACACCTTAGCAGAAAAGTGAGGTCGCACCCAGAAGACTACCTCCTGTTAGAGTACCAAGACCTGCACTAACCAAGGCTGTAACAATGTCGCATGCACTCTTCGTTTCCTTTTCAGTGAACGAGACCTTGTAGTTCGCAACAAAGGTATCCCCGTCTTTAGCCGTAGAGGAGCCGAGGAACGACGGGATCTGAACCTTGACTCTCTTATTGGTGCTGCAAACGCCGTTCGGGGTGCAGTAATAGTCTTCGTACGCTTCTGTCTTGCATGATCCGGCAATGACACCCCTTAGCTGGTCGAGGTAACCCTTGAATTTGTCGGCAACGCCCTGGTTCGTAGTGCCATCAATGGTCACACAAGTCTGGTCGTCACACGCCTTCTTGGTGACGTCGCACCCAGTCCCCAGGCAGCCTTCCTTGACCGCCGCGTCGAAGAGCTTCATATAGTCATCACAGGAGTACAGACCCTCCCCGACGTCAACCTCGTTGAGCTCGGCATGGAACTCGATGTCGGTTTTCAAGACCTCGACTTCAAGGGGTTCAGTGTGAATCGAAAATTTCAGGCAAGTTCCATCTGGCCCAGTCCAAAGAGAATTGCCGCCCGAAATCTTGGATCCAACGGAACAAGCGTCGATAGATTTTTTGAATGAGTCTTTGCACTCATTCTCTGGCATAGAGGCTGGTGCAGCGCAACCGTCGGCCGACGAAGAAATTGTCACCCAGAAATTGCCGGTGGACCAAGTCTCCTCCTCCCCAGGTTTATGAAGCCGGCAGTAGTTGGAGGTAAAGCCCGTGAACATATCTCTAACCGTGTCGGTAAATTCAACCTCGCCTGCAGGGCATAGGTCATCAGCTCGTGGAGCAAGCTCAAAGGGGTGCGAAGCCACCGTGCTTATCTGGCCAACGGCAGCAACAAGTAAAGAGAGAAGGAAGAAGCCCATTTTTTCTGACTGAAAGTTGAGTTTGGTAGAGTTGGTCTGGTCTTTTGATCAAAGGAAAAGAGAGTGTGTTGATCTGAGTCACGATGACTCAAGCGGACTGCTCTGCCTTAAAACTATACTTTATATTCTTATGAAATGATTATTTTTAGAACGTTTACGCCGGTCAAAATAGTCACCGGCGAAGTAACTATCTGTCATAAGCTGAACATTCGATTTGAGCTACAAAAAGCCCCTATTATTCTATTAAAGCGGCTCATACAGCCCTTTAGCTACAGTCTCAGCCTCATTTAAAATGAAGCCGTTAGCCTAATGACCTTCAGAGCGCATTGTGTATCTTCTTTAGGTGACATGGGCTTATTCTCCGTGTTTTCTTCAAGGAGTGTCGTGTATCATTTGGTGGCGTAGGATTGTTCTTGGCGTTTTGTGTAGAGTGCAGTACACATCATCTTGAAGCAATGTAATTTTAAATGTAAGTCATAATCTAAGCCGTCGTACACAGCCGTGTGGGGCAGCGAGATGTAAGCAGCCCCCTGCGCGGCGTGCAACTGAAGGCGGACAGGCTCTCGAAAGTACCAAAGCTCGGATAACAAATATAGTCCCCTATGTTGGGTAGGCTTGGGAGGGCAAAGGTGAGAGGGCCTTGCCCAACCGCCAGTCGTCAATGCTAACACAGTGGGTAAACAATGACAACTCAGCCATTCCCCATCCCTATGCCCCATCGCTAGTTACACATATCATCTATGAAGCAAAGATGTGTTGTGGGTTCTGCACCATCAATAAGTCCCATTCCTCATCTGACAACCACCCCCTCAGGCTCCGAAGCCATGCCTCATCATCCACCTCCAAGAAGGGAGTCTCCTTCATAGCCTCCTCGTGACTGCGCACCCTCATCCTGGGGGTATGCGGCCAATCGCTCCCCCAGAGGGCTTGGTGCTTGTTGGCGTCCACAAAAGCTCGCACAAGGAACTTGAGATCATCGTAACGTGGGCTAAGCTCACTTACGCGGTATGGTGCACTAAGTTTGACGAACAGAAGCCCATCCCTGACCAGTCGCATGATCGCTGCAAAGCCAGGTTGCTTCGTAGGATCGTTCCGATATTCAGGTGGTAGCATGCTGGGCGCCTTCAGAAGACCAAAATGATCCGTGATAAGTGGTCTGCCCGTTGGCCCAACTTCGCTGCGAACAAATGGCTCCAATTCATCCCAGAACTCAGTTCGAATCGTTGTCATTGTCAAACTCCAATCAAGGGACAGATTGATTATCCTCTGGAGATATGCGCGCAACTTTTCCTTCTGAAGCTCTACATCTTCCATGGCTCCATTTGGGTATAGATTGACACGGAGACCACGGACGCCGGCCTTTTGAAGATCTCGAATCTCATCGTCGGTGGTTTTGTCGGGTTCAATCACCCCTACGCCGGAAGTTGACTGTCTTCCTAGTTTGGTGACGAAAGCTTTCAACGAGGTACAGTCATCACCGTAGGACAGGCCATGGGTAAGGACTGAGTTTGTGATGCCCAGTCTTGCTCGGAAATTCTCGAAGGCTTTGATGGTCGCCGCGGGGGGTGTGAGATGGCGCGTGGGACTGTAGGGAAAAGCCTGGGCTTCTGGAAGTTAGAGCTACTTGTCTAATGACTGACAAGGAATTTTGACGTACGCTCAAAGATGTGATGATGCGTGTCCCATCCTCCTCTAGGAAAGAGGTCCGCGTTATTAGTCTCAACGAGGGCTTCTGGTGCCATTATGTACTATTCGGGATCGTTGTAACTCTTTCTTGCTCAAAAGGATTCACAATGAGGACCAAATTCAATCCAATTATATCCCTGATGGTTCTTTCCACCGCATTCTTTTCAAGGTACCGCATCCCCAGAGCCCCTTATGTCCGTGGGGTGGATACTGCTGGATTGTTCCGCAGGCCAGGGTGGGCAGGCGGAGTAGCCCCGTCACCTCCCAGCCATCGCCCCCAAGGATCAACAACTAGCGTTCGGACTCGGAATACGGAGGGATTCCGGTGGCGGATGACAGCGGCGGGAATTCTTGACTCGGGGTTCGAGTCTCGGAGCCGGACGTATCCAGCGTCCAGTTCCTATGAGACGAGTAGATTGAAGATTACAATAGGCAATACAAACACAACGGAGGACTCTGTTAGACCAAGAAACTTGCAGCACAAAGAGGTATGGCACAGAAATCTGCGAACGCGCCGACTCCTCTACAGTCAATAGTGGCTGGAGCTGCTGCTGGTGGCATCGAGTCTCTGGCAACTGTAAGTCTCAATGGACCGCATTCCCACAGATACGGCTTCAGCTTGTTCACACCAGCCTTAACCAGTACCCGACCGAATACGTCAAGACGCGAAAGCAACTGCTCGGCGCATCTTCACCATCACCTCTTCGACTTCTCATCACGGCTGTGAGAGATCATGGCGTTGGTATTCTGTATACTGGAGCTGGGGCTTTTTGCGTTTCCAATGCCTCAAAGTCGGGCATCAGATTCTTAACGTTTGATGCGATCCGAAATAAGCTACCCCGGGATCGCAAGACAGGCAAGCCTACAAGTTCGTCAAATATGCTTGCTGGGGTTGCGGCCGGAGTGGCAGAAAGTATCACCGTCGTGACTCCAGGCGAAAGCATCAAGACAAAGATTGTTGAAGACAGAGCAGGCTCTCGCGCATTCAAGTCAACTGGCGATGCCATGCGGTGGATGGCTTCCAATCAGGGTATAAGCGGTTTCTACCGTGGAGTGGTACCAGTGACGATGAAGCAAGCGTCGAATGCCCTGGTCAGGTTTGCATCTTATCACGCGATGTTTGACTTGATAGAACCGCGCTTGAAAGAGGTGGGTCAAGTGAGCCTTACAGCTTCGATGGCTGGAGCATCGGCTGGCGTTGTCACTGTATATGCTACAATGCCCTTTGATACCATCAAGACCAAGATGCAGAGTGTATCAACAGGGAGTGGGAAACAAGGAACTTTGCATATCCTCACTGCTATCATTAGGGAATCCGGCGTCGCAGGATTATGGAAGGGTACAACGCCTCGACTGGTGAGACTGAGCGTGAGTATACTCAACGAGCCCAACACATCAAACTACTAAGCATTAATAACTTCAGGTGTCAGGAGCAATGAGCTTCTCAATCTATCAAAACGTGCTGGATTTTATGGAAACCCCTATAGCCATTCAGCCAAAGCCAGCGATTCTTTGAGTGGTGGCGTTAGACTGTAGCGAACAATTGGTGCAGTACGAGTAAGATCGAGCCGGTTGTTTAGGCTGGTTAGGCTACTTACTTAGTTAGGCGGTCCCAGGGTTTCTAGGTACTTGGGTACAAGGTGTTGACGAGCTAAATAAAAATCCTCGACCCCGCCGCGTCATCTTCGTTCCATTCGCAACCATGACATTTTGATCCGTCCCATGAATTGGGCCAATTATCGCGACAAACAGCGCCTCTTCGAAGGCCCATCGACGGAGCAGGAACGAAAAGCGAGTGAGGCTTACAGTACTCCTTCTTTTTGAGCTTAAACTGCGTGTCCAGATGGCCTCCAGGACCAGCGCCCCTAAGAAGGTCCGGCTGGCCTGTCGCCGTTGTCGATCACGACGCATTAAGGTGAAGAACACTGCTTGGTGCCGTGTCCGAAGAACATGTGCTGAATCTGAAACAGTGTGATGGTCAAGTTCCTGCATGCACAAACTGCGCAAAGGCAGGCCAGGTATGTCTTGACGTGGATAGCCAGAACTCCAACATTGTCATCCCTCGGAAGTAAGTACCCTACGGCCTATGAATGGATTCGCACTAATACGCCTTGAAGTTTTGTTGGCGCTGCTCGTGCAAGGATCCAATGGCTCGAGGATATCATCAGAGAACGTGCACCTGATGTAGATTTACGGTCTGGCCCCCAGGTAGAGCCTGCACCAGAGCTAGGCAGCCAGTTGGTGGATGAGGGAGGAAACGAAGAAGGGGATACGTCGACGACACCAGCAGCTACGATTCCAAGTCCTGCCCTGCAAATTGTATCACGAAAGAGATCAGCAGAGGCTTCTGACCAACCCGATCACGATGGCTCGTTCCCTGAACGCGCACACTCCGTTGCTGTCAACCTGGGCATGCTGTCTCTCAATTCGGACTCCCCGCAGAAGCATTACCTCGGCTCGAGCTCCGGACTCCTCTTTGCGAATCTGATAGGAGCCTCTCCCTCAAGTACCGGATCCACACCGCAGGGTATGGGTGATTATGCCAACACGGGCGACTTGGAGTGGCAAGACTCGGGAGTGACTGTAGACCACAACAGGTCCTACCATCAGGCTGTGCTTGCCTTTCTCAAAACTGTGAGTTATTCTCGAGTTCTCCTGCGGATCTTTGGGTCTAATCAAGGTGAAAGGAACTACCTACTAAGCAAGAAGCTCTGATCCTCGCTCACACATATATACGCTGGGTTCACCCCGATTTTCCAGTTCTGGAGCCCTCATCATTGTTTAGTGCCATCGATGCCATATACTCCTGCGTTTTAGAATCTGGGCAAGTAGATGATTCCACGCATGGTTGGCCTAGCACAATGCCCCCGTTCCGCTGGAATGGACGGCTAGTAACTCCTGGAGTCGCGGACGACCACGGCGCTACCCTACCTGTGATTGCCTTTATCGTTTTCATGGTGTTCAATATTGCAGCTATTGTAAAGGTCCGGACCCGTGTTTACGAATTCCCGCCGCAGAGGTTCTATAGCGCCGCTGTGCATTTCTCCAAGGATGCCTTTTCACAGATTTCACTTCCTACGATACAGGCCATGGTCATGCTTATCAATCATAGCATGCTGATGCCCGCAGAGATAAACCTGTGGACCTTGGTTCATCTTGCATCGGCTCACTGTGTCGAGCTTGGCATCCATCGGGAACACCATAGTGAACAGCCTGAGGACTTTGCCATGAAGCAGATCAGGCGTTTCACCTTTTTTACGATATACTCCCTTGACAGGTACGCTACTCTGTTCATCTTTCGTTCGCGTCCATCCAATGCTGATTCATCAGGTCTATTTCTTCCATCCAGGGTCGTCCTCTCGGATTTAGAGACGAAACATTTGATATTAAACTACCTGAGGCCCCACCACCCGAAGATGATGCCATGAACGGGGCTATTCCACACTCCTTTATGGCAGCCGTTACTCGATATGCATCTTACACATACAAGCTTGACCGAATTATCTCCGACATCAAACTTCATCTCTACCATCTCCCAGGGGATTCCAGCTGGTTTCCTTGGCCGGAGAATCCAGCAGAGCATCAACAAAGAATTAAGCAAACTCTCGATAACTGGTGGCAAGAGGCTTCTGAAGATGAATTCGACTTTCCTAGCCTTGACAATCGACAACGAGAAGTGTGGAGGCTGAAACTCAGCATCAAGTATCACACTGCCACGGTCTTGCTTTTCCAGCCATCTCAGGTGGTCAGAAATCCGCCCTCACAATCCCTACAACTTTGTTTTGACAGTTCGTCAAGCATCCTAGAAGGCTACGAGAGGTTGCATGATCTCCACAGTCTTCATCACGGATGGAGAGCAGTGCAGAGCATTTTTGCAGCCGGAGCTACGCTGATCTACTCATTCTGGACCTCGCTGGAAGTTCGCAAGAAAGCCTCTACGAATACAATGTCCAAGAATCTTCGGGCCTGTTCCAGCCTCCTTACTATCGGCGGCGAGTGGTGGCCATCCGCGAAGAGCGGCCAACGAAGTTTTGGCTCTGTGGCCGATCTCACGATGAGAAAGTTGTATATGGACGATTCTCCATTCAAAGCCCCGCGTCTATCCCAATACTCGGCCACAGGAGGTCGCTCTACGCGCAGGGTCGAAGAACCGATAACAGAAGGTGAATGCACCACTGTGCTGGAGAATTCTCAAACTTTGGGGGGCATTGAACAGCTTCCACTCGAAGAAACAGACGGAACCTGGCAAGGAATTTCTACCACTTCTGATGACGATCAGGGCATATGGCAGGGCATCAACATGGAAAGACCGGACTTTGTGCCAGAGATTGAGATGTTTTTGGCCGATTTCGATAGGTCCGAGTTCACATGGAGTTTCCCTCTGAATGCTAGCGAGGATCTTGAACCATTCGGAACGCACCCGAATGGTGGTTTCTAAGCGTTCCGCTCTCGCGGAGTAACCCGCGGGTGGAGATGGGTGGTATGCGGACTACTCCGCGTCCTTTGAGGTGGGACGGATCCACGCTACAATGCCTCGGCGGCTGGGACATTAGCAAGTAGGGTTCTCTTACATTGTTTTCTTGCTGAATAAATGCCAGGATGGATTCTCCGGAGTCCCTCTGTTTCGGAGCATCGTAATTGGTGTCGCATTGCAACCATGACACTAACATCATTACGGTCTACCTTTGCTCGGGGCTCCTTTGCCAAGAGAGAGCTCCGATGGCTTCAAGCCCGTTTTCTAGCGACGCACTCGTCGCATGTTGCCATGAGTCCACTGGAACCGGTAATTTATGGCCCATCACATAGCCAGACGAGACACTAACTTATCTCTTAGTACAACCCTCTCAATTACGACTCACAACTCCAATCTCTGCAGCGCGTTCGAGGCATCGGAAAAAGGCCTCTAACATTAACCGAGAAGATACTCTACAGCCATCTTGTACACGACCAAGATGGCTGGGCCTTTGACGAAATCGAACGAGGCAAGACAATCCTGCGCTTGCGGCCCGATCGCGTTGCGTGTCATGATGCTACTGCAACAATGGCAATTCTGCAATTCATCAGCGCCGGGCTTCCGCGAGTCCGAGTGCCAACATCGGTACACAGTGATCATCTGATCGTGGCCGAGTACGGCGCCGAAGAAGATCTTGCTCGAGCCTCCAGCGATCATGGCGAAGTCTATGCGTTCCTGAGCAGTGCCGCAAAGAAGTATGGCATTGGGTACTGGAAAGCCGGTGCTGGCATCATCCACACAACAATCTTGGAGAATTATGCCATTCCTGGTGGCTTGATGATAGGCACCGACTCGCATACACCAAACGCTGGCGGCATGGGCATGCTTGGAGTCGGAGTTGGTGGCTCAGATGCCGTCGATGCCATGGCTGGAATGCCCTGGGAGCTGGTCTGCCCCAAGGTCGTGGGCGTGCAATTAACGGGCGAGCTCTCTGGATGGAGTTCCTCCAAAGACATCATCTGCAAGCTCGCCGGTATTCTGTCTGTCTCTGGAGGAAAGGGAAAGGTTATTGAGTTCTTTGGACCTGGCACTCAGACCTTGGGGGCGACAGCCATGGCAACTCCCTGCAACATGTCCGCCGAGGTTGGATCAACATCTTGCATCTTCCCCTACTCTGAAGCCATGGCCCGCTACCTTTCAGCAACGAAGAGAGGAGACATTGCGCAATATGCCAACACCTTCAAGCAAGTACTCCTCAATGCCGACACCGGAAGCGAGGAGTTCTATGATGAGGTTATCGACATCGACCTCTCAACGCTGGAACCTCATATCAACGGCCCCTTCACACCTGATCTATCACACCCCCTCTCCGAGTTCAAGAGGCATGTCGAGGAAAGTTCATGGCCTTCAAAGATCAGCTACAGCATGGTGGGGAGCTGCACGAATAGCTCATACGAGGACCTGGAAAAAGTTTACACTCTCGTGACACAGGCCAAGGAAGCGGGCATGTACCGAACCAAAACACCTTTCATGGTTAGTCCAGGTAGTGAGCAGATCCGTGCCACGGCAGAGGAGAGTGGGATTCTCGAGACCCTCCGGGATGCCGGAGCTGTCGTTTTGAGCAACTCGTGTGGCCCATGTGTCGGACAATGGGATCGAAAGGACGTCGATATTGCCGGAGCTGAGAGCAACTCGGTCATCTCGAGCTTCAACCGAAACTTTACTGGCCGTCATGATGGAAACCCAGCAACCCATTCTTTCGTCACCTCTCCTGAGATCGCCACGGCTTTTGCCTACACAGGAGATCTGAAGTTTAACCCTGTCACGGACTCCGTGTCCTTCCTTGATGAGTCTGGAGCCCCATCCGAGTTCCGCTTTACACCTCCAGCAGCCAACGAGCTTCCTCAGAATTTCTCTCCAGGAGATGATCTTTACCAGGCCCCAGTTCTGACAGACACGTCAGAATACAAGGTTGATATCGATGAGGACAGCGACAGACTACAACTTCTGACACCTTTCCAGCCATGGCAAGATGGAAATGCAGAGGATATGCAAGTCCTCATCAAGGTCGCTGGTAAATGCACGACGGATCACATATCTCCAGCAGGGCCGTGGTACAAATACCGAGGCCACCTTGAGAATATTAGCAACAATATGCTGCTTGGGGCGACCAATAGCTTTCTTGCTGATGCGTCGTCTCTCAGCATGATCGGCAAGGCCAAAAATCCAATGAACGGCAATATTCAGCCTGTTCCCCAAGTTGCCAGGGATTTGAAGCAGGCTGGCATACGGTGGTGCATCATTGGCGATAACAACTACGGGGAGGGCAGTTCACGAGAACATGCCGCATTGGAGCCTCGACATCTAGGTGGCGTGGCTGTCATTGCCAAGAGCTTTGCCCGAATTCACGAGACGAATCTCAAGAAGCAAGGCATGTTTCCCTTGACGTTTGCGGATCCGAGAGACTACGACAAGATTGCTGAAGGTGATGTTATTAGTCTGCTGGATGTGGATGGGAGCCGTCTTCAACCAGGCAAACGGGTCACAATGGAGGTTAGAACGAAAGATGGCACTCGATGGACTGCACAACTCCACCATTCTTATCATGCTCATCAAATAGAATGGTTGAGGTCCGGAAGTGCGTTGAACTATATCAAACGGTCAACCCTTACGTATGGGGCATAGTGGGAAAGGCAAAGGCCAGAAGACCTCTGTAGCAATAATTGTGTTAATATGGTTACCGGCATGCAGAAGCGAATGAAGTTTGAATTATGTTTTCTAATGACTTGAAAGGAGATAGCAAATGATTCAACAAGGAAAGAGTAAAAGAATGAACAAGAAAAAATGTGGTTTGTTGAACAACCTGAAGCTACCTGCATGAAGGTGTTGAGACCTCGGCACAAACGCGATATTTTTTTCAAAGACATTGAGGAGACCCGGAGGAACAAACAGGAAATAATGACAATGAGCAAGAGAAAGAAAAAGAAGGAAACCCGGATTTCGCTACCTCACCGTAGTGAAATCATCCCACGCCTTCACAGCCATGTACCAAAAATCCGAATGTAAAGCATCTTGACCAACTGAACCTCGATGGCGTAAGCCAGAAGCTCAGCCGCAAGGAACCCGACAAAAGACGGCGCTGGCTGGGCGAAGCTAAAGGCAGGTCGGAATACTGGAACCCAGGGCAGGACAAAGCCGATGGCCATGATAGATGCAGTCGAGAAGACGAGGATCGGGGCAGCGCGGCTCTGGACAAATGGGATCTTTGCCGTGCGGAGGAGGTGAACGATGAGAGTCTGAGTGAGGAGGCTTTCGGTCGATTGTTAGTCAAGAAGTCCGTCAAAAAGGTCTGTTGGCTTACCCCTGTAGAAACCAGTGTGTCTGAAACAGCTTGACAGCTTGCTTGTCGGTGGTAGACTTGATGCCGTAGTAAAACCAGCCTAGAAGATACGTGCAAATGTCGATGACAGAGCTGGTTGGGCCGAGAACGACGACAAATCTGAAAATGTCTAGGCGTTCATTGTCAGTGGAGGTCAAGCTTTTCTCGGGCAGAGGGAATTACCCATAGCGTTCCATCTTCTTGGCTCTCGCAGATACTCATCATCAACCCTGTCCCAAGGAATGGCGATCTGGCTAATATCGTACAGAAGATTCTGAGCGAGAAGCTGGATGCTCATCATCTGCACCTAAGGCTAGCATTTGCGTCCTTAGGTAGTACGGCATAAAGAATCACTCACCGGTGTAAAGGGCAGCCAGGCGCTCGCCGCCACAATGCTGAAGACGTTGCCAAAATTAGAGGATGCGACCATCTTGGAGAGCTAATGTCAGCTTTGGGAGAAGGCACCGGTCAAGGTCAGAGGGAGCAGCTCACCTTGAGGTACTTGATTGTGTTGCCATGTGTAATTCTCCCGAGGGTGACGCTTTGGACTATAATCGAGAGCCCCTTTTCAGTCAAGATCAAATCCGCGCAGTCCTTTGCCACGCCGGCTCCCGAGTCGACCGAGATGCCAACGTCGGCATCTCGAAGGGCGATGCAGTCGTTGATACCGTCACCAAGCATGCCCACGCAATGACCTGCTTTCTGGAGACTGGTCACAATCATGCTCTTCTGCTTGGGTGTCACCTTGGCAAATACAGTGCACCTCTCCACGGCAAGGTCAAACTCGTCGGACCCTTCCAGAGCTGCAAGATCGGGTCCAGTGATGGCCTCCGCATCCTCCTCTATGGCGTCTCCACGCTGGATGAGTTCGAGAGAGCCGCAAACGTTGAGGGCTACGGGTAGAGAGTCGCCCGTGAGGACCTTGACGCGGACTCCCAGCCCCGTCAGCCTGGCGACAGCGTCCTTCGCGTCGTCTTTGGGTGGATCGACAAAGCTGATGATGCCTTCCACAGTCATGCCTATCTCGAGTGTGCCAAGCTCAAGATCGTCGACCAGTCGAGGCTTACCAAGATTTCTAGTCGCCACTAGAATAACCCGGTGCCCATGTTCGTTCATGCGCGTAGCCCGCTGGCTGAGTTGCCGTCGTACTTCATGATCGAGGTGTTCGCTCTTCCCGCGAAATCGCATGGATGAGCACAGAGAGAGAACCTCATCGAATGCACCCTTGACGATGAAGAGATTGTCACCAGTAATGCCACGGACGATGCATCCCGATCGACGACGCTCAAAGTCAAACGGGATAGCTTGGACTTTGTCGTAATGGGCCACGGGGATCTCGCCTCCGTCTGGCAGTTGACAGTTGAGAATGGCCCTGTCCATGTTATTGCCACTGTCTCCTTGGATTGACGAATCCACTTTGGCAAGCTCAATGACTCCCAGGCTGTCTTCTCCCATGACGTCCGTGTATTGATGTACCGAGAGCTCGTCCCTGGTCAAAGTTCCTGTCTGTTCAACCGTCAGTGCCTGTTGGAAGATGGTGATCATCAAAAACAAATGTCCGTCTTCATACCTTGTCACTGCATAGAACCGTCATAGCTCCGAGATTCTGGACGCAATCGAGACGCTTTACAATCGCCCGTTTCTTAGACAACTGGCGGGCGCCCCGGGCGAGATTCGCATTGACGATAGCAGGCAGCATTTCTGGGACAAGGCCGACGGCGACGCTGATGCTAAAGAGTGCGGCATTGGCCCAATCACCCGTGGTTTTGCCCGAAATGCACAAGACCTGGATACTCCGGTCAGTGGAACTGGGTTGATTACCTCTGTAAAGGAGATACTTACAATAGGGACCATGACCACCATGAACCCAATGAGCATCCACGTAACATTACGGATTCCCTTTTGGAAGGAATTGGGCTGTCGCTTCTTTTCGATCTCTTTGGTCATGGTTGCTATCAGTACATCTATAAAAGTCAGTCAAATCTTGCACGCGTGAGTGAAACGATGATTCTTCCACCTACCGTCGCCCGTTCGAAGCACAAGTCCTGCACCATGACCAGACACAACGCTAGTGCCCATCAGGGCCAGATTACCAAGATCGAAAAGAGAGAACTCTTCTTTCAAGTCATTGGAAGCTGTGACCTTGAGCACGGGCTCGCTTTCGCCCGTCCAGGTGGACTGGCTGATTCTCAGAAAGGACGATTCCAGGATCAGGCAGTCGGCGGGAACCACGGCACCTGGCACAAGCATGACCACATCTCCAGGAACAAGATCACCTCCGGCGACAGTTGTCTCATTCAATGAGTTCGTTTGTTTATCGGTCGAGGTCGAGTTGCATGAGGGTCGACGGACCCTGAACTTGCTCGTGATGGATGACTGAAGTCGAAAGACGGCCATGCCGCTCTGGTACTCTTGCCAGAACCGCACAACGCACGAGATCAAGACCATAATCATTAGAACGGCGAATCCTTTCTATTTTGATGTGTTAGTCAAGTAACCATCTTGTCTAGATAGTGCACTCACCCAGTTTGGAGGTGGCATTGCAGCATTGATGATGGCCAGGAAAACCAGCAAAATGTTGAACGGGTTTGGAATGATGGACAGAAAAAGCATGAAGCCTGACGGAGGTCTTTGAGAGGATACAGCATTGCGGCCGTGGATGCGTCGCCGGGCGAGCGCCTCAGTGTCCGAGATGCCATGTTCACCAGAGGCGAGAAGATCAAAGACCAACTCTACTGGCATGGAGGCAAAGGCTCGGAGTATTCCTTCTTGTGTATCGTCCTGAGCTGATTCCGGGCTTGCCTGCCAGGACTGCAGCTGCGGTCTGGAACGCGAGCCGGCCAAGACGAGCTGGCGAAGCCAGGTAGGCCAAGTCTTGATTCTGCGGTGAATCATGGTCTCGGCGGTTCGCTGTTCGTAGGTTTGTCTGTTCATGTTCTCTCATGTGGCTATTAGTCGTCAGCTCAGACCTGTGCCTACAAATCGCTAGATACAGACCTCTCGACAAGATTGAGTCTCGGAGTCCGGGCAGTTATGGTGGCTCAAAGTCTGTTGCATAAGACCTTGCAGCTCCTTCAGCAAGGACTGCTTTCCTGAGCTTGGGTGAAGCCTCCAGATTTGCGATGGCCAGAACGACCAAGAATAAGGGATGATTCTGTGAATTAACAAGAGGGATCATTGATTTGTTGGGGTTGGTGATTCTACACGAAACGAAGGGGGTTTTGGGAATGTTTTATAGCAGACTTTCGATATTAGAGCATCAGTTACTCTAACAGGGGAAAAGAGAAAATCTTTTTCATGTGGCACGAAAGAGGTCAAGGCTACCCACCTTGCCAGCTGAGGGTGATGACTCAAGTCAAAAGGCCCGTAGTTCCAGGGCGCCGGTGGATACTGACCGAGAAGAAAGTTCCTTGCAGCGAGAGCTAAAGGCATGGACATCGGGCACTCGTCTAAGAAGGCTGTGCATCTGAATCCCAGCACCTGCGACGGTTAGGCTGGAAGTCAAAGAACTCCCAAGCACATGCGCGAGGAGAAGTTTGACTGATAGACAGGAGGCGGGCTGCGGCTAACAGGAGTCTCGCAGGCACTGCCACCATCCACCATCCGTATGGCTCATCTCTCCCAAATGAAAGCCCGGATTAGGCAGCCTTTCGGCGAAGGCAGGGCCCAAGACGGATGAAATTGTGCCATTAGCCTTTGGCATTAATTAAAAATCCTGGTCTCTATGTAATGAAGTTGTGTTCATTCATTGGGCGCTAGGAAGCACCGCCCCCAACACTGCCCCCTTAACCCACCCACTCCTCGCCCGTCGCTTCAGGGGCGCCAAGGGACATTTGGGGTACGATCATGCCAATGAAAGTGCCTCGCGAAATGTTTTGTTCAATGATGGTACTGCAGATAGCTTACTACTGCCTCTGCTTAAGAATAACATCCATCTCATCGCCGGAAATTTCCAGATCGACCTGAATCATTGCATCTCTTCCCCCAACATCATATACCTCACGGAGCTGGTTGTTCTGGTAAAGTCCATAACTTCCTTCACCAAGTCCAGAAAAGCAAAGCTGGATCCTAAGCCTCTTTTGTTAGCGGAAGTTGAAGCCGGTGCGAAGAAGGCGTATACTGACCTTTTGGTTTGCCCATCCCATGATCGCATAGTAACCGCCAGCGCCTTTAAATCAGCATCCCAATTGCCGCGCAAGAAGTCCACACCACTTGAAAGATCCACGTTGGACACGAAAGGATAAGCGGCAAAATGCTGGTCGGTCCAAGGATTCTCGTACATCTTGTGTTGTCCGTCAAAGACGTTAAGGCGACCATACGCGATGCCGGCATTGCCAGTGACAGCGTCAATATCTGGAGACCTGTAGTCGAATGGTGTTGCCGACCTTTTAGTGGGATAGAATAAGCCTCCCTCCTCCCAGGTCGGGTTGAGAGTTGCATCTGCGTATGACAGCATGCCGTCTAGTAGGGAACGATCACCAAGCTCAGACACCCACATCATCGCGCATGCGAAGTTGGGCTTTGCGAATGGTGAGCGTACTAGTGACAGCTCGTCTTCGGACACCATCTCTGATGCCTTTGCAAAGGTGGCAGGATCCATAGCTTGCATTCCCTGTGTCGATACCAGTTCTCTGATTTTGAGTGATACCCTGGGGTGTGGAACGATGACATGATTTTCGAGCGACGGCTTGGCAAGAAAGCCAGGAGCTAGATTCGCACAAATCTTACTGACAGCTTCATGGTTCCACGAATTCATGAATGCCAGAGCCCTAGCATCGGTCAACTCAGCTACATGTTCATAGACATTCGGCTAGGAGTAACTCACCAAGACGTAAAAGCAACCTCGTAACCAGCAGTCTTACTGCCCTGGTTGGGGTTAAAACTGTCGCAAAACAACCCATTGTTTTGGACCATGCCCTTCGCTTTCCATGCTGCCTGATATTTTGCCAGGGCATCTGAGGAGATGTCCGTGTTATCTCTCACATCGTTATAACTCAGTGCGATCAGCTATCCCGAAACATTAGTTAGAGCCCAGTTGACAAGATCAGAGGCCAAAGTACTGACTGGAAACTGGTTGCAAACGACGAAGATGGCGTTGGGCTCGCAACAGACTCCCATCCAGTTCTCACGCTCCATTTCCTTTAGAATGGCGGCCTGGAGAGACTGTCTACTATAGGAGAACTTTTCTGGCCCCATGCCCCAGAAAATGGGATTCCAATTAAATGTGAGTGCGCTGTCCACGTTGTACTTGTCGTCATTGAAGAGCATGGTGTAGAGCGAAATCATCAGGAGCAAATGTCCGGAGTACTTTTCACCGAGTTAGTCAGATCATCTCCAACTCGGAGATTGGAGAGTACCATGATGTTTTCTCGAACAACAGGGTCTGCCCAAGGTTGTCTAAGCTGTTGAAGATCGGGGTCCAGTCGCTTGCCGCTGTGGCTAGTCAGAAACCAATAGCCCCATACGTCCCGAAGCAGCATCTTATGGATCAGCATGTCTATCAAAGACTTGAAGGTAGATCTCAAAAGAGGCAGGTGGTGATAATGAGCGGCTCCCGCGGCGTAGGTCATGATTGCTAGTTGGTAGCGGTAAGCGTCAAGCCATTCCTGGCCTGGCTCTTGACTCCCCATATGGCGCCATTCGCCGTCTTTCTGCTTCGTCAAGTTGTAAAAGTGCCTCAGGTGGCCTGCCTGCTCACGTGAAAGCTTGGGAAATTGTAGAATATATGTCTCATCAAGTATCTCTGGGAAGCCTTGTTTCGGTGCATCCAGGGAAATAGTTCCTCTGTGCACACCTCCTGAGCGGCTTGAACTTTGCAAATAGGGTTAGTCGAAGCCCGACTTTGACTTGGGATGGAACACACGTTGTGATTGTCGTAGACATGGCGATACCTTTATGTTGAAGAACGGTTGGGAACAGCCTGGGCGACGATGGAAATAGGTTTTGGGAAATAGGATACAAGCTGTTTGATGAGGTTTGAGACTATGGTCTTATCGTAGATAGAGGGGGGTTATATAGTAAGAGAATACCAAGTTCCTCGTCGATCTATGTACGGCCTCGGTCCGGGTTTCAATCGGATGGGGGTCGGAGGGCGAGGTGGGCCGTCAAGAGGTGACTTGGCTGATTCGACCAACTTGACACTAATAGTAGGTCATAGTGTAGCTCATGTAGATGAACGAAGGATACTTGATTGGGCACATTAGGCCCCGGTCCGGGCACCGTTTGAAGTGTGTGTCTACTATGTAGCTAGGACCGGAATTCGCTTAGGAAATCAGGTCAACTCCATCGTCGGTTCGGAATTGGCACTCCCTCCGTGTCGACTTCATTAGAATCACGTGCCTAAACCGATGTACCCGATGTTCCTCGACAAGAAACATTTGGTCTGTTGATCGACTGTATGTGCGGCACCGGTCCGAACTTTAGTGAAACCGGAGTCGGACTTATTCGTAGTGGCGAGGGCGAGGTGCATCACCAAAAGCTGACTCAGCTGATTCGACATACATCTTCTATTCTACGAGATGGTAATACTAGCCAAGGGAGGCTGAACAGCTAGTAAGATAACATCAGGAACAAACAACGAAAGACAGCACCCATTGTAAGCAAAGACAATCGGCGACCTTTCTCAAGCACGCATCTAACGTGCTCCGTATCATACTTGAAACCCGGCCCTTGATGGATTAACTGAGCCAGAAGATTGTCAAGCACGCATCACAGCCAAGTCTCCTTCAAAATTCCTTCCCAGTAAAGACCTTTTCAATCTCCCTGGTTCTTTTAATGTGTATAAAAGACCTTTGCAATAATCTTCCACTCGCCGTCAAACTTCATCAGAGTGTGGAAATCCGTGTACGTAGATCCATCCGGGGAGTTCTCCATCTCCAGCTTGACAACAGCCGTCTCGGGAGTAATTGCAACGACATCTGTGCGGGTTTTGATATTTGGCGACCCGCCAAACTTTTTCGAGTAGTCGATCAGTTGCTTCCATGATCCCTCAGCCCTGGCTCCATCGGGTTGGTAGCCATACATGATGGCGTCGGGGTGGAAGGCGTGTTCGAGGAAGGATTCATCGCCCGTGCGACCCCCTTCGACGTAGTACTTTTCGATGACCTGCACCACGGCTTGGTAGTTGGATACGCTGACGCTCATTTTGAGATAACAAAGAGGAACAAGATTGTGCCGGGAGTATACTGGTCTGTGTGAACCAGATCGAAGGATGTTTTCCTTCCGTCGGAGAAATACACGATCTATTGCGTCGAGGTAAAGATAGAGTACAGAGCTATCTAGATACATCAGTCTTATTAAGTAGTGCTTCCTCTAGCAGCATCTTCCTAGACCGCCGCTTCTCATGGAGGCGAAATTCAGTTAGAGGCCAGGAAGGCTGGTCAAACTGGATCCTTGATTGGTAATTAGAAAACTTTAAATCGCATGATATCTCCTCCAGCTGATAAATGAGCTTACAAAGCTTGCTGGTAGAAACATCTCCAACGATGTTTTGTCAGACATGGTGGATTTTTACCCCAACGCTCTCAACTACGATGGATCTCTGACAGTGATAGAGCATAAATATGAATGGCCTCGCCTCTTTAAGTAAACGGAGTCGGACGGGATTACATGGATTTAAACTGCATCTTGACAATGGACGACAAAATCCCAACTCATATGAAAGCGTTGAGGCTGGTCAAGGTAACTACCCCATCCCCAAATAATTACTCCAACACGTAACCTATTCTAACACAAAAGCCAGTTCAATGAGAATTACCAACTAAAAGACGAGGTTCCTGTTCCTACTCCAGGTGATGGCGAGTTGCTCGTGCGCGTCAAAGCCTCCAGCTTCTGTCATACCGACTATCAAGTCTACCAGGGCGTCTACGGCACTCAGCTGCCTTTCACCGGGTCACACGAGCCAGCAGGTGTCATCGCTGCCTTGGGCCCCAATGTAAGCGGGGACTGGGCGATTGGAGATCGTGTTGGAGTACTTAACTTCCGGAATCCTTGTGGATCCTGCGCAGGTTGTCGATGGCGACTGACCAAGTTTGGGTCGCTTGATGCCAGGTTCTGCGAGAATAAGGTCATGGGCGGCCTTGCCGGTGCCGATGGGGGCTTTGCCGAGTACATGATCGCGGTAGACTATGCTCTGGTAAAGTTGCCGGACAACCTGTCGTTTGAGCAGGCTGCACCTCTCATGTGTGCTGGTGTGAGTATCTCACCTCATCTGTAATTGAGCGCTACTAATTATAGGCCACATCATGGAATGCCATAAAACAGTGCCAATTGAAACCGGGCGAGACTTTGGCTGTTGTCGGCATTGGAGGGTTGGGTGTTCTTGCAATCCAGTTCGCAAAGGCACTTGGCTTGCGAGTCGCAGCGGTTGATGGTAGTGACGTTGGAACCGGAATCGCCGCTAGCGTACCAAGTCATCTTAAGCCCGACATCATCTGCAAGCTAAACGACCCTGATACTATCGAGAAACTTGCCCAATTCTCAGATGGCATGGGAGTTGACGCTGTCATCACCTGCACCGATGATGTCTCAGCAACCGATTGGGCACTCCATCGTCTACGGTATGGAGGCGTGGGTGTCGTTTTGGGACTCCCGAATGATGGATTCAAATTTGATCCTTTCAATATCGTATTTCGCGAGCTCATCATTCGTGGCTCGCTACACAGCAGTGTGCAGGAGGTAAAGAAGATGGTGGACGTTGTGGCAGAGCAGGGGATTTGCAGCAAGATCAACAAAGTCCCACTGCAGCAGGGAGAGAGTTTACCAGAGAGAATTGCAGCTCACGAGTTTCAGGGACGCGTAGTAGTGACTTTGTAGCATAGGTGCGCCATTATTATTGTCTGCAATGAAGAGTCCATTGATACAGTTATCAATACATAACCAACACCGTATATCAACGCAACTCTTTCTGCAACTCGCCCCAGCCCTTTGCCCTTGCTCTTACAGTGCCCAAGTCGTCCATATTCAAGAGTCCAATCTTTCTATCAACCAAGACTCTCCACGCAATCTCTCGAACATTTGGAGGGTCAGAAGGCGTATCCCAGTATCGGGCCAGTAGACCGCGGGATTCTGCTTGTTCAATCTGTGTTGATGCCCTGTCTTTCTGTCGCTCCGTCTCCCCGTGCAGGGCAGAATCATTTGCAGGTCTGAATAGTTTGGCGTTTCGGAATCTCGTCGATGCCAAATATGAATTCGAGATGTTGTATTTGTACTTGGGCGGAGCTGTCGTAAAATCATCCTCAACAGACACGAGTTGCTCAAGCTTGGCGTCCCAAAAGATGTCTCTGTGGGTTGCATTCATGGCAAGGACAGAGCTGAAAGGTGTATTTCCGGTCGCCACAACTGTCAGGGGTCGCATGACCCTCCCTTTACCATTCCAGTATGTGAGGTAGTCGAGATCTCTCAATGGCTGCAATTGAGCATCTACCTCATCAAATGTCTCTTTCCCTGAAGTCTTGAGGTCAATGACGAGGATCAATGTATGCTCCGGGGCGCGGTTAAAGACGCCGCGCCAAGCCCTGCCAGTCAGTTGAGCGTTCTGTGCCTCCAAGATGCGTTGTAGGGGTTCGAGGTATAGCGACTGAAGGGTTCTATCGTCACTGAGGCCTGCTTTTGAATGTCCAACAAGAAGATTAGACCCGCGTAAATGAACATCGGCTTCAACACTGATACATCCAGAGCCAAGTGCTTCAAAAAGAGGAATTCGGCGCTTGTAGTCATTGTGCGAGTGAACTGGCACGGGACGAGCATGTCGGAGAAAGGACTGGCGGTCCGCATCCCATATTTCTGGGCTATTGTGGCCAATGTCATGTCCAAACCGCATGTCATACAGATCGTTGGGTATGTGGGCCAATCCCATATCGACGCGGTAGATGTAGACGGATTCGCCGACGAGACTTGATACCAGATTGATGTTAGATATTGACGGAAGTGCGTGCTCAAGGAAAACTTACCCCAAAATCAAGAGGCCAGCAATGTATTTGAGAAAATTCTTTTGAAGATGGCACCCAAATGTCATTCCCCAAGACCAACGTTCATCGCTGCATTTCCGGTTGTTCCCGCCTGGGAGAATGGAGTCGTTGGTAGAAGTCATGGCGGTTGGCCTTGTTATTTTGGCACCATGAGAAACATTGCTGCCAAGAGCATAAATAGAACTACAGCAGTGTGTGCTTTAAATGGCTGCCTAGTCGTTATCATTGGGTGGAGTTTGTCACATTACGCGGCCGACGTGGTTCATAACGCGGTGGATAGAGCTGTGCGCCTCGATAACTAGCACAAAAGTTACGATTCAGCGTATGGAAAGCACTGATTTTCGTTAGTACGCGCCCAAAGGGAATTCTTCTGCCTGGGAAGGATCCTAATATAGAGCATCGCCTTCTTTGTTGTTAATAATGCATCCCCATCAACGAAGCTCAACGCCAAACGAGACGGCTTGAACTTTGTCGCAATGGCCTACGGTGGTCTCGCTTCCACCAGGCAGATGACAATTGAGCATAGCCCTATCAATATCGTCTCCTTAAATAGAAGAATCCGCTTTCACGATCTCAAGCACGTCTAGGTTATCTTCTCTTATGGCGTCTGCGGACCGAGCTCGTCCGTAGATGCAGTATTCTATAAATCATAATAAACTACTCTACTATGCCAAAGACAAAATTAACGCTCGAAACATTGATACATTGCCCTCTCAAGCAAATCTGTTACGCAATTCTTGCAGTCTCCTTTCAAGTACTACCATCCTTTCTCTCTCTTGTTTCCGTAATTGTAGCTCATCTTGAGCCACTGTAATATTCCTCAAACACCCCTCCTTCCGGCAAATCGTCTCTTTCGGGAGTGTTATGCCGTTGGTTCTGACCCTGGATACTTGTTTCGGAGGATTTCGCTTAACAGATAGCTCTCCGGGATTCGAGGTTGGAGCCTGGGGCAAAGATATGTTGGCTGTCGTCATCATGGCTGATGGAGTCGTATTGATGGGGACTGCTCGTCTTTCGCTCGTAACCGCATTCTGAGTCGCTTCTAGAGTCTGGACTGGATCCATCTGTTCTGGGGATCCTCCTGTTGATACCCCCTCTTGCGGAGCATCCACTGGTGCAGAGGCCAACATAGCTCCGGGAGCAGGAGGCGTCGCTGTCGAAACGCTTCGTGCTGTTTGCTGTTCTCCAGATATCTCTGCATCCGACCTTATCGCCTTAACAGACCCTGTCCCAGAGCCGCTGTTATCGGCGGGGGGACCAATGCTACTATTTGTTGCAGGAGGAGGTCCTCGCTTGTCCTGAATCATGACCTCGAGTTGCTTTTGCATAACCGCAACACCATTCTCAGCCGCTTGGGCACTCTTTGTAGCCGCTCGCGCTGACTCTTCAGCCGCCGCGGCACTTTTCCTACTAGAGAGAGCTGAACTCTCGCCAGCTACAGCACTCCTCGTGCCCGCTTCGGCAGTCTTTTGCGTGGCACGCATGGTCCCTACACCAACCCCGGCCATAATTGTGCCAAAGATCCATGTGGCTACTGTGGTCGCCGTTTCAGTAACTGAGCTTGACGTTGCCACGGTGTGGTTGGGGGTCGAAGCGACATAGGCGGCAAAGGAGTCCAATTTGGATTTCTCCAAGGTTATGGTGGAGGAAACTCCATGCAGTTGACCTTTGAGTTCATGATTAGGCGCAATGTTGCTGTGCTTCGATTCGAGCTCAGATAGAGCAGCTCTTAATTCTTCAAAATCTCTCTCATCACTCCCTGCATCACAATCTCGTGACGTGACGCTGGCCGGGTCCAAGTCTTTCCAGTGAAACTGCAACTCCTCTGTGGCCGTCTCCATATGCGTTGTGTTTGACACCGGGTCGAACCTGAAATGTTGGTTATGTTTGAAACGTCGGTTAAGGCTTCGGTTCAGATACCACTTGCCCCAGTGGCCATTCATGCCTGGAACCCTCGGCCTTCGCCGCATCCAGCCACCTAGAACGGGTGTCCAGTCACTCCATTGTTCAGGGGATTCGGTCCGGATTTCGGCGGGATCGGTGACAACTGAGTGAGTGGCCATACCAGCAAGTAGTAAGCGATCAGCTCAGGCCTGGCTGTGCTTGTTTTTCGTGCGAGGTTTGTAGTACTGCAATGGAGGTTTCAGCGGTGAGATGATGCGGGGAGGCCTGAAAGTGCAGCCTGATTCTCTGAACAGCCACAATCAATCAAGTATAGTTTTAGTAGGGATTCCTCACGTGACGACTGCACTGCATAATAAGCTTCCCGGTTTCACAAGGACTACATACTCAAGCTCACAAACCACTGGCAGAAGGAAGACATCTGTTGCTTCGATGTCAAGGAGCCGGCGGTTGACATCTCCTACACTGGCTGGAGATTCCCATTTCTGGGAAATGGATTCTCTCAACCCGAGATGAAAGAACTAGACTGATCGTAACATTAGCAACTACGATGATGACAGCTCAGCTCAAGGAAGCTCGTGAGCCATGTCAATGTCAATAGCGAGATTTGTGTGCAAGTTGAGGAAGGCTGACAATTTTATGATAACACCAAGAGACTACCTAGCCTTGTCTTTACTGGGCAGTTTAACCTTGTTCTAACATGGGAAAGTTACATAAACAACAAAAACGAATTCCGTGAATAGTAATAGAAAAAACACCCTGCCCTGACGAATGAAGGAACAACGTCTGTCGCTCAAGTAATCAGATTAGCACGTCATTGACATGTGGAGATCTTAGCCAGGTTTGGCTAAGACCCGATGCTAACATGACATTGCAGAACCTAACATGACTATGGCCAAGATTGATGCATGATAGGCAAATGATTGCGTCTTTCTGGCAGCTCTTCATGTGAGCGGGGTTTCATGTATGAAACGGGTGCATTCGTGATACAACTCACCCATGGTGTGATTTGGACATTCTCGGTCCCTCGGCCCCCTCGGCCTATAAAGAGACAGCCGATATCCTTCACATTGCCCTCAGGTCTGATCACTACCTTCCAAGCTCTAGCAATTCATTCAAACATGTCGACAACCACAACTCAGTCCGAGACGGTTCTGAGAACCAGGCTCGAGACGAGCCAACATCCCAAGCCGCTGTCTCTCTCCGGAGCGCTTGATCGCTTCGAATCTGAGGAGCTGACGCCCGTAATTGGCCGTGAATATCCCAGTGTCAATCTAGTCGATGACATTATCAATGCCTCGAACTCTGACGAGCTTCTACGAGACCTTGCAATCACCAGTGAGTTCGACCAACTTCGTTGTGTCTCATTGGGACCTGCTGACATCCTATTACTAGTTTCCCAGAGGGGTGTCGTCTTCTTCCGTGCCCAGGACAATCTGACAGATGAACTACAAAAGGTGCTGGCTCAGCGTCTTGGTGAGCTCGTCAACAAGCCAAAGGAATCGACCCTGCACATCCACCCACTCCTCAATGGCACTCATGAGTTTGGTGTCGCCGATAACGAAATCAGCACCATCTCATCTCAAGGTTTCAAGGCTCTGGCTATCGGTCAGAAGGATCGAGATGATCGTAAAGGCGGCGCTGCCTCATGGCACAGCGATATTCAATTCGAGGAGTTCCCGGCTGACTACACAAGCCTGCGCTTGACCCAGCTCCCATCAACAGGTGGTGACACCCTGTGGGCATCAGGTTACGAGATCTATGACCGCTTCAGCGACCCCTGGCAGAAGTTCTTGGAGGGCCTGACAGCAACCTTCAAGGGCGAAGGATTCATCAAGGCTGCCGACGCTCGCCCAGACAAGTTCCAGATCTACGAAGAGCCACGTGGCAACCCTGCCAATGTCGGTCGCGGGCTTACGGCGGTTCACCCAGTTGTGCGAACCAACCCAGTTACTGGCTGGAAATCCGTCTTCGCGATTGGCAACTTCCCTCAACGCATCAACGAGCTGAGTGTACGCGAGAGCAAGGAGCTGCTGGAGCTCCTGTACAAGAGGATCGAGGAGAATCACGACCTGCAGGTCAGGTTCAAGTGGAGAAACAAGAATGATATTGGTTCGTACTCACCAATTCTGCAATACTGAGAAAAGCCAGAAACTAATTACCTCTTCAGCAATCTGGGATAACCGCAGTGCCTTCCACAGTGCGACCAACGACTACGATACTCTGGGCGACCGTGTAGGCCACCGTACAGTTGGAATCGGCGAGAAGCCATACTTGGATCCCCAAAGCCAGTCAAGGACAGTTGCACTCAGCCAAAATTAAAGAGTTTATGTAGTCACTTGACGAGTCTTTGGTTCGATAGTTGAGGAAGTATATAAATATAAACAGGACATTGATCCCCTATGATGTCCCAATAGCCCGTTTAACCATATTGTTGTCTAGCTCTCGCATCGTTATCTTTCCAGACGCTTTGCCACTAACCTCATTTAAAAGTTGATTTCTAAGGAGGAGGGTGGGCGTGCAACTCCACGCATGACAGAAACTATTCATCCTCACATCTCCGTATGGGCTTGTCCGTGCATCCGAAGGGTCATAACACTCCCAGAACGTATCAGCACCAGCCTTGACCATGCCACCCCAGTACGATCTTATAATCTCTAGACACTCTCCATAGCAGCCTGCTGTGATGAGTGCATCGCAGACATGGTGCCAGAGGTACGGAGTCATGGGCTTGATCGCGGTGGGATGAGCCAGGGTGTTGAGCAGAGCGCTACGAGCGGTTTCAGGTGAAAAGGCTTCGGCGAGAACAAGCCAGGATGCTGATGCGTAACTTATCTGCGCTTTTGGGCCGGATACCACCAGACCGTCGGACAGGAAAATTTGGGCAGCCTCAGTCATCCCCTTGATCATTTCCTGGTGAGGGAAATCAAGCTGCAACAGCTGTGCAAGTTTCGCGACTTGCTTGAGGCAGAATAACATTACTCCATGAGACCCTGCGGTGGTGTCGACCTCTCTGTTCCAGTCCAGGAACTTGATGTCCGAGCTGCGTTCGGGTTCGAAGATAAAGGTTTTGGGGTTGACGTGTTGAAGTGGCCGCCGAAGACACCCGAGCGCTGTCGCCCACAATAACCGTCCAGTTTCTAAGTCCCCAGATGCCGCAACGTAGTCATAAACAACACTACCAAACAGGGAGTCGTATTCGGTGAGATAGTCGGCTGAGGCAACCAGGGTTGGCCTCTCGAACAGGCAAGCAGGCAAAGACCCATCAGTCCGCGAAACAGCCGCAAATTGCAAGATGCACCGTTTGACGAGATCAAAATCCTTGAGTGTACTGTAGTTGGCTAGTGCTTGAAGTCGAAGATCACCAATCCACATTCTCCGGTCTCTTCGTGGGCCGTCTTCAAAGACAGACTGCATACAGTCTCTGAGAGTAAGTATGCTGACACGGTCGATATCTTGAAGAAGCTGGTCGTCAAACTCAAAAGTATCGAGTTCATGGTCTTGACTGATGGCGCTAACGCACTCGCAGGCCACGTCAGAGATGGCGATTTTGAAGTTGGATGATGTATCGATAACTTGGACGCGTACAAAGCGAAAAGCGTGGCGCCGTCGGATCTTGACATCGTCAGGACAGACGTCGATATTGATGATCTCATCGGGCAACCAGCCCTTGCTAAGCCATGTCTCCACGCCATCCATTGACATGGTAACATCTAAAGGAGATTCGCCGAATGTGAGACGAAGTCTGCATGGCGCGTCCATGTTGGCGCCAACACAGGAAATCCGAAACGACAGATACCCGACCATGTGGATGCCAAAGTCGAGCACAAAGTCAGAGTCTCTGCCCCATGCTAATGAAGGAAGATCAGAAATCCCATGGCTGCCAGGTTGTATCCGTAACCCGAAGTAATTGTCGTCGCATGGTGTGAAAGAAACAAAGCGTTGTGGACGTCGAGTCCAGCGATGCAAGGTCGGATGAAGAGAATCTGCAAGCAACTCAAACGGTGAGCACGCTGCAGAAGCTTGAGATACCTTATGATGCATTGTGTCGAGTATGAGATGTGTGTGATATGGAAGAGCAAGAGAAAACCTTGGGTAGAACGCGTTGGTCTAGGTACAGAGACGAGTTATCCTACCTCCTGGAAGAACACGCGGCCATGACAAAGCATTGGGCCATTCCTCTCGGGTGAATATCTCCCCATGGAATTTCAGTAACTGCTGAGGGCCGACATTTCGATATCAATTACCCCGAGATTTAACGCATCTCACGAGTGCCGTCAACAAGGAACGGACATGATCCCCGCCTCGGAAGCAAAATACGGACATGGGGAAGTCTTCTCGGATGCAAATTCGGAGAAACCCCTCTGGAAAAAAAGAGAGTCACCAATGGGATACTAGCGCCAAGGACTGCAAGTCGCGTCACGAACCTTGTGGGGGAGCCGTGTCAAGTCACGAGAGCTCTTCCCCGCATGACGAGTCAGAAGAATTACCTTGGTTGCCAACAATCCCCGCGGTTCAGCTGCACCCCAGGATTCCAGGGAAAATAAGGTCATCGGTGGAGATAGAGCCGAGCGTTGTTCGACCGAGGGGTCGGAAGTGAGGATGGTTCGAGTATATAGCTTAGCCTTGCCTTTCCGAGAATAGCATCAAGTTCTGGAACCTAATCTTCTCACCAAGCTCCTCCACTACCCACTTCAGCCCTCAGCATATTCGCCCGTCATCCTGTACATGATCCATCATGGCAAAGGCCGAGACTGAACACCACGAGCCCTCCAAGGGTCACGATGTCCCAACGGTCGAACATACCGATGATCAGCTGCTGGGGCGAGCTATCCAGCAGCAGGAACATAACCGGACATGGGGACAGAGTCTACGTAAAGACCCATGGCTCCTGTTCTGGATTGGCGTGATGCTCTGGACCTTGATTGTGCGAGGCTTCGAAGCTGGCGCATCAGGCGACGTCCTCAGTATTCCCACCTTTAGAAAGAGATTCGGCGTTGCCATGGACGGTAGCTACTTCATTGCAACAAACTGGCAGTCGGCCATTAGCGGCGGCCCTAACGCGGCTGCCATTGCCGGTGCCTGGGGTGCCTCCTTTCTGTCCGACAGATATGGCACTAAGCCCATCATCTTGCTGGCTGCCGTGATCAACCTTGCTTCGGTGGGTGTCGAGTTTGGAGCCACATCCCTTGCCATGTTCTTCGGAGGCAAGATGATGAACTTTTTGGCAATCGGTGCCCTTCTCAACCTTTGCACCGCCTACGTCGCCGAGGTTTCCCCTCTAGCTATCCGAGCCAGCGCTATCGGCTTCTGCAACCTGTCTCAGTGCATTGGGCCGTTCCTCCTGGCAATCATGTCCTACTTTACCTCCAAGTGGGACAATGACTGGGCCTGGAAATCGCTTGTGGCTGCGCAATGGGGCTTTACCGGCGTGGCTCTTGTCGGCCAGATCTTCATGCCAGAGTCACCCGTGTATCTGGTTCGCATGGGCAAGATGGGAGCCGCCCAGAAATCTCTCGAGCGTCTCTACTCGGATCCGCAAGATGCCAAGGGCCATCTCCACCGCATCCAGCTCACTCTCGAAGAAGCGGAGCTGTCCAACACGGGATCATACCTCGACTGCTTCAAGGGGACAAACCTACGTCGAACCTTGATTGCAGTCATGGTGTTTCTCTCAGAGCCCATGTCGGGCCTGGGATTTGTTGGCAGCTACGGCGCTCTGATGTACCAGTTTCTGGGCATCTCGGACAGCAAGGCCTTCGAGTTGAAGATTGGGGCACAAGTTCTCTCCATGAGCGGCGCCATGATCGCGTTTCTCTTGTCCGATTGGTGGGGCCGTCGCCCCATGTACATAATGGGCTGTTCTTCGCTCTGTGTTCTCATGCTCTGCATGGCGATATCGGGCTCGTTTGACACAAAAGCTGCCATCACGGCCTCGGTGGGATTTTACACCATGTTCAACTTCCTCTACAATGTAGGCGTTGGATCTACCGTGTACGCGCTGGCAGGCGAGCTCCCCACCTCGGTTCTAAGGGCCAAGACACTTGCCATTTCCATCTCGACTTCTTCGGCATTCAACACCATGTGGTCCTTCGTGGCCCCATACTTGTTCAACTCGGATTACGCCAACCTCAAGGCCAAGATCGGGTACGTGTTTGGCGCATTCATGCTTATTTTTGCTGTTCTCGCCTTTCTATACGTCCCTGAGACGCGGAGAAGGACCTACGAGGAGCTGGATGAACTGTTCATGAAGAAAGTGCCTACCCGTCAATTCCGCACGTACGTTACTGTGGCTGAACAGCGAGCGGCGGAGGCCTATGCTGCGCAGGAGAAGACGGTTGGCGAGCAGAAAGTGTGAGGAGGCTGGTTCCTTGAGGGTAAATATATTGTGTGTACGAGAAGTCATTGGTCATGTTTTGTTCGGATAATGACGCTAGTGAATTGGATGACAGTCCGGCCTTCAATCTCGTTTTGTCGTACAGAGCGCCTACGGCCACCTTGAAGCGGACATGAAAAGGGATTGTTGAAAGAGAAAATAAAGGCATTGCCTAATGCGGTGATTTTAAGCCCCTCTAGTGAGACTGCTCTGACCAATAAGAGCGTGCCGTAGCTCGACAGGTTTTTTAAACGTCATGTGACCCCTCGGAGCGTTCCGAATCCGGACTAGCGAATCGTCGCATGAATGGAAGCTTGGAGTTGCCTACCCTGTAGGTTTTGAGAGACGCAGATGGGTTGGTATTAAGAACCCATCCAAATAAATGAAAAGTGGTCTACTGGTACTTAATAGATAATCGATAGTTAATAATCATAAGTTCTTTTTTCACACAAGAGGCTTTCTTTCAATTTGCCTTACCCCGCCTAAAGTTGGTTGTCTGTTCTTCAAACGGTTGTTTGGAAAACTGTGGTTGCGCATCATGGGCAGCGCTATTTGTCCAAGTAATGAAAGCAGTGAGTTGACCTACTAACCACCACGATAACGCGCCTTATCTTATCTTGATTGATCAATGATTGACCTCTGTGATGATTACCCCGGACTTAATTTCCCAAGGAGCGCTTGAAACTGCCGTCTTGATCATCCTCATCCCCAGACATCAAAGAGTGACATTTGCGGGGGAACGCGACCTTGACAAGGGGGAATTCACCCACTATGCCTACTCTAGTTAGCTCAGCAACGACTTCTCGTCCTCGGGGAATCTGCTTCCGAGTCAGGGCCTGTTTTTGCACGAATTCCCCGCGAGGTGACATTTTATAAAGCCGATCCTACCCCACTTCCCCAGAGGAAAATCCGAGCATCCCAGCTGGCTGGCACCCTTTCGGTTTGTCCGTGTGTGCCATGCAGAAACGGACGGTATTGCTGATCGGCAAACATGGTCGACACTGGCCCGTCACCCTCTTCGGAACATGGTACACCGAAGCCTGTACGCAATCTGAAGGCATGCGACCTCTGCCGGAGCCGCAAGGTGAAGGTACCGTGACGCCAAGATGCTTCTTTCGAGACGGGAGGTAGCTGACAGTGCCCTAACGCAAGTGCCGTTATGCAGACGGTGACACTATCTGCCAAGGATGTAGGCTATCAGGTACCGAGTGCACGCAAAACAAACCCAGGCGTAAAAGGGGCCCAGCTAAACGGTAAGCTACTCTTAGCCACGTCCACTCCCTGTTCTCTGGGACCTTAGACACTGACTTGGATTCTCAAGCTCACTGGCTCAGCGCTCACCCAACGATACGACAGTGCAGGCATTTTCTAGCCCTGCCACACCCGGGTCAGCTGGTGAAGCGTATCTCGATCCTCCACGCCCTGATTCATCCCCGGCCGAGGAGGAACCAGACGACCAGAGTAGCCAAGCATCCCCAGACCCAAGACTGGGCGACTCAGACTTCAAGGGACTGTGCTCCCGTTCGCTCATCCTAACAATTCTTACCGACTGGTCTCGCTACGTCTATCCACTTGCCCCCCTTTTACACAGGAAGAAATTCCTGAAAAGGGTGCTCCAGCATGAAGATGAGAGGAACCAGACGTTCTGTGCCTTGGTCCTGTCCACGTGCGCCATGACTGTATCAACTCTCCGACGACGGAGCTTCTACAATTACCCAAGCGTTACCGTGGACAAATGCATCGATATCATCGAACGAGAACGCATGCTGTTGCCTGTCTCATACACCCCGGAATGGTGCCTTGCGCGTTACAACTTTGCTTCATCTCTGAGCGCGCTGTATGGGTTGGATGACATGCGTATATATCAAGCTATTAAGGACGCCATGGCCGGCGTTCAATGGCTTCTTTTTCACGAAAAGGGAACAGAATCAGTGCATGACCAGGAGATGGTGAAGCGACTTTATTGGCTGCTTGGCATGTGGCAGCTGTAATGCCCCCCTGACGCTTGGCTTGGACTGTTGCTGGAGCACTAACATTGCTTAGGGGCACCGAAATACAAGGCCAGCCACACCTGACATTCCTTCCCGGTCCTCCCTTTACCCAAGCTTTGCAGACAATTCGTCCCCGGCCTCTATCTGATGCGGAGCTGGGAGTACCTGACGCGGAAACGAACGTGTCGGAATTGTGGACTGCGGCGCCAGCGTCATGGCTTAAAGACGATGACCAGTATATCACAGGACTCAACAGCCTTGCCGATGTTCTGATGGTCTGGGAACGCGCCAAGATAGACATGGCTCACAAACAACCAGAAGAGACTTTAAGAGATGGCATGGCTCGCCTTCAAGCGGTGCTTGACAATCTCGTCCCTGAATTGCGTTGGAGAGGTGGCTTGGCCAGATTCCCGAAACCATCTCGTGGGCACGAATCACAGACAGTCAACATTTTGATCACATGCTTCTATATACGGTCAAACCTGCTGCAGCATCTCGGCCAAGCACCTGGCATTAGCCACCAGAGCATCGTAAGGTTAGTGGAGAGTTGTGCCCCCTAAATCGACTCGATTATCTTGACTTGACAACTAACCTCACCTCTAGCGACGTTCTTGAAGTCCTCGAGCATATGCCAGAAGACATACACGAGTGCAATGGATTCACCTTGGTCAAGAAGGTTCGAGATATAGGTGCGGCGTATCTACAGGAGCTTCGACTCACGTCTGGGGAGCCTATACAGGCCGTAAACGAGTCGGAGCAACGCATTGTCAATGCTCTTCTCACGAGACTGGAGAGAATGGATTTTAGACTGGATCAAGAGAATCTATGTCCTGAGGACGATGCCATCTCTCCAGCCGCTCGGTCTACTGATACAAGGATGGGAAGCGTATAATGTAAAAAATTCAGCACCTCAAGATACAGGAGATGAATAATTTTCTCTTCTCCAATCTCTATTCGTATCTGATGTGAAGGCTTGAACCTCGCGCTTCTCATCCATCTTAGCGCCAAGTGGAGAAATCCCCTCTGATTCTCCAAGAAAAAGCTCGCCACGTTTCTTCCACTCAACCCCGTGGGGTACAGCAAATTTGACATTGGGCATCCCCAGACTCGTAATACAACCTAACCATCGATCAGAGCTAGGTTCGTCCCCAGATACCCCGAAAAACGTGTCCGGGGAGGATCATACCATCCACACGGTTGGAGTCGTCGGCTGGGCCCGCCTAGAGAAACTCCGAAATTTGCATCCGAAGGACGACCCATTGCCGGCGCCAGTGGCGGGGGACTCGCCGTGAACGGAACAGTCTCGGCCAATGCGCTAGGGAGGCGTCTTCGCCAAGGGGGTGCCTGGCGGTTAAGACTTCCTTTTGCGTTCCATCATTCGCCATCACCAATAATTTATATCACCTGGACGAACTGTTCCCAATTTGGGAGAGCTGGTTCAATGCCCTTGAGGAGGACTGTTTAGGACGTAAACAGTCCCAGTCAAGAAGTACGCCGAGCTTGAAAGGATAATGCAAGAACATAGGGCATGTTAACACAAGATGAGCTCAATTGGACCACCGTTGGTACACGTTGTGAAGCATCATCGTGACCCCAAATGTCTATCTTGTGCGTACCTATGAGGTGCGGGGATAGTGCAGATTTCGTGGTAGAGCATCATAGCATCCTCGCGTCCCTTGCCACACCAAACAAGGGTGGTATGAGTCTAGGTTCCGCGGGGGTGGCCCATTGACTCGCTACAGTAGTTAACGATCCATGCTGCAAGGGGTCGCGAGTCAGTTGACCCGTAGCCTGACGCCAACGCCAACGCCCCGGCCCCCCTCATCGAGACCGCGAAAAGGTCGTTGTCGGTGTATCCGGGGACGAACCGACGACTGATTCCCCAGTTTATCGGTCCCGTGGGGAAATTTAGTACACAGGCTAGTACGGCGACGATTTTCTTTTAAACTCGGACGACAACCCTTCACATTTTACCATCACCATCCACCTCAACTCTTCAACTTTGCCTTTACACTTCATCTTTCTTGTCAATTATGAGCGAACCAAAAACCACCGTCGTGGTCGGCGACATTGAGGATGACCACGCCCTCAAAAAGCCAGAGCACGTCGAGCATATCGGCCATGCTACTGCGGCCGAGGACCACCAGGAGGGCCCTATCAAGGCTATTCGGAACCAGCCTTGGGCCTTCCTCTGGTGTGTCTACGCCATCTACACACTCATGTTGACCAGCTTCGACAACCAGGCTGGCGGTATTGTCATCGGTATTCCCCAGTTTCGCAAGGACTTTGGAAGCGAGTTCGCAGGCGACTACGTCCTCCCCGCTAAGTGGCAGTCCGCGTATAGCGGCGGCCCTGTTGCATCGTGAGTATCAGCCGATTCCTGCTTGAGTTAACGAATCAATTGGCTAAGTACTGTAGCGCTGTCGTCGGTTCCCTCGGTGCTGGCTTGATCGCCGACAAGATCGGCCGCAAGTGGACTTTTTTCGGGTGCTACATCCTGGTCTTCGTTGCCATCACCGTCGAGACCATTGGCACCACCAACGCTGTCTTTTTCGCCGGAAAGTTCATCGCAGGCTTCCCCATTGGCGCCTTCATCACCGTGGCCATGACCTACATCGGCGAGGTTTCTCCCCTGGCCCTTCGAGGAACCCTCACAGCCGCTTCCGCCATCGCCTTTACCATTGGACCCTTCATCGTCTCGCTCATCGCCAACGAGACAGGCAGCAGGACGACACGCTGGGCGTACAGGGCCATTTTCGTCTCGCAGTACGGCGTCAGCGGCCTTGGCTTCCTGATCCTGCCCTTCATGCCTGAGTCGCCCTGGTGGTTGGTCGACCACAACAAGATGGACAAGGCGGCCAAGTCTCTGAACCGCCTCGGCTACAATGCCGTCGACACGGAAAAGCGACTGGCCGTCATTCAGCTGACGCTCCAGGAGGTCCGCAAGGAAACCGACGGGGCCAGCTACTTGGAGTGCTTCCGCAAGTCCAACTTGCGCCGCACCATCATCTCGGTCGCTCCCATGAGCATCCAGGCTCTATGCGGTGTCTTTTTCGTTGCTGCCTATGCCACCTACTATCAGCAGCTCGCTGGCTATACCGCAGATGAGAGTTTCAAGCTTGGTATTGTGCAGCAGGTTCTGTCGATGTTGGGTAACATCACATCCTGGTTCCTCATCGATAGGGTTGGTCGACGAGACCTGACTATCTGGGGACTTGCACTCCTCACTGTCATCCTGATGGTTACGGGCGGCCTCGCTGTCGCGGCAACCAAGGGCGCTATCAAGGGAACAGTTGCCCTGCTGCTCGTCTACTGCTACTTCTACAACTGCACCATCGGAGCCACCGCGTACACCCTCCTGACAGAGATCGCCACGTCCAGACTCCGCGCCAAGACAGCCTCCCTCTCGCTCGCCCTTCAGAACGGACTCTTTGTAAGTTTATTCAGACCCCCAACCCGGTTTTTAACATGCTAACCAGACAATCAAGACAATGTGGGCTTTCGTTATCCCCTTCCTATTCAACCCCGACCAGGCCAACCTCGGAGCCAAGGTGTCCTTCATCTTTGGCGCCCTAGCAGTCCTATGCATTGTCTACCTCTGGTTCTACCAGCCCGAATCTGCTGGCCGCTCTTATGAGGAGTTGGATGAGATGTTTATCAAGAAGGTGCCAGCCCGTGAATTTAAGGGTTACAAGACCGAGGCTGAGCAGAAGTCTGGCCTTGCTTGATTGGGATGGATCTATTTTGAGTTGTATGATGAAGTTGCTCGTCGAGGGAAGCAAGCCTTTAAACCAGTAATGACGAGGTAGGGAGAGTATGAGACTCGTAGCACATTTAGATAGCATAACTATATATCCATTGTGCCAACCCTCAACTCGTTTGTTGCTATTTCAAGGCGAATCCCTTTGCCTTCCTCACGATGAGATTTGGCAGCGCCCTGCACCTCCTTAGGACAGAACTCAAGTTTCAATCCTCCCAAAATGTCTAGCAGCCCTGCTTTGACAAATTTACAATCCCACTCACTCGAATCTAGTCTCCCAACCGTCTTCTCGAGGTAATCGATAGCCTGTTTTGCATTCCGAGGATCTGGTGGAGACTCCAGCGTAGCCCGGAACCTCCTCCGTGCCTTGCGTCCTTTCAACTTCATCTTACGCCTAAACCTTTTCATCTCACCGTTACTCTTGCGTTTGTTCTCGTGGTTGATGCAGCAGAGCAAGGCGCGCATCTTGGCGGCTTCGGCCATCCCCTGGGCCTTGACGGACCATGATAACGTTGTTTCGTCGTTACCATAGGCACTCCACGTGCGTTCCCAGAGTCTCTTGGCAAGATCTCTGGCAAGTTCATTGTCATGGAAAATATAGTGAGCTGCGGAGGCATAGTTGCGCAACAGATTGATGGTGTAGTCATGACAAAGACCAAACTTTTGCTCAGTTTCTTCAAGACCTTTTCCATAGGAAGACAGAAAGCTCGCCTTTTGGAGACATTTAGGGTCCCAGTACCGAGCATATGACGTCCAAGATTCCAGGACTGCTGGGTGGCGGGGCCAAGCCTGCTTGACAATGCTCGGGCGGTGCAGAGGAAGCTAATACGCATTGTGTCCTGGAGATCACAAGGTGAGATCCCCAGCAGACTTTCCAAAAGCGCGGTCATCCCAACATGGTGGGTTTTACCAGCGACACTAGAAATATCTTGCAGAGAGTGGATAAAGCTCTCCACATACGAGGTATCACGGTGTCTCAACTGAAGACAAAGGCCTTGCAGGATACGGCATATGTCCCATATCAATGACAACTGGTTTGGACTAGAGAATCTTGCGGGGTCTTGTGCCTTATTAAAGACCTTGTCGTGAAGTAGATTGCCAATGATCGCCTTCAATGTATCTGCTCTTTCTGGCCGGTTTAAAGCGACAGGCGTTTCATCCGTCGGGTTGGGAATGGCGTCGTGCTTCCGAATCAGAGTAGAAATGGCCTGGCAACGGGTTTGAAGAACATGCCACTCTCATTCCTTGAATATTATGGTGTAGTTTCCAGATTGATTTGGGTTGCTTAGGGACTCGATGTCGGTTTGAGAGTCGTAGAATCCTTTTATGAATTTGTTGACGCAAAGAAGTAGTATGGTTTGACCCTTGTATAGGTAAGGGGGAAGGGCGCGCGGAACTGAGCTCAAGACTCGGATCACGTACTCAGGAGGGGAAGGGTGATGCCCCATAACCTTCTTGGGCCTCGTTTGCGATTGAGAACTCCCTGGAACCTGATGACTGAGGATTTGGGAGTTGGTCCCCGTGGCAGTGGTTTTGTTCTTCACGCAATCTGGCCAGTGTCTCTTCTTCCTGGTATTAAAGGAATATTCTCTATCTACTAAGTTAGATTGAAGGCTACCGTAAGCATAGGGGTGCAGAAAACGTACGTGGCTGTGAAATGATGAACCAACTCGCGTATCATGCTGGTCTGCGGCAAGGTACACCTCTGGGTGATAAACAAGTCTCGAAAGATCGGCCGAATAGCCTCCCAAGCCTCGTCAGAATATGAAGACACGCCTGGATTCTGTTGGGCAGATCTTCTTGGAATCTCCGATTGCGGAATCGGTTGAGGGTTCTGTACAGTGCAAGTCAAACTTGGAATGCGTGGCGTGGGTTGAGACACTACCCCTTCAAACTCGACACCATCGCCGACCGTGAAGAAAGGATAAGTGGTGCCTGATGAGTGAGCTTGCATCGGATTCTGATAGTCTAAATCCATAATATCGGGCGGCTCGAGGGTGTGTGGTAGCTGAAGTGATGGTTCGTTGATGGTCATCCGAGATAGTTCTTCCGGCATCCATTGAGGGAGGGCCCCGGTCCATGGATTCTGTGGCATGTATGTTGTCTCCATTGGTGCCGAAGGCCATTCAGGTCCAGAAGCGAATGCCTCAGTCCCGAAGTTGGGCCAGGAGATTGGTCCATGGCGTGGGAGGTGCTTGTGCCGCAGGAGGTGTGGTAGGACTTGCTGCTTACAGTGCTGTCTATTTTGTTCCTTGGGATAGGTTTTGGACTTCCTTGAAGAGCCGTTTGTGGGAAATATGGGAGTATGTCCGCGACACATTTCTTTGGATTTGGAACAAACTGAAGGGCTTGGCTGGCTTTTGAGTCTCGCTCAAGGCATCTGATTGTTTCTTCTACTATTTTCTCTTTCACTCTCTGATCCATCAAGACCAGGAGGCAAACTTTCCAATCATGGATGGATTGTGAGGATAGCTCACGTTGTCCTTCTTTTCCTTTGTCTGCTATGTTTGGTTTGAGATGGGTGCCAGAATGTCGCCTCGAGGGCCAACATCCTCCAGGCTAGATGGCAAACAAGTGGATTGATACATAGATTGAAACTTGATTATCTTCAGACCGCCTTCGGATTTAAAGGGACTACTACCTCCCGCGGGTTCTCTATTTACTGGCGAAGAATCCACATACTTAGCGCCTAAACCTATGGGTCCATGATTGTGCTGAACTCATCTGCCATGGTTCAGTCCCTGGCGGAGCGGAGTTTGAGCAGCGGAGTTTGAACTTGCGGGGCGGAGTTTGCCTTCGTCTGAGGTGTCTGGTGTCTGGGTCAGCGCCGGAGAATCCTCAGAAACCCGACCCGCGCGTTTCGGGATGGCGTTGAGATTGGGCTTATGGGTAAGCCTGACGTCTTTCTCTAATTAGGTGCTGTGTAAGTGGTGTTGGTCCCAGCTGTATTTGGAGACTCAGTTGTCGCAAGGCAGGCTTCAACTCAGAGGACAAATGCAGGGGATACGGTATTTAATATGAAGGTTTCAGGCGCGCTAAAGTATAAATATTGGAGAGTTAATAATTTTCGTATGGTGTATAACGATTATGGGCGATTTATACGACGTCGGATAGATCGCCCGAGGCGCGCGCGCGGTTAACCAAGAGGTCCAAGATGGATGGCTGCCATTGGGCCATGTTGTCACACCACTCCAGCGGCTGCTCACCAGAGGCCACAGATGATGGAACTGACCGCGCGGGTATGGTAAAAGTGATATGACCGAATGGATATAAAAGGTCGTCTTGGAAGCAAGTCGGTTCAGTCCACAACACTCACCGTTTCTCCTCTCATCAACAAACAATACCACCAAACATCCAACAACTATTCACCATGGCCTCCGTCAAGAAAATTGCCCTTATCACTACGAGCACTCGCAAGCCTAGAGTTGGCCCGAAGGTGGCCGATTTGGTCCATGAGATCATCAAGAACGACACGGATGCATCCAGCGACGTCGAGATCACGCCAGTTGATGTCGCTGACTTCAACTTGCCCATCTACGACGAAGAGGTGATCCCCGCCATGGTTCCTGCCCAGGCATCCTTCTCCAAGCCGCATACGATCGCCTGGAGCACTGAGATTGGCAAATACGACGCCTACGTCCTCGTGATCCCTGAATACAACTTTGGCATAGCCGGAGCTACCAAGAATGCCATCGACTACCTCTACAACGAGTGGATCGGCAAGCCGGCTGCCATCGTCAGTTATGGTATCCAGGGAGGAACCTTTGCCAGCGAGCAGCTCAACAAATCGTTGACGGGAATGAAGTTGCGCGTCGCGGAGACGCGACCCTCGCTCAAGTTTCATGGCAGCCACGGCCCTGATCTGTTTCTTGCAATGGGATCAGGTGGTCTGGGCGAGGACACAAAGAAGGATATTGAAGCTGAGGCATCAGTTATTCTCAAGGCGTTCCAGGAGCTGAAGGAGCTGCTCAACGCCGAGAAGGCCCAGGAGTCAGCCTAATCAAGAGGGGAGCTGAATGAGAAATATGTACAAAGGACCTGGGTCGTTGTTAGAGAATCGCGAGTCAACTACGTCGTTATCGAGTTAGATCAAAGGAAGAAACAGGAGCAGTGGCAAGTTCTTTAGCACTAAATAAAGGGGAGATATAATCCACCCAGAAAATCAGGCCAGTCACTCGTAGATAGTTCCTGGCTTGTTCCAGTGCTATCCCCTCCCTGTGGCATCCTTGCCGATTCTCTCATTGAGCCCCATGTTGGAGAGTTAAACTCCAACGATGGTGCAAGAGCTGGGGCACTACCTTGAGCTCCCAAGTCTGCCAGCCCCCAATTTTCTAGTTCCCCGGTATTGTGCAAAACATCATGTTTCCGCATGACTCGACCAAGTGGCTCTACCAGAGTGGAGGCTTGTTGAGACTGTGCCTTTGCATCCTGCAGGATCCTCCATGCTACAACAGCTTCTGGGGACTTGCTGATTTGTCTGGGTCCATTGGTGTCGAGACAAATTTCGAGAAGTAAAACAAGGAAAGCTAGAAAGATGTGATGCAGGACAATTGACATCCTCAATCGTGTAGAAGCAAAGTCATGCTCATCCTCCTCTAATCGCATCTCCATGCGAATTATGAGCCGAGCGGACTCCACACAGGCTGCACGAGACGTTGTGTATGCTGGGCCTGCTTGGCCACGAGCGAGATAGGGGAGATGTGCTCTGCATCTCTGACCATGAACGAATAGGTTCAATATGTATCCTTGAATTGTGAGTTTGTTCGCGTTTCTGTTCATGACAGATGAGATGTGGTTGAAGCATAGGAAATCCGGAGCATCATCCCAGAAGCGAGACATCCGGGCCTCGAGTTCTTGCACAAGCTGAAAGCTAATCGTGTCCGGACTTAGGGCTGCGAATTGGGCGCTCTCAAGTGATGCGCGGAAAATTTCTGCAAAACGGATACGCTCGAGGAAGTACGACATGCATGTCGGTTGGTCCAGCGGCTTTCCAATTATCTCTTCCCCATCGATGCAGTCTTCGTCATCGACGTTCTGAGGTTTGTGTACTGCCATCTGAGACGGGTGTATCGTGTAGGCGCCTCCAAGGGTACCGGAAAGCCCGGCAAGTATCCTGCCCGAAGTTAGATGGACACGATAGTTGAAGGTCTCTGGACATCTCTTACCAGTCAGTGGTGCACAGATACCACCAAACCCTACGTCCAACTTCCGCTTCGAGCCTTGTGAAGCCCGCCCTATTGCCGAAGACATGCCGTGGAGAGTCGATGCAATGAAGCCCTAGCTCGCGGGCCATCGTGATTGCTCTGGAGAAGAGGGCCCTATATTTGATCGAAACTCCTTCAAGGTTGACTACCGAGTAACAAAGAATCACCAATGCCTGGGTGGCTTCCAGGGATACGTGCGGACCTTGTTGAATATGATCTAGAACCTCAATACCCGCCTTCTGCCATAGTGACGCTTGTGAACGCGCCTCGGACACACCACAGAAGAGGTTCCTTGAAAGGTCTTGAGGAGTCCACAAGCAAGTAGCATTTGCAAAGATGGCAAGGAGAAGTGCAATTGGGCCCATGGGAGCTGGGTTTCCTTGGTTGATGGTATCATAGACTTGATCAACAAGTCGTCTGACAGAAGGGCCGTGGATGACGTGGTGAATAAATGAAATGTCACTTATGTACTTGTCGACAAGTCTTTTTGTTTCTTGGCGCTCCGGTAGCCAGACGCACCTGATGGGCTCAGGATGGACAGCGAGCGATGGCAATGCCTCGTTCTGAAAGACAAAAGACCATGGACGGGTGATGAGCCGAACAGGGCATGTTCGAACCACGATGGGATTTGAGTGTGCAGAATCCTTTCGAGGATATTAGCGCTTGATCATACTGGGAGATCTTACTCGCTTACTCCTGCTTTCGGACCCATGCATAGCCGTTCTAGGAGTAAGGCATCTGATAGCCAGTTTTGGACATTGGAGGATAATCGCCGCTGCCCTGCATCTTCATTAGAAGTAGGCTCAGGAGAAGCAAGTTCTCTCTGGCTAGTCCTGGCAGCAAGCAGAGCTTCCAATGATTCTAATCGCCTCAGCAATTGATCATTGGAAACCTGGGGCTCTGCTAGCGGTGTCTCCGGAGCCTCCCGGCCCCCGGCTGCGGCTGGCGCTTGGCATAAGACTCCCCGGGCGATACAATTGGTGCAGGGGAATTGGCGGTTGCAACGGAGCTTGCGCTCTCTGCAGAGTTGGCAAGAGACAACGCGCGATCGAAGCCGCGGATTCGTCCGCGACCGGCGATCCATGGTTCCGGGACTCGGGCGTGTGGTAGTAAGTAGAGTGATGAGAGGCCGGAGGGAGGACACGGAGTTGAACTTGATCGGAGATTTGCCGGGCCCGGACTTAACGGACTCCGCGGAGTAGAGTGGAGCACCGGACGGGGATCCCGGCAGACTATTGACCCTTGCGTCTTGGCACGTCATGAGGTCCAAGTCTCGTATTAGTGATATCTTCACGCTGTAGAAAACGACATGGTCCCTAAGTACCAAATTGGCTTGCTGATGCAGTATGATTTAGTTCTCTGACCCTTTGTTGCGTGATTCAGTTGAGCTCTCCTTGGTTTGTTTCAGCCGGCATAACTCCAAAATCTCCTTCACCAGCTGGTGACACCCTTAACACGGTCAAAACCACCCCTCAGCTGATGTTCTGGTTTCACCACCTTTTCTTGTAGAACTGTATACCGAACCAAATTTTCACAATCTTCCGGACGGACTCGTGCCAACCAGATGCACTGCGCCGCACCAACTTCCCCCCCCCGCCGGCTCATGTGCTTCAGCCTTGCCATTGTCTTGAGACTGTCCCAGGTGTGAGCCATGGCCCCGGTTAAAGGCATTGTGCCGGCCATAGACCATAACGTTGGCCGAGTATTTGTGCCCGCCCAGATGGCTGATAAAGCAGATACCAACGCCCCCAGGTCGCTCATCATTCATATTACGATAGAGACCAAGGGGTCGTAAGTGACGCTCGAATTCTTTGCGTAGTAGAGGTGCACTCTGTCCACAACGTGCGTCCCTCGACCTCTGACTACAGAGCAGTATGATTGCTTCATGCGGGCGCTGATATCCGGGACGGTTGGGTCGCCATTGGGTACGATGGCAGGGAGAGTCGACGCTGCGAGGGGGGACAGGGTTGTAGGTGAAGCCTCGATGAGGTCAATCAACTGATTTACATTCTTCGGGACTATGTTGTTGATCACAATAAATCCAGGAAGGAGGAGAGCCGATATGGGTTTCGAGTAGTCGGAAGCGCCGTTAGGTGTGGGCATATTGGAAGCGGAAAACATCAGTCTCTAACGATACAGGTGAATTAGAATTATTCTGAATTAGTAGTATCTCATATGGTGGTACCAATGGCTTGAGTTGCCTTGGAAAAGAAATGAGAGAGAGATGGAAACGATCCTCTGTTTAATGAAGTCTAATGGAAGGATGGAGAGAAAAAAGAGCAGAGCGGTGAACCTCGTGTGTCCCGTGTGCTAGTAGCAGTCAGTTGAGAGGATGTATAAGCCCAGATTATAAGTGCTTGAAGAATCCATACCCAATTCCTAAAAGAGCAGAGCATCCATAAGCAACTAATGCGATACAATTACGTGTTCAGCCTCGTAACTAGTCGATGACCGCTGGCTTACAATACGCGATAGAAGCCTAGTCCGTGTGGCATTACGCAAGACAAAGGATCTTCTGCATGGAACAAAATTGCCGGACCGATTCTTACTTGGTCTACCTGGGCTTATCCATGGAGATCTTTCGACAGACCCATGGAGTTCGTGCTGGAGATAAGCTGGGTCGTGGACTTTGGTGCCTCTGTTCCCTGGGTCAAATTAGATGGGGACTGGTTCCAACTGGACGTATGGCAGCCTCCAAGCTCGTTGTTGCCACGCTGGATAACCCATTTGAAGAGGTCTCCCTTCAGATTCTTTTAGAGATACCGCATAAAGTGATCTATTTAAGCTGAGTCATGATCTATCTTGAGTTTGTGAAATAGTCTTTGGCGCATGTAAGCGCCTATCTCATTCCTATCAACATGTCTCCTTGATCTCCTTCCTAACGGTTTTCACCAAAATTCTTTGCGGCATTGGCGTTGAAAGTAATCTTGCTCTGTGATCCTATTCTACCTAATGACAATAGAAGTACCGAGCGCAACTTATGGCATCAGAAACTTGCAACCGAATTTATGAGACTTTCCCCTAACATAGTATAAGAGAAGCGACAGAGTAGCGGGCAAATCTATGAAAGAGAGCCAAACTTTCACATCTCTCCGATTTTGATGATCAACTTTTTCCAAAGACCTGCTCACTCTTGAGTCTTCGAAGAGCCTCTCCCACTCCTTCCAAACCTCCCTTTACCACCTCTGTGGGATGGCCCGTCAACCAGCCATTGGCCAGGCCATATGCGAAGAGCCGGCAGACCGTATACGCAAGGCACTTCTCTTCCTTCCCACCATTATGTGCCACCATGACATTGATCTCACCGCCATCTACATGGCCTGTAAATTTGGACCCGGCTTGAACAGTAGCAACAAGCGGCTTCCGTCCAGCTGAGTTTTCCAAACCAGCCTGGAGCCCCAAAGCATCATCTAGGACACCCTTGTACTCGGGAGCGCCGTCATGATTCGTAGCACAGTCCAAACCATGCCAAGCCGGACCACCACCGGCCTCGACAATAGCCGACTGGATCCCCGCCACAAGCTTGTCGTGTGGTTGTCGGTAATCGACAAGAACGTCACCCTTCTTAGTGTCGAGAAGCCCGTTGACAAAATTGCTCGAGTTACCGGCGGTTGCGATAATCGGGTGGATGTTTGCGGCTTTGACAAGCTTGATAGCGAGGGCACCTATAGCAGTTCCAGCACCATGGATGACGAAAGGGGTTTTCTCTGTCCCGGCAGGGGACCAAGGTGCCGGTAGACGGAGGACGTGATACAGCCCATATGCTGCAACAAGACCATTCAATGGAATCGTAACAGCCTGTGTGAGCCATGGACACTCACGAGTTAATGGGAGAGTGGGTGTTTTCACTGACATACCTCCTCGAATGTAACGTTGTCGGGAATATGGAACGTAGTAGAAGCGGGTGTAATAGCGAACTCGGCAAAGGAGCCATGATCCGCCCCAATCTCGTGCATACCAGCCACGCGGTCCCCGGGCTTAAACTCGGATACTTCAGCACCTACAGCCTCGACAATACCCGCGATATCATCGCCGGAGTTTACCGCCTTCTGGTGAAAGATTGGGACCTTCCAGTCTTTGGGGTTTATACCTAGAATTCAGGTTAGACGGGGTCAAGCCCTCTAACCGATGGGTGGATGTACCCGACACGGCCACTTTGATGAGAAGTTCATCAGCCTTTGGAACCGGGATTGGCACTTCTCGGATCTCGACTTGAGTATCCGGCGAAATGAAAGCTTCCTTCATTGTTGCTTGTGGTGTTCGTGAGTGGAAAGGTGATTGGCTTGTTGGGATTGAGACTGGCTGTGACTTGAACCAGGCATGCTGAGCCTTGAAATGCACCGATCATATATATATCCACGGAATACCCGAAGAATTCCAAACAATTCTAATTCTGCCTAGTGTTTCCTCATCGTGTGAAAGTCGGTGGAACGTTGGGCCGTGTCGTCAGAGCCAAGGATAGGAGATATGGCGGAGTTGGTTCAAAGTGAGGCTTAAGTGCGGTCTCCGTGGACTTGTTCATAAGTATCACGCAATAGTTAACTTCATGGTACCTGGAACTGCATTCCTACAGGGGAGTTGTCCGTGGAGCGCCGGGTCTAGTGCTAAACAAGTCCGCGGAGTTGCGGCACAACCCCGAAGCTAGGGGTACAAGTGCCGCCTCTCCGAGCCACATAACGTTACGCCAGGAGAGCGAATCTCCTTTCAGTCCAGGCGTGGCGTCATCGCATTTCGTTGTCCAACCCAGTCAAATGTTTGGACATATCCCGTATGGAGCAAGACATGGGTGAGAGGGCATCCAGATGTCCGGCTTGTAAAGCCTTGTTCCCCACAGAGCCATCATTTCGCGGTTCGACCACTCGATAGTCACTACGACCCCATAGCTTAGAGCGAACCATGATGGAGTTGATCCAGCCATATGCAAACAACCATCACAACCCTAGCGGCCCAGGAGATGGCCGTCCAACAGCTCTCCACATTGTGGAAGACCAACAGCTCGTCGGCAAATGGGCTGGTAGAGTGGCATTGGTGACTGGCTGCTCACCTGGTAGTATCGGAGCTGAAATTGCTAGAGCAATTCATGCCACAGGAGCCGACGTGTACATCACTACACGAGATACAACAAGAGTGTTTGCCACTGCTCAGAGTATCCTTGCGGATGGGAATCCTGGAAAGGTGGAAGTTATTCAGCTTGATCTGACCTCTCTCGAAAGTGTTCGAAACGCAGCTCAGACATTCCTGGGGAAGTCCCAATCTTTACATCTCCTTGTTAACAACGCGGGTTTGTCATATGGCTAGGAGTCTATGCAGTCACTCATTCATTTACAGACATTCTTTGGTGCCCTAAGCAGATAACAGGAGAGGGCGTGGATACTCATTTTGCCGCCAACTACCTGGGTGAGTTTTTCGGGCAGCATCTATTGTTGATATGATTACTGATACCCAGCTATAGGCCACTTCTTGCTCTTTCAACTTTTGAAAGCATCACTATTGGCCTCGACAAGAGACTTTGACGTGCGCGTCGTTAATGTGGCCTCGGTTGCCTATCGTCTGGGAACTTATGATCTGGACGATCTCGCTTTCAAGAATCGACCATACGAAACTTCCACTGCCTACGCGGCATCGAAACTTGCCACTGTACATTTCGCCAACGAGATCGAAAGACGATACGGCGCCCAGAGCCTGCACGCATTCAGTGTGGACCCAGGAATTACGGCCACCCCATTAACGAAGGATACCCCTGAGATTGTCTCGATGATGGAGAAATACGGTGCTGGCAATCTGCGAAAGTCCCCAGAGCAGGGTGCTGCTACTCCAATGTGGGCTGCGGTGGCACACGAGTTGAAGGGAAAGGGAGGGCAGTATTTAGAACATTGTGGTGAGACTGAGCTGTGCACGGGTGGTGGTTTTCTTGCCACTGGATATGGGGAGAATGCTTACGACCAGGACAGAGAGCAGGAGCTGTGGATCAAAAGTTTGAAGCTTGTAGGCATAGATGAAGATAAGTAAGTGCGTGTTGGAGGCGACAAGAGCATCGGTCATACTCTCAGAACCCCTGATAAAGGGTTCAAGAAACCTTATTAAGACAGGCACGTTTTACTCGCAGACGTCAAATTTGTACTGTGGAATAATGCCAGGCTAACCCATAATAACCTTTCTCAACCTCTCGCTCTCGCTTGCCCCAGTGCTGTTACACATACTACGAAAAGTACCGTCTCTCTCCCAAAGTTCGCGCGGGCTTCCGTTCTCGACCAGGACGCCGTTTTCGAGAACAAGAATCCTGTCAAAGTCTACAACAGTGCTGAGCCTGTGAGCGATAACAACCAGTGTTCTGTCAGTAAACCACTCGCGAATATTACGCTGGATGAGTGTGTCTGTCGCCACGTCAATAGCTGACGTCGCCTCATCCAGGACAACGATCTTGGAGTTTGCGATGAGGGACCGTGCAATGCAGAGCAGTTGCTGCTGACCCTGTGACAGATTCCCTCCAGACTCTGAAACAGGACTTGATAGGTCGCGGAAGATGTTGGAATTATTTGACGAGGCTGGGCTTGAGCCGTTCATGTCATCGCCAGTGGTGGACTTGATCAGCCCGACTCGAGCCAAAGCCTCGTAAAGTTGAACATCCGTTAGTTGCCCAAAGGGATCGAGGTTTGATCTTATGGTTCCCGAAAAGAGGACGGGGTGCTTGCAAGGTCAGCAAAATACCAGGCAACGAACGGATCGGAACATACCTGTGGGATGATTGATAGCCTGGACCTCAGGTCGCTCAATGGAATCTTGGAAATATCGACCCCATCGATACTGATACTACCTGAGCGTGCTTCTAAAAATCGGAACAAGGCCAGTGTTAATGACGACTTGCCTGCTCCAGTACGACCAACGACGCCAACACGCTCGTGACTCCCAATTTGCAGGGAAAGGCTTTTGAGAACGGGTGGTAGGCCTGGGGCATAAGAAACCTCCAAATCCCTCATGTCAATAGCGCCTGAGGTTGGCCATGCTGCTGGTGGCTTCTCTCCATCCTGTGGCTCTGTCTCTAAGGTCATGTACTCAAGCACACGCTCCATCGAGTTCATACCCAGCTCCATATCGCCGTAGCACCGTATCGTCCAACGGAGACTCTCGGAAAAGTCCAGGATGAAAGATAATGCCAGTCCAGCCAGGGCTGCGTCGATCGGTTTCACGATGATGACGGTCCCCACAGCAATGCTGAAGAGAGCTGCAATCAGAGCCATACGAAAACTCATCCACCGGTTGGCAAGTGCGATATAAAAGCTCGTCATCACCCAAGCATCGAGGTTTCTGTGCATCTGAAGGAGATACGTGTGTGTTCTCCGGAAGGCGCGGATTGTTGAGATACCCGCCAAGGTAGTGTTGAAGAGCTCGAAAATAGGTGACTTGGCATTGCTTTCTAGCCGCTTGAGGGGCCGACTGGCGACAAGGTATTTGCGACCAACGATGATGCCTAGACCGAGAAGGAGGATCGCAGGAGGGACAAGGTACGCCGATGCGAAGCAGGACGCGATGCAAATGCCAAGTAACCGAAGCAAACTAGAGAAGAACATACTCCAAGTCATTGCGATTCGCTCATCAATGATGTTGAAATCTGCCGTAAATCGGTTCAAGACACGTCCGGTAGGAACAGTGTCTAGCCACAACATGGGAACGCGCATGACCTTGAAGAGCATCTGCTGAAAGATGGACCGACTTGCTCGGACAGCCAGGAAGTAGGATGAGATGTATCGTAGGATACCAATGATGACAGTGCCCATGGAGATTGCGACATAGATTTTGAGATAGAAGAAAACATCGCTTTGAAGAGTAGCTTGCGTTGATGGCTGAGAAAGAAGCTGATGCGTTGAGACGACCGAGTTGTAGATGCTCTGTCCGTAGAAACTCCCACTTAGAGTCTCAGAACTGGCTTGACCTGTCCAAATTCGGAGCCACCAGGCGCGGCCTTTCCAATGTTAGATGAGGTTAACCGAGATGTAGATGACCTACCAATAACACCCGCTTGATAGGCAAGGTATACTCCAACGCAGCCGGCCCAGAGGAGTACGCCACCGCTGCTCTTGACGTAGGTCAAGTAAACACTCCCCTTGACTGTGCCCTTCTCACGAGTCTCTTCTTGCATAAACTTCTTTGGTGTAGGCGAACTTGACTCTGGAGACTGGTCGTCGGCTGCCCTTGCACTACTCATGGGCCGCACAGGCTCCAAGTGGTCGACAAGCTCGGTCTCCGCGAGGCCCTCACCAGATTGGCTCTGGCATGAATGTATAGAACAAACCGAGCCTTTTGGTGGCCCGGAATATGTGACTATACCGCCGGAAAGCTCAACCACGAAGCTAGCCGCGGGGAGAACTAATCCCAAGTGGTGTGTGACAAGGATACGAGTGCGCCCTTGGCAGATATCCCCCGTGAGACACTTCTCAAAGATCCAGGCACCGACATGTGCGTCAACAGCACTAAAGATGTCTTCCATAATCAATATTTCAGCCTGCGAGTAAACAGCACGCGCGAGAGCAACGCGCCATTTCTGGCCACCACTCAGGTTGACTCCATTCGCGCCTAGATCCGTGCTATCCCCATCTGTAAGAACAGCAAGGTCTGCTTCCAGAGCACACACTTTGATGACTGTGTCATACCTAGCCTGCTCGAAAGGGAGGCCAAAAAGAATGTTGTTCCGCAACGAGTCGTTCTCAAGCCAAGCTGTTTGGCTGACGTATGCAACCGATCCAGGGATGATCCATTTGTCAGGGTATGCGTATTGCGCCTTGGGCACACAGATCGTGCCTTTGAGCAGCTCTGCCTCGCCCAATATTGCGGAGAGAAGAAGAGTCTTTCCAGAACCAACCTTTCCAGAGATAACCGAGAGGGCGCCGTTGGGGAAGGTAAAATCGAGGTCATGCATGGCAAAGATTTCATCCCCGCCTGCCATGTCCTCAACCGGCCAAGAGATAGATGCCCCTTCAAAGCTGATGGAAGGGCCATCGGCCAGGTTACATTGCCTCTCCGGCTCATGCAAGTAAGCGTCGATTCTTCTCAGTGAGACCAGAGAGTCCAGACCCAAAGTGAACAACTCAGGAAGTGATCCCAAGGTGGTCTCAAGGGTGTTGAAGATTCCGATGCTAACGAACGCAATCGACGGCAACAAGGAGCCATGAATTAGAACGTAAGCGGAGAGTAAAGCAACAGCCAAGAGAATTGGACTAATCACCCAGCAGGCAAACAACCCACTATCCGCAAGAAAGAACTTCCACAAGGTTTTCAGCTCAGTTTCTCTCAAAGCAAGAATGCGTTGCTCCCATTGAGACTCCAGTGCACCAAACTTGATCTGGCGCATCCCGAGAAGTACTTCGCTAATTCTGGAAAGTTTGGTATCCCGAAGCTTCATCAGGGACCTGGATTCAGCAAGGACCCTTTTCGAGAACCATGTGTTGGCGGGCAGTGTAGAAGCCCAAGCTAGGATTCCTGCGAGGAAGGGAATCCATCCTAGGAGTTTCAGAAGAAATGCAGAGAAAATGACGAGTTTGACCATTCCGGTGAGTATCAAGAAGTGATACTGCACGAAGTAGAAGATACGTTCGGTATCAACACCGACGAGGTTCACAATGCTCTGGTGAGACTTGAGGGCGACCACATCTTCTGAGGAATCGCTGTCCTCTTCCTCAGAATCACGATCCTCTTGTTGGACGGACCTAATGTTCTTTCGTCGCAGTGCTTTGTCAAAGATGAGACCTGATATCTGCGTACGGACTGGCAAGGCCAGATCCGACAGAGAGAACCAGTAGGACCATCCCTCCATCCACTGCCGTGATGTGTCAGCTGCCAGTTGCTCAGATAATTCTCGGTGGACTTACAGAGTCAAGAAGGTTGGATATAGACATTCCCAAAATGAGAGCCATCAGCTCCATATTGTGTGATCCTATGACCTGGTGCTCAAGAATGTTGAGAGTCCGGAGCATAAACCAAAAAGGCCCAATGCTAACAGCACATCGGACAAGAGTTACTGCCCAAAGGATGGCCAGCTTTCCCTTGTAGGCACCGAACAGAGACTTGATGAGTGAAAATGTCTTGTCGAGCCTGTCCCATGCGCTTTTCAGCGCCTGGGACCTCATCCTCGAGTCTGGCTGAGGGACATCCTCGAGATTAATGTCGTTGTGGAGGGCAGCATGGAGGAGAAGCGGCTGCACCCATGTCCATGTGTATCGACTGAGAGTAGAAACAGTCCACTGAGCATCAACCTTGCGGTTGTCATAAAACACATGTGGTCTTCGGGGAAGTATGCCGCAAGACAGGGCCAGTCCCACGGCTACAATGGTACTTATGATCCATAGCAGAGAGCTCAAGTTCTTGTGTTGCTCGGTATGTGTAGCCATATCTGCCAGACGGGGCACAGAAGCAGCAGCAATATAGCAGGCAGATCCAGCAAGCCATAGGGCTACGCTGTGGGACTTGACTGGAGCATGATGTACTGCTAGGCAAAAAGCATGAATGACGAAAAGTCCCTATGTGATACGCGTGTTAGATGCAAGAGCCGTTTGATATTTTATGCAAACTTACCCAAGTAGCTGTGCGTAAAGCATTCTCCAAGATCAACTCATCATCATCACTGTGAAGGGATGAGAGAATCAGACTGGCTGCAGATGTTCCCGCCCCAAAAGCCGAAAAGAGCAAAATGAGGGCTTTGATGCCTTTTGTTGAAAAGGCTGCCAGAGACTGTGGTGTTGCACAACCATCGCGATCGTCATAGAAGCGGTCTTTGGGCTTGCCGCTTCGAAGTTGACGAAACACAGAGGTGAGGGCAGCAATTGTGGTGAGTACCGTGATAGCCAAGGCCGCGCAGCTCAATGGAACTGCGAGGTGCTGATTCATCGTGAAAAGCTTCGTAGACACATCAATCGGAAGCCGTGAATCAAGCTGGGGCCGTGGCACAAAGGTTAGGTGTGAGTGAGGCCACAAACTTCAGTTTGAGCGGGGATTAAGCCAGACACAAAACCAAGGCAAATGATGACATGAATTAAGTAGTGGGGGTCCTAGATCTACCGAATTCTCTGCTCATAAGGCTCAAAGCACAAATTACCCCTTACCAATGACGTACTGGTTCGGCATTTGAGAGGTAGCCTGAATGGTAAAGTGTCCGTTAGCCCCTGAGCTGAACAAGTCCCCACAACTGCTCCCTTGCCAGCCCAAGGTATCCGTACCAAGCGGTAAGATCCTCCCTCCCGAGCATTGCCGTGAGTGATTTTCGTAGTTATGTGTCCGCTACATGGCTGACACCGGTATGCTGTGCTACAGTATGTGAGTGCGGCCTGTAATGTTGTCTCAGAGCTGAGAAGGGGCGAGCAAATTGACAGGTCAGTTCATCGCCTCACTTGCAGGAAAATCCTAGGCTATCGAAAATACCAACTCCGAGACACGGGATGACACATGCAGCCACGCAAAGGAAGTGCATATGTGACGGGTATCCCCAAGTCGCGGCATGTGCCGCGGTGGTGGAGGGGCGTGGAGGTGAGGATGCATTTCAGGATGCAGTGACAAACAGCCCGTCTTGACGCCAAGACACGGCCCGAACCGGAAAACTGCGGTTCTGATGTTGGTCGGTCCCGTCGAGTCTAGATGGATGCTCTGAGAGGGTCAGCGCGCTAAAGAAACGCCAAGTGCGTTGAAATTATAGATGCGGTTGGGCCCTCCCTTCCCAGCCGCCCTGTCTCAGGCGAGATGCGGATGGACGGCCAATCGATTGGCATCGTGGGGAAAAGCCACTGCTTGATCTTCACTGTTGTGGACGCTGAAAAAGAAACGAAATTACGGCCTTTGAATGGCTGGTCAATAACTACCCTGAACTTTACCCTGCAGTCCCCTGAACAAACTCATACACCCTATCAGACGTCTACTCGTGTCTCAGAACTGAGCAGATCCAACTTCCCCCCGAAGAGACGGCAACGATGCGCCCGCTGCTTGCGCGCCACGTTCCAAGGCCGAGCAGCTTCCCATTGGCAACATGATAGGTGCCCACAAGAGGATACCGGACCATTCCCACAGACGCCTTCAAGGCGAGATCATACAGACGCGGCCTGATGCGGCGCTGTACGACGCAGGTTATCCCTGGCACCACCTTTGGCGATACGAGGCCTTCCAAGGCGGCCACCCACTCGTCTGCGTCAACATCATCGCCGAATACGATGCCGTCGCCTTTACCGCTGCGGATTGGCTTCAGGATGTAATCGTGCCGCAGCCGAGGTGAGGCCCTGGACAGCTCCAGTAGATCGTGCAGCCTTCGTGACCCTGGTAGGATCGTGTCCACAACCCCACTGGCCAGGGCCTCAGCCTGGGAGGGCGTAAGCACCATGCGGGCCACCAGATGCGGAATTTCGTCCTTGACAATGCCAAGCATGCGTTTGTCATGGACCAGCAGAACAGTCCGCATGTCATTGAAGCACCGCAGACTCAGTTGGCGCCACATCTCAGGCTCTAGGGCCACCAGCTCTCGCTGATGCAGCTCCAGACCGACCTGGTGGATCTCCTCCCAGATCTCACCTCCGTTTGTCGTAAAGATCCATGAATTAGTAGACGAACCAAAGTCGCCGCGGTTCTTGACAATGCAACAAAGGCGGTAACCACTCTTGCTCCGGGGGTCAGGAAACAATCTGAGGTCGGCAGGGGTGATGAGCCGGGGCTTAATGCCGAAGCGACGCCAGACCGCATCGATGAACATGTGAATATCAATTCCATGTTCAGCTCCTTTTAGGAGATGAAGTGGATATTGCGGTTGAAAGAGGCCAAATAGTCCATCCAGGATCTAGAAAGAGTTAGAGACTGCAGGGGTAGAAACAGGGAGCCTGTTCAACATTACCATGTCTGGATTTGTGGCGCCTACAAGCCCACCTGGACCTTCTGGCAGGGATCTGTTCAGCGCTTCCTGGCCGTAAGCCTCATGCAAGAACCCATTGAATGAGAAACGAGCGTTGATCTCGGTGATCCTGTAGTTTTCTTCTCGCTGTTCATCCTCATCCACTAGAAAGTCGGGTCTCCACGATCCCAGACATTCTGAGAAGGGTGCAATGTTTCCGCACGAGACTTGACCATCTACCCACTGTTACACGATTTTAGCAATGGGTAGATCGGAGTGCACTGCATGGATGCAAACTCACCCTCAAGATCTCCTCCTCCTCCTTCTCTAGAGGCATCCTCTCGGGGAATCTCGCATCACGGTCGGTCCACCAGCGTTGGACAATGTCGGTGATGGCGATGGTCAGGGCCTCGTGCAGGTCCTGCATCTGCTGCTGATGATGCTTCCCAACGAGGATTGGCCGGGGACAGCCACTCGAGTAGGATCCATTGTGCCAGAGGTTTGCGGGACACAATTTCAGCAGAGTGTCTTGGAGCTTGGCCTCCTCCAGAGCGTAGGCGCTGGTTTCGACCTTGTTCTGGGTTACAGGCTCATAATCATGAGGTTTGGGCCCGAAATGGATTTGGGTGAGCTGTTGGGTATGCATTGGTAATGGCTTTCGTTTGGCTTGAGCTTTTGGATGGGCAAGTTGCTTGTTCGGAGCTACGAGCAACAGTGTGAGTTTGGGTAGGTATTTATGTGAGCAAGGATGGTACCGTAGTTCCCGAGGCTCCGGTTCAGGGGGTCCCGTAGGCGATCCATGATCCTTTCTCCAAGTGCCGCCAGGGGTGGTGGGGTCAGACGGAAGCAGGGTGACACAAGGTGATGTCGGCTGTGCCGTCCTGGAGTCCGAAGGGAGCGGTGTCAGTGGCTGATGGAAGTGAAGCGGCTGGCCAATGTGGAACTGGAGGTCCTTTTGAGGGCATTGAGCCAGAGTCAGGATGCCACGCATCTTTGGCCATTCATAATAAGGATGAGATCCCGTGAGTGTGCTAGTCTGCTGTGTTTGTCTGCTTTGCTCATCGCTTTCCCTGCAATCGCTTCTCTCACACTTTGTTCAATCCGATCATCCCCTATCTCTATCATGCATCCTCTTACACGCCGTGCCTGTCATCTCTATCGCACCAATGCTTGCATATTGAGGCGCAGTATCAGGTCCAACTCTCTCGCGTCATCTGGGTTCATCACACAGGGTCTTCGCTGCCATGCCACCGTAGTATCTCATACCGTGCCATCGCTTACGTTGCCCTGTCTGGAGGCTCCTGACTTGAGCCATGCTGAGAACCTCGACCATATTGGTCGCATTTCAGAACAATTGGAGCAAAGTGGCATGCTCAAGGTCAGATTGGGATTCCCAGACGAAGATAGCGACTATCTCAAACGGCTGCTAGTCAGTCTTAATCGTCACCGCGGCCATCAACTCCCTATCTCTCACAGCGCCACTCGTGGCTGGTTCTGGGACGTCCGCCCTAGCGAGACCAACTTCCAAGCAAAGAATCACCAAGCAAGATCGGAAACCATGAACGAATTCCCCTGGCACACAGATTGCAGCTACGAGGACCCACCCCCAAGGTTCTTTGCGCTGCAGGTCCTTCAACACGATCGATGTGGAGGGGGTACCCTTTCAGTCATGAACGTCGACAAACTGAGCGAGCTTCTTTCTCCAGAGATTCGATCAGCCCTGCTAGCTCAAGAGTACCGCATCACCATCCCACCCGAGTTCATCAAGGACCCAGAGCAGAAGCACATCATCGGCAGCGTGTTTGTCACAAGTCCCAACGACCAGTCAACAATGATTCGGTTCAGAGAGGATATCCTAACGCCCTTGACAGACCGGGCTTCTCGAGCACTGGTCGAGCTCAAGGAGGCTCTGCTGAAGGAGGAGGTCCAGGCACACTCGACGGTACATCTCAAGTCGGCAGATCTACCAAAAGGATCCATTATCCTGATGGATAATCGCCGCTGGCTGCACGCACGGAATGATATCAAGGATCCAGAGCGCCACCTGCGTCGGGTACGGTGGGATGCATGTCCCTTTGAGACAGTCTCAGTTTAACAAAAATGTCCCGCTGCATCAAGAAGTGCATTAGTTAAATGGCGAAAATCTATGATTAATTCCCTCATTCTTGCATCAAATCAAGTGTCTCATTCTCGATGATCTACGACAATGTCTCAGCCCATAGCTCAAGCTCCAGTACTTCGTAATTCAAGTCAAGTTCCTCGCTAAGTAGCCTGCGTGACGTGTTGTGTTGTTGAGCTTGATCTCGGCTCCAACAATTCCAGTCCTACCCTGGTCCACTAGGACGCAGATCCTTCAGCTGCCAAGCCCTGCTTGACACTGCTGTCAGCTAGCAGCTGGTGTCCCCGAGCTGAGACCCCTGTCCCTGAGCCGAATGTCTCTCCCACTCGATGGCTGCATCCTTGTGATGCATCTCCGGACCCTGCTTTCTCACCCGTTCAGGTCTGTGGAAACTAGTTGATCCCGGCCTGCATACCAATTCGATAGATCATGCAGACGAGATTCGGAGCTCCGTATTTGAGGCTGGCTGAATACCCTCACATTGTCCAATTGGTTGACAGGAAGCTGTGCCGAAAACCCGCTTTCCCGCACCAGGATGACTGAATTGGGAGTATCCGAGACATCTAGATCATTGGTTCCTATTCGTCCCATCATTTCTTAGCGCCCTAGCTGCTTATTTGGCCCTACCTGTGTGTTACGTCCCTATTCGTATGGGGTAACACAGGACCCCATCTGTTGAACCCAAACTGGTCCAGATCGTCATTGCGAACTTGACGGGACAGACCTGAGAGCAAGGGTCTTTAGGGACACATTTCAACCCTTCATTATAAGGGGTTAGTCACCAATAACTAGGTACCGTCATCTTTATCCGCTAGCTGCAGATGAGCAAGGCTTACACGATTCATTGTACCTCGACATTTTCTACTCAACATCGGATCATTCACCATGGCTCCCAGTTTGACGTATTCTGTGGGCGATGTGCTGGCAGTTGCCAAGATTCATCCCTTCTATTCTGACGCTCAGTACCCCCCTGATGATGACACCATTCAGAAGGCGAGAGAAGAAGCTGCATTGACCTTCAAGGAAGGTGACTTGCAGGCACAGCCTCTACTTCGAAAGAATGACTTGTGAGTACCAATACATCTAACAAGATTCAGACGGGCATTGACACCTACTCAGATACACTGCAATCGAGAGGCTTGTTGGGGATACAAGCCCCGAGAACACATATCGCCACAATGTTTACACCAGCACTACAGGTGGTGGAGGTGGTAGCAACTCATTGTTCTTTGCCACGGACGCGATGGAGAATCGCCGACACAGAGCCAACTTTGGCGAGTTTCTTCGGAATACTGGCGTGATCAAACGCGGTGACTGGGTCTTGACGACTCACAATGCTGGTGATCTATACAGGTAGAGTAACCAAGTACCAGGAGTCAGTTTGAGTTGTACTGATGACAAACATCATAGATCCCTAGACCTCACCTTGGAGATCTTGGAGAATGCTGGAGCCACCCTCTTGGCCGCCGGTAATCGCATGCCTAGTTCCAAGGTTGTTGAGCTACTGCAAACCTACCACGCCAACGCCTTGGCTGGCGATGGCAGCCAGATTGTCCAGGTCGTTCAGTACATCTCAACCATGACCACGGGTCGAGACAAGATCAAGTTGGATAAGATCATCTACACGTCAGAGGCACTCAACTCGGTGCAAAAGGCTCACATCTACGCTGTCCTAGGACCCGTCAAGATCTTCTCCTTGATCGGCAGTGCCGAGGCTGGCCCTTACGGAGCAAGCAATCCTGACTTGACGCCAGCCGATCCCAGCGCAAGTTATACTGACTTTATCATTGACACTCGGACGAACCTGTTCGAGATCCTTCCGCTCTCTCTAAGTGATAATGACCGTTTCGCTTCCCCTCTACCCGAGGGCGAAACTGGTATAATTGCACAGACTTCTCTTGTTCGCCTACGAAACCCACTTGTCCGCTATGTCACCACTGATATCGGTTCACTACATCGTCTGCCAGACCAGGCGCGAGATCAAATCCCTGAAAAAGATTGGCCATTCATGCGGATCCTCCGACTCCATGGCCGTGACAGCCGGTTCAGCTTCACATGGGACGGCGAGTACATCGAATTTGATAAGCTAAAGACGCTCATGTCTGACGCTAGCTTTGGCGTCCTGCAATGGCAGGTCATCCTGGACAAGATGGAGCCCTCCAAAGAGGCATCGCTCGAGATTCGTATGCTTTGTGCTGAACGAAACGAGACACTTCTCTCTCGGCAAGAGATCATCGATCGCCTTCATGCTTTCGTTTACATTTACTCATCAAACGAGCATCGTTTCCAAGCCACTTTCGTTGATGACCTCAATGGGTTTGAACGAAGTGAGACTGGCCGGAAAGTGATCAAATTTGTGGACCGGTTCACTACCTGAGGGACGGATAGACGGGGAAATAAAAACTCCTTAAGGCGTTGGGGTTGTTCCAGGTCACCACCTGAGAGTGCTGCCACGGTGTTTGCGAGTAAGGACCAGGGGGAGAGGCCGAGCCAGGAGGTGAAGTCCCATTAGTAGCAATATACTGCGCATCTGTTACCGGCGATTCGCACAATGTATCGTAGCAATCATTGCAATTATTTTTGTGCCTATTCTCCAAAGTCTGGAAGCTGCTGACCCCATCTTGGAAATTCATCACAGGTACTGGCTCCTACTCTTAGCATCAGGCCTTATCAAGGCTTTGACGCAAATTCTTTATGCTCGGATGGCCTATAGGTGAGTTAGTTGAAACGTTTTTGTTTTTATTGCATTATAAGAACTAGTACTTCTGTCACAGGCTCATGAGTTCCAACAAGTCCGAGTCCAGGTCAGCAGGGCAGCCAACCTCAAGGCTTGGTTTTCGGAATCAGTGAGAATTCATAACTGGCATGAATCTGATTGGTGGTGTGCACTTCTCGCTGAGGAGCACTCACTATTTCAACCGTCACGAAGATCGCTCGAGGTCAGAGATTAAGTCCAGGATCTAGTACTGGAATGAAAAGTTGACCAAGGAATGGGAGAGGAGTTTTCTAACGTGACTTCTTAATGGCTCTTCTTCATGATTTCCATACTTCCGTGTAATATCCAAGCGATATCTCACGTCAGACTGCCAATCTGAGGTGCAGCTATCCCTGTCGATGAAGCTGCTAGTTTCTCACACCCTTGTTCCGGGACGAGAGGATTCAGGGTAAGAAACAAAAACCATGGCCCTTCCATTCCCTTTTTCATGCCTCCACTCTGTTTTTACTCGTATTTTCATATCCCAAAGTCATCCTAACTACCAACCATGACAACTGTTCGAGATCGTCACCCAGAACTTTTCGAGCCTATCAACTATGAGTCGCCTCGGGGAAAAGTGCGAAGTGTGCCAATGCAAGTTCTTTGTCTGGGGTTCAACCGGACAGGCACTGCCAGTCAGTACCGAGTAACTCCACTTGCTTGAGAGGTTCTCTCGCTAATCTGCATGGAAGCCATGTCCTCGGCTCTAGAGACTTTGGGCATCCCCTGTTGGCACTCGTTCCACCTACTTACCACTCACTTTGGCGACAACGAGATGTGGCAAGATGCAATCGATCGCAAGTTCTTTAACAAAGGCGAGCCTTTTGGCCGCGAACAGTTTGATCAGCTGCTCCATTGTTTCGGAGCCGTAAGCTCAGACACACCCGCTATCGCCTTTGCCGACGATCTGATTGCTGCGTATCCCGAGGCCAAGGTGGTCCTCGTGGAGAGAGATATTGACAAGTGGTACGAAAGCTACATGCATGCCATTATAGGGAACATGTTTAACCCCTTTGCAACGCTTGTGTATCATTTGGATAGAGCTTATATCCACCCTATCGGAAAGGTTCAAAAAAGTGTCGTGGCAGGATGGGCTGGAATAACGTCTAGGCGAGATGCTGAGCTCAAGGCTCGGGACAAGTACCGTCAGCACTACGCGATGGTGAGGGAACTGACCCCCCCTGAGAGGCTCCTTGAATTCAAACTCGAAGAAGGCTGGGATCCGTTATGCAAGTTTTTGGGTAAAGAGGTTCCAAAAAGCAAGTTCCCTAGGCTGAATGAAAAGGGTTGGTTCGATGAGAAGGCGAGCCTGTTGTTAACAGAAGGCCTGAGAAAGGGGCTGGTAAAGGTAGTTCCGTGGGCTGTTGCAATGGCTGGTATGCTTTTAGCTTGGTTCAAATACTTTGGGTAGGTAGGTAGGTAAGGGCCCCGATGAGATACTTGACTTGGATCTGGGATGCGTTATCTCGAGGACAACTTCTCGGGTGTCGCGTTGACGTTGAAGCATGCCCAGCAGATTGAGGTAATGACAAGGTTCAATATATAAACAACAAAGAAGGTGAAGGGCTATGTACGCAATTCTAATTCCACTTGGTCGTAAGGCCGACATGTCACCACATATCGACAAACGGGCCTCCCAAACAAGAGTCCCGGCCTCTCAAAACATCTCAATCCCAAATTCATGGAGTAGACTGAAGCTTAGTCTAGTCATCGGTAGGTGCACTGAGGTGGATGGCGATGTTTCCGTTACCGAATGAGTAGCCCGCACCATTGACGGTTTGGTCAGCCCTGGTGCACTTGTCCATGATCTTGCCCGCAGCGCGGGCCATGTTCTGGCTAGACATGGTGTCAGTGAAATTCTGAGTGATCCGTCAAGATGTTACTTACCAAGTGTCCGAGGTAGGGTAGCGTCCACCTGGAACGACGGCGGTGATCTGAGCACCACCAATTTTGCACATGACGGTGACGGCGCTCTTGGCTTTACAAGCCTTGTCACCATAGCTAGCAAGCTGGTTGATACAAGCGACAGCATCGGGAACCTGCAAATGTTAGAAACCTGTACACTATGGGATATGACTGTCGAAACGTACATATGCAGATTTCTCGGCGACGTCATCGCCGCGGCAGGAAGTATCACGAATATCGAGAGACCTCTTGGATTCAGCGGCCTTGGATACCTCGAAAGCATCTTCGGGAGACAGATGGTTGCCGTTGGGGTCGGCAATGATCCCCTCTACCCAGTTCTCCCAGGAAAAGGCTTGGGCTCCGTTGTCGTTGCTGGCAGGGGCGGGCATGGCCATGACCAGAGAGGACGAGGCCAGGACGACAACGGTGGAGAAAGACAGGCGAACCATTTTGATGATTGAAAAGGCGAGTTTAGAAGGTAGTTGTGTTTGTGTTGGTGAAGACTGGTGTTCAAGTGCTGAAGAAGTAGATGTTGGATGGTGTGGAACAAGAAGTGGATAACGAGCAGCCGGCCTCTCCTTTAAATACTTGAAAGCCAAAGTATTAATTTCTGAAACTCCATGATCTTTTTATTGGCTTTTGGCCTCAAAATAGATGGTAGCCCAGTTGATCCACGCTGGTGGCTATACTGCAGGGCTTTTGATCCTAACTGAAGGGCAAGCACTGCCTTCAATCACGGCTGAACGGCCTAGAACTATCGCAGAGGTGTCCCCAAAAAGGCTAAGTAATTGAGGCTCTGCAATAATTGTTGCTGCTATTCCATGGGAGTGGGTTCAGAAGAGTGGATGGAATGAAATATGGGGTCTCGGGATGTGGGATGAATGGAGGATTGTCGGAGAGCGATACCCATGTTTGGATGCATACACGTGTTGCTGTTCATATGAAACAAATCCTTCGGGCTATCGGCTATAGCCTCACCGCGTGGTGGCAGTTGAATAGCTTGACCGGATTTCATAGCATCGAGATGAGCTTCTTCTCAATCGGCATACATGTAAACACAAGTTTGTACAGTCCTCCGTAAAGCGTCTATCCTTCCATTTCTTTCTTTTATCGATTTGGAAATGTCGAGTCGACTTGTACAGCAAAGACAGAAACCGAAGGCCAAAACTATGCAATGTATTCTGGGTGCAGAGCACAGCCATGAGCCAATGTCATGAGCCATAGAATCCTCGGGCTGCTTGCCCGTTTCGTAATGTCTGCTCACTATGGACCAACACAGTATGGCAAGTTCCGGTACATCCACCCCTGTAGCCTGTTATCCAGTGTTAAGCTCGCGAGTGGAGTTTCCAGGCACAATGTAAGAAGCACAGGATAAAGGGCCAATCAATTGTGCTTGAGGCATCGGCGTCTACACGTCTTAACGCCGACCCAGAGCTGCGTCAGTCGTTGGCAGGCTAATACCAAACTGTGAACAAAACACAGCCCTCGATTAAATAAGGCTACGAAGGATTCCCAATGCAAGTATAATTCTTTTTACGAGAGTTGATATACCTATTTATAAGCCCCAGACTGCATCCTTGTCACACCAAAAATCCGACACATCCGGGACAGTCGGTATCAAGCCTACTTGCCCCAGGACGTTACTAAGACCCAGCACTTTCTTCATCCACTCGACAGTCTTGCCTTTTTTTTTCTCCAGGTTGAACACAGGCTATCAATTAATATGCCGGTTTAGATAAGTGAAAGGTTTCAATGCAGCTACCAGGCATGTCCTCCATTCAAAACGCTACAACAACTGTACAATAAATCATGTGGGAATGACAGAAAGAGTTGACTAATTCAATACCTCCCCTTTCGATTTGGCGACCTGTTCGTCGAAATCTAAGACATGTTAGCAAGGATCATGAACATGGCGATCATTACTCACAAGGTTGGAACGCCAGCCAGCCCTTTTCAGGACCACCCACTTGGCTAACGGTGTAATCAGCCTCGTCTTGGTCGATAAACACTTTCTTATACCCCGCAGCAGAGGCAGCGTCCGCCAAAAGCTGAGCTTGGCATGTCTTGTCAAGACTGATGAACCAGAATGCGGCTTCATCAACTGTTTGACCGACAGTTAAAAGGCCGTGGTTCATGAGGATAGCCGCTTTGGCTTGTCCAAGGGCCTTTGCAATGCGCTTCCCCTCTTCATCGTCGTCGACGACGCCCTTGAACTGGGTGTAGACAACGTGACTCTTGTGGAAGCGTAGAGCGTCCTGGGTGATCATGTCCAATTCGCGACCAAAGGCGGCGAATGCCTTACCAGCTACGCTGTGAGCATGGCAAGCCGCATTGACCTCTGGCCTCGCCTTGTGGATGGCAGAATGAATGGTGAAGGCCGCAAGGTTGACAGGTTCATCTCCCTCGACAATGTTGCCGTCTTCATCGACCAGGATGAGATCCGACGCCTTCATGAGAGAGAAATGTCTGACAAGGGGATTGAGCCCTTAACATGATCTGTTAGTTCATTGCCTTGTTCTTTTCCACCAAGAGAATTCACACTCACAAAAGTGGTCTGTCAAGATGGGGTCTCGAACAGAGATATGACCTGCAACGCCTTCATCAAATCCCCGGTCTGCGAAAGCGCGGCACGCAGCAGCGAGGTGCTGCTTGCGGTACAGTCTCTCATCTTCCAGGTTATCAAACTTGGGTGGAGTCCTCATCTTCAACTTTCTTCCATCTTTGGTCTTGCCTTGAACTTGAAGTTGTGGTGGGTTTACCTTCTTTTCCACGCCATTGATGAGGACCTTGGTCGTCTGGGCAGCACCAGTTGTAGACAAGACAGCTGCTGGTTGTGCAGCGATTGTCTCAGTTACAGAAGGAGCCATGGTTCAAAGATGAAGCAGTGATGGGTGTTCTGTAGTTGATGTTCAGTTGTGTTCAGGTCTAGCTTGGTAATTCTAGTTGGTCTGGGTCTAGTTGATTCAATGACACCGCCGAGCTCATATACTTTTCAATCATAGTTCAGAGCCGTGAGAGCTCCGTAAATCCGTTACTGAACCCGATATAGACTGGTCACACACAGATCGACTGCTCCCAAAACGTCAGAATGAGGGGATGCCCCGGCCAATGATGAGGAACGCCTCGCGGCTTATCCGATGGAAAAGCTGCCAGGACGCGGAAATACCGGATTCTCGGGCCTATCACCACAACTTAAATCGCAACAACTGTCTATTCGGCTATCACCAAGCCACGAGCTCCTATCTGACATCAATGGCTTGGAGATGATCAGCGCGACTTGTTTATTGTCTACGCATTTCGCAACCAGACAGCGTCATGGCTTGCGAAGTCTAAACACACATGCGCCATCTGTGGATTCATGTCCAAACGCTCATAGAGAAAAGCAGTGCTTAAGTGAAAACCCCAGAAGCATAAGTATTGCCTCTAGAGTCTTTAAGGCTACTCAAAGAGATGCTGGAATTGGCCTATTAGAGAATGACTACCGCCCGGATGTTCTCCGCAAGGCCTCATAGCAAGAATCGGCATCTGAGGACTAGCTCATTCTTTTGGGGGGCATTTTTAACAGAAGATGAGAATTTTGGGAATTAATAATGAGCGTTTGGCGGTACCTTTTCTTTTCTCGGAGCTTTTAGGCACTTTGCTAGTTAGCATCGTGGCTAAATCGCCAAGCCTGTCGCTTTGTTGTGATTACTGAGTATACCACCCACAGTCACTGGTCGGACCAACAGCTCGATTGTGAATGCTTTCCGCTTTCATGGCAATCCTGATGCAAGGAAGCCGGGGCTTGTACAGACCTGCCTCGGCAGTCTCTGTCCGCATCTTGCCAGAGTTTGTGTAGAGTGCATCAGGCTATGTAGCAAAAAGTGTGGATACGACTGGGACTCTCGTTCATGCATAGCTCACATTACATACTTCTGTGGCATGAGTGGTGTCGAATCGTAGAGGACTTGAAACAACAGCGGTCGGTCAAGCTAATCTCGTCGCGCCAATTTGCAATGCGGCTCAGGCGCCGCCCCTGATAACAGATCTGCCGATGCCTTCTAGTGATCCAAAGCTCTAGCCTCTTCTTGGCAAATGGAGCCCAGTGATCAACCTCTGTGCCGCTACAAGCATGCCGGGGGTACAAAAGGCTGCGCCTATCGATTGGCCCTTCAGTGTGTAGGCTGGCCCGGTATCATCGCATCAGGAACATTACCGAGGATCTACAGCGATTGTTGCTTGGATAACGGGGAACTCCCAGGTCCGTCAACGGAGGCCCTCTCGGCCGGTCCGGTCCAGTGCCACTTCCACGTGTATCCCTTTGCCGGGGCCCGCATCTAATCGCGGCATTGGGCATCATGTGCCATGCTTCTAACCTCCCAAGATACGACCAAAACGGCGATCGGACAATGGACTCCGATATCGACGCGGGGTTAAATGCGGAGGGGAAGCTCGCAAAGACGCAGTCTAGAACAATACAGGAAAGTCAACGACAGATAATGCCGGTGGCTTCTGGCAGCTGATCCGGGGTTACAGCGCCGATTCACGGCCGATACAAGATAGGCATTGGTTTGTTCTATCTTGAGATGCAGGATCAACGGGGTTGAACGGGACGCAACCGACGTGGGCTTGATCCACTCGTCTGACCGTCCAATCCGAGTCTTGCGATTTGGTGTGAACCGTCTCGCCGCCGGTCACCTGACCGGTCCGGCAGCATCTTCACCGATGATAAGCCCCTCTAGCTCTCGGTGGCGTATCTTGGGTTGGGTCATGATGTGTATCACTTAGATAGAGGCATGTAGCATTAAATATCCCATCTCGCGCTCCAAAATGAGTGGCTTTTACTATAATCATCCTCATCCAAGCGAGTTTGTTTACTAGTCAAGATGTTGAGTTTTGGCTCTGCTCTCCTCTTCGTCCTTGCTGCCATCGTGGTAGTGGCAGCCAGGCGTTTCTTCTCCAAGCCTCAGGTAGCCCCCAGGCAACCACCCCCTCCACAGCTCAGCAGCACCAAAATAAGCTCACAGCCTCTTCCTGCAACATGGTACGGGTCCGAAAAGATTCATGAGCTGGAGAGAAGAGCCATCTTTTCCAAGAAGTGGATCCTCCTCACTCACAAAATTCGACTACCTGAGAGTGGTGCCTATATCCGCTATGAGGAGGCTGGCTTCAATTTCTTCCTTATCCGAAACAACGAGGGTATCGTCAGAGGCTTCCACAACATTTGCAGACACCGAGCCTTCCCTGTCGTCACCAAGGACAATGGAACAGCCAAAATCTTGTCTTGCAAGTACCACGGATGGTCATATGGTTTCAACGGCCAACTGGCAAAGGCTCCCGAGTATCAGCACCTCAAGGGCTTCGATAAGAAGAAGAACGGACTGTTTCCTCTCCATGTTCATGTCGACGAGAGAGGCTTTGTCTGGGTCAACATGGATGCCAAGCTGAAGCCGGAAGTTTCCTGGGCCTCTGACTTTACTGGTGTTGATCGCCTTGCACGACACGAGCCATTCAACCTCGACGACTACAAGTTTGATCACACTTCTCAAGAAGACATTGATTATAACTGGAAGACTTTGGCCGACAAGTACAGCTCCAACAGCAAGATTGAACAGCTTTTCATGGGCGAAGAGTCGGAAAAGAGCTCCAGGATAATCAGCGACTTTTACTTCCCCAATGCTGCCATGACATTCTCGTAAGTTCCCAAGACATGCATCATATCTGTTATTTATCAGGTGACTAACATGATCAAGGCCTCACTTCTTCATCATGATGCGATGCAACCCTGTTGGACCTGCTCGATCATCTGTAGAGTACGAAGTCTTCAGACACAAGGACGCCAGCGATGAGGACTTCAACCAGGTCCAGGACATCATCAAGCGTGCTTCTGAGGAGAACAAGTCGCTCCCCAACCCTTCTGAGAAGAACTTCAACACGGGCATCCTGGTCAACGAAGCTCCCCTGTATTTCCAGAGCCAGGTCCGCCAACTCCTGGAACACCATAGTGGCCTTGAGGAGGTGGCGAAGAAGGAGATCCGACCGGCTCAGCAGATCCTTGATCAGACCTCTGAGCAAGATGAGAGCCTTTTCTCTTCTTGTTCCGGCTTGTCTTGTGGCAAGCTTGCAAAGGAGTTGGCATGGTAAGAATTGATGTAAACCGGTGGTGTCGAGGATGGCTTGAGTGAAAGGCATGCAAGGGTTCGAAATGGATATGAATAAATGTCAAGGATAGGAGATTAGTGCATATGTAGAGCTAGGTGGCTTTACACGGGCGTTTGGAAAGTTGTAATAATTGGTCTCATCTATTAACGACGCTCTACTCGGCGTTGACTACATTCCTGTTCTCCTTCTCGCTTCTTCGTGAAATCTGGTTTCACTTTCGCTTGAACCGTGAAACGAAACCCCCAAAGCGCTCCTTCACCTCTTTATAGCTGCTTTTCTCCTTCTCCTCCTTCTCCTCTTTGTCTTCCCCATCTAGCTGTAGCGACCTACTTTGCTCCTGTTCTGCCTCTTCCCTCTGCTGCTTGTGCTTCTTCAACTCTGCCTCTGGCTCTAGCTGGGTTGTATTTTCGTTCATGACCTGCTGTGCGAACGAGACTGTGCCTTGACCAGCCGTGGCATCCTCTCCTTCTTGGATCTGAACATCCCCGTGTTCAAAAAGGTCCTTGACCTTGCCAGATCCAAACAATCTCTCGTAGACAGCCAAGGTAGTGCCGAATTCTTTGGCCACACCAACCTTAATGGCGTCCAGTAGCTGCAGTGCATAGGTTTGGCAGTTGTTGGTGATGAGATTGTAGGCCGGCTGTCTGTCTCGAATACTTTGAATGACGGACTCGCCTGAGCCACGTTAGACACTTATTCTAAAAAGAACCTCTATCGAAGAGTAGATATTCATAGAGGATATGCAACTCACCAGCCCGTCGGGTCGCGTCATCGTTGAACCGCGTCTCGCCGACTTTGAAGGTATGCCACTCTTCCCGGTTGATCTTTTCATTCGTGTAAATGACATCAAAGTTTTCGTCCTGTGCACAATAATCCAGTCAACAATGGAAGTCGTCGTTATGCAAGAGAGGAGCCCACCATCCACAATTGGTGAGCATAGTCACCAACGAGCACAGCCCAATGTTGCGTAGGATCCGGATACCGGTTGATCTTCTCGGTAATCATCTTACCCAATCCAGTGTCCTCTGCGAACCATTTTCCGGCAACGCCGCCCACAGGATGCCAGCCAACTTCGACATCACGAAGAGGCCCGTCCATCACAGGGTCCGTCACTGGGACGACATTGGGCTGATGACCGAGACCTGCCGCATGTTTGAGGGCCAATTCTCCCTTGTCGAGGTTCTTCTTGCTACATGAAACGGATTAATCCAACATGACTTGTAAGGCAATCCCGTTGGTGGGTAGCGCCCGAACGGAAGGATGACCGAGGCAAAGGGAAAAAAAAAATGGCGCATACAGGAACTCTGCCACCTTGTCCCTCCTCCTCTCCTTCTCCTTCTCTTCGTCTGACATGACACACTAACAAGAACGAGAAACTGCTTCGAGATGAGTGACGAGCCGCCCTCGAGGGGGATATCAACGACTTGAGAGAAACTAGAGGGTTCAGGTCTCGAGCCGCGCACCCAAGTTCAGGTCAGCAATTCTGAGGGGGCTGAGCACATTCACGTGAGACACTGCGTTAGCAATTTCACGGCTAAGACGGCGTATCGCTGAGTGATGTCAACCAATCACAGCGCGAGCTATTGGTCTGACAGCTGAATCACACGAAATTGGCAATATGCTTCGATGGGGATGACTCTTGGCTCTTGGCTCTTGGCTCTTGGCTCTGGTCCTCTTGCAAAAGTACAAATTGATTGAGTCAGATCACAGGTTGCAATAACGAACGAATTTAGCTAAAAGAGGGTTGGTGTTCTGATGCACCTGCTACGTTGTAGCTGATGAATAATGCCCCAAGAGCTCTTATCTTTCAACCCTTTCCCACAAAGGAATAGCATTCCCATAGTCTCAAGTTCCTAATGTCCCTTCCAAGCTTCCTTCAGCAGCTCTTCAACCTTGGTAAACTTGTAGTCGGGGAAAATCTTGTTCCACTCATCCGACACAGTCCAGACGCCTCGAGTCATGGCGATGAGAACTCCAGCAATGGCCATCTTGGAGAATGACTCGACTTGGTCTTTGGGGATAGAAGGCAAATCAATGCGAGGATAGTTGTCGGTCTTGAGCTCTCCGGCCGCCAGATCCTCCATCTTGAGCCACTCAATCGTAAAAGGCTCTCCTAAAAACGGGATTAGCGCCATTCTTGACTTTCCAACTATCAATAACCTACCTCGGATCTTTTCGCCGATTTTCAGGACCTCCCCGATGGTGATCTTATCTCCCTGGATACCTCCAATGACGGGCCATTCCCCCTCGTAATCAACGGCACGTGCAACCACATGAGCAATGTCTCCAACGCTCGTGTAGGTCATTTCATCGTCCAGAGAACCCTCGACAACAATGGCGTGTTTCTTTGCCAGGTCGATGTTGATCGGGAGAGTGGTGATATACTTGGACGCCTTGTAAGGGTGGCAAAGATAGTCCATGAAAGAGCCTACTTGGAAGCGAGTATACTGGAGAACCTTTTGCCTGGTCAGTACCATTGCCTCTCAGACTATAGGATGACTCGGGTGCCCTACCTTCTTATCCTTGTTCAGATCCTCCAAGTACTGGGCGACTTCAACCTTGCCAGTGTACCAAGGCATTGCATCGAGGGAAGACGCGATCTTGACGCCACTAAACTTCAGTTAGACCATTGAAAATTTGTTTCCGTCGGGTATAGAGAAAAGCTATGTCTCTACTCACGTCGACCACTCGGATGGGGCGAAGCGTGTAACCCCAGCTTCAACCGATGCATCAATGAGGTTCTTTTGAGCTTGGTTTTCCGGGTCTAGGTGAGCTGCAATGAAGGACAGAACTGTGTGAATGCCCTTGAGAAGTTGAGCCAGCTCCGCCTTGTCTTGATAGTTGGCCTGAACATAGCGAACGCCGGCACGAGGGGTGTATTGAGAAGGGTCCTGTGTTTTTGTCAGTCTTCTTTTCAAGCCAGGGGCCCTGCAGAGATGTAATCTCTACCTTTCGAACCAAGGCAGTGATCTCGTGCTTTCCTGTGGCTACGAGCTTGTCGAGAACCTCGCTAGCCAGCTCTTTAACGGCTCAATTAGCAAACGGTGGTAAAGAAGAGTCGAGGCAGACGAACCGCTGGAGCCTCCTGCAATAGCAATCTTGACCATTGTGTCGGTTGTTTAAATACTTGGGGAATAGATAAGGTATTGGATGAGTAGATGGTGTAAGTGGTTGTATTGCTGCTCTAGATAGGCTGGATTCCGGCTACTTATAGCATGCAGTCCTCTTCATAAGTCCATCACGACATGGTTAATAATGCGGCTCAACCCTTCAACTATACGGAGGAACTACATCACCTAATTCACGTAACTAGGCACCCCAGCATTGACCGATGTCAGAGCCGCATGAGGCATGATCCTGGGCTGAGCGACGGAACTGCACTAGCCCGGTTACGTGATCGGGCAAATCTTGACCGACCCAGCGGTGCTTTCGGGCTAATCCAGAGTCTTACAAATCCACAACACGTCAAATCTCACATAACATCACCTAACATCGCACCTCGATTAAGATACACGCCATAGTTTGCGCGAGTTACTTTTCCGACAGATATGGCACCTGCGCGCATCGAAGTTACAAGCGCTGAAGACGAGCTGAGTGTAAGCATGCGTCCAAGGCGGCGTTCCACAGCGAGACGACTAACAAGGCCCCAGCGTCGACGTGAGAGAGGCCGTCGGTCACAAGCTGCCTTTCGAAAACGTCAAGCCCAGGCTGCGCAAGGTTTATCAGATCAGAATCGCCGCCTCATAGAGGGAGTTCAGAAAGCTGTCGATGCAGTGCACGGCGATGAGCGACAAGAGATTCTCGACGCTATCGCCAACTTGGCCAATATCGCTGGCCTCGAAACCAAAGACAGCCCATTGCGGGACACACCGCCGTCCTCAGGAGACGAGGATATCACAATCAATGTCTTGACTGGTGATTTCACTCGCAATTCCAAAAGTTCAACTGGTACTTGCACGCAAATCTCAAGCCCAACACCACAACGTCTTGATTGCGGCATATGGCTCGACCCAATGCATTACAAACGCGTCTCACTCCCACCTCAAGACATCATACCCTACCTAGGTCCCGGCTCAAAGACCTTTGCTGGCCTGCTTTTTTGGTCTGTAATGGATCACAGTCTGAACGGTTGCAAGCATCCACATGCAGAAGCCTCCACAGTTATCAAGACCGGACTAGGCCACTCGACAGCAACCCAAGACGTCAAGGTGTCTTTTATCAGAAGAATGGTTGAGGCAAGACTGGAGTTCAAGAAGACTGGTTCGATTAGTGCAGAGCATGCCTCTGCAGCCGAAAATGACCTGGGCGTGGTCTTGCGTAACCTGGTTGAAACCGATTATCGGGCGAGGGGAAAAGACCCCGACTTGTGGCTGTCCTGTGTCGCCATCGAGCAACGGGTGAGGAGTATTGCTGGCAACAGTGCATTTCTTGTCCTCGAAAAGGCAGTGCGAGACGAAGGCGAGCAAGAGTTGCGAGAAGCACTTGTTCGTGTGAAATGCAGGCTTTCTGACACGGGTGTTTGCTTCGGCGATGGGCCTCGTTGGAATGTAGATGTGGTGGATAGCATATTCCTCGATCCCATCATTCAGGCGATGGGGAGGATTTGATAGTGAAGGGGCGATGAGAAAGAGTTTTTACTCCGTTGTTGAAGATGGCAATATTCAGTGGCAATGACGACATGGCTTCACCCTGCAAATCGAGATATGGCATCTCAAACTCAAACCTCGTGGTGGAGGATAGAAATGCAAGGTATTTTATGTTTCCAATGTGTATGAAGCATCACTCCTCCCACTCGCTTTTGTAAAGGCATCATGTAATACCTATTATATAGCCCGGTCGACTTGCTTGTTACACATGCATTAACCTCATGACTCATTGCTGTCATGGCCTGACTTATTACTCTTCAAAATTTCTAGAAAGCCAATGCGTTTCGCTGATCGCCCAGCAATCCTTGACGAAAGGTCGAGCGCCATGTGTATGTTACTGGATGGGGTGATGCTGGCTTCAGGGGCCCTGGCTCGGTAAAAAGGAGCGGGGAACGGGAAGCATCTTGAGCCAAAACGATACCGAAAGCTGAAAATGGTCACCAAGAGCGCGGGAAAGAGATGCAATGGGACACGGGCGCGGGGGCTATGCCTGATAATCTGGGGGTGTTCAAAATGACAGGTTTCCCCCATGTGAAGGCGTCTCTAAGGCCTCCCAAGACTCCACGAGCTGACACGAATCTGCACTGACACTGCCTCCTGAAGCGGGGATGCAACGCTGACAGGCTGGCGCGTCGGGCCATAGCCCCTATAAAATCATCGTGTTTCCCTCTTGAGCGACCGAGGATAAATGAGTGCCCCAACCAGATCTAAGCATACCGTCTCGGTGACAGGGTTGTCTCACCCGCGGGAGCGCCCTGTACAAGGGTTTTGGGAGCACAGACTGGGTCACGAGGCCACCGTCAGGCACTGACTGTCGCAGTATCGAATGACAGGGGGTGAACCTGATGATGGTTGCTGCCACATGTTGGAATATAATAAGCCGAGGCCTCCCCGTCCGATTTCAGAATAGCTGATTCTTTTGCAAATCTCTATCGAGTATTAACAAGGGAGAAAATGTATAATCAACCTTGCGTCAAGTTCTCTTACCTGTCCTGCCCTTTGCTGCCTTGCCTGGCACAGGACCCGCCACAGAAGGCAACCCAAAACAAACTCATTGATACCCTCGAGAGTCTCGATGCAGGCTCATTTTCTAGCGAGGCGGAGCGGGTTCGTACCATGGAGGCCCTCTCTTTGGCCTTGAGTAGGGTTCAGAAGCCATGGGACACTGTCTGGCAGCACAACTGGGTGAACCCGGCCACCAACGCCTGCGTCAAGACCTTGATCGATGCGGGAGTGTTCAAGCAATGGATCAGGTCTGGAGGATCCGAAAAGACCTCCAGAGAGCTATCCAAGCTCACGGGGACCGACGAGGTTCTCATCAGTAAGTCACAGCTGTCTCTTTTCGCAGGACAATATTAATCGGAGGATAGGACGCATGATGAGACAGATCGCAGGCCAAAACTTGATCACCGAGACTGCTGAGGACACTTATAAGCCAACACCCTGGGTGTACTCTATCGCAGCTGATGAAGCACTGTCAAACACCTATGGAGCGCTCTATAACTTTGTGAACGGTCCCATGTTTAGAAGCCTGCCTGCCTATCTCAAAGAGACAGGGTACAAGAACCCAACAGATCCAAAGAAGTGCAACTGGCAGTTTATGAACAAGTCCGAAGCCACTTTGTTCGAGTCTCTTGGTTCTAATGCTGTCGCTGCCAAAGAGTTCAACGATGCCATGCAAAGCCACTCCAAGTACAGCATGACACCCTGGCCTGAAGTCTACCCAACTCGCACTCTCGTGGAAGGTTCTAAACTGGATCGTCCTCTAGTGGTTGATGTCGGTGGCAGCAAAGGCCATGACTTGGCAAAGTTCCACAAGCGTCATCCCGGTATCCCAAAGGCAAGCCTAGTCTTGCAAGACTTGCCTGATATTCTCAAGGAGTTGACAGTCCCTGAAACGATCACACCACAGCCTCACGATTTCTTCACACCTCAACCCGTCAAAGGAGCTCGAGCTTACTTCCTGCACAATGTCCTGCATGATTGGGAAGATCCACAGGCTCTCAAGATCCTGAAAAACCTCACCTGCGTAATGGAGAAGGGCTATTCCAAACTCCTTATACATGAGAGTTTGATCAGCAGAGTCAAACCTTCCCCTCGCGTGACTACTTCAGACATTACCGTGATGGCCTGTCTGGGATCCAAGGAGAGAACCGAGATCGAATGGAGGCGTTTGGTGGAGAGGGCAGGGTTACGCGTGGTGAAGATTTGGAGACAATCACATTCAGTGGAAAGCATCATTGAGGCGGAATTGGCTTGAGCTCGCATGGTTTACCATACTCAGTTGGTGTTATTTCGGTCAGAGTGTATCATTATATTTTCAAGGGTCCCACTAAACAAGTTAAAGGGGTTCTTGTTCAGGCGAAACAGGGTGAAAACGGCCGTTTCTGTATCCTGAGAGCAGGAGTATCCAACCATACCAAGAGTTGACAGAATTATAAGCAGACAGTTCGAATTAAAATTGGAGCAGGGAGAGTAGAGCTATTTACATTTCCAAGCCAATGAGAATAGTACAGAATAACACAGTGGGAGTCCAGGAACAATATCAATCAAGACGAGCCTGTAAACCTACTACGTAGCGGTACACCTAGATGGGATCCGAGCCGATGTTGCCGGCCAACCTTACTGTTTCCCCTCTCCTTGTCTACCCCATCATGCAACTCAAAGCTAATGCATATTGTTCGAGTCATCGAAAGAAAAACGGGCAGTTAGGGTACAAGGGAGAGTGGCCCTGCCATAGTATCCCGTGTTGATCCTAGACAAGTGCCCAAGGGCCGCTCTGCCGAATCGTCCCGAATATGCAAAGCCATGATACAACGCAACGAGTCCTGCTTGTCTTGGAGCCGAGTTGTGTTGTTTGTCTTCGTGTCATGGCTGAGGCAGTGAAGCTGCATGTGTGACGCCACTTGCCAGTTGTCTGTCACATAAATCCTCACTCGGCAACCTACATATGCAGGCCAAGGCCATCCCGTCTCACTGAGAGCATCTTCTCCTCATCGGGCTTGACTACACAAGCAGGCTGGCTATGTCTCAACTTGGTGACTCCTAACCAATCACGCCAATCCAGCATCCCACCATCGTGTTCCTCTGTGAGGGGCTACAATCCCACACCCTCGAATGCAGTCTGAACATTCCCTGGCCAGTCGGTACCATGTATGCGATGGAAATCAAGGGTATCTATCAAATTTGCTACTACGGATGTTCTTGCACTTCTTATTAATGCTCTCTTAGTGGATGTTTTAACCCTAACCGCGGCCCAGCTCCAACGCCTCTTGGGGGCAAAAGTGGTCACCAGCGTCGACGTTGTGAAGCTATACTTGGCCCAGATCTCAAAGCACAACCACGCAGGCCTTCACTTGAATGCCATAATTTCTGTCGCCGAGCACGACTCGCTTATAGCCCGCGCCCAGGAGCTCGACTATGAACGCAGTCAAGGAAGAGTGAGGGGCCCTTTTCATGGTATCCCCATCATTTTAAAGGTCGGTTCGGTCATTGGGGCAGTCGTTAGTCATTAATCATGGACAGGACCTTTGCAACACGGTTGACTTACCAACAACCTGTGGATCATACGCATTCAAGCAAGGCAGGCCCAAGAAGAACGCCAATCTTATCAACACACTCAAGGAAGCCGGATTGATCATTCTGGCCAAGGCGAACCTGAGCGTGAGTCCAAATGTTCAGACGAATCATGAAATACTAATTGAGCGAAGGAACTAGGTAATGCCAAAGGCTCGGATCTCATGGCCGGGTGGTCTGCTGTCGGAGGTCAGGTTCGTTTGCAACAGGCCCGTTCGGCTGCTTGCTCTACTGATCAATACCATCAGACACAATCGCCCTATATCAAGGGGGGCGTCGCCAAGAACGCAACATGGTTCACCAACACTGTCAGATCTCCCAATCCAACCTCCTCTTTTACATCTGTCACTGACACCTGGCTAGGGCCCTGCAGGCTCTTCATCGGGCAGCGCTGTTTCTGTTGCTGCCGGCTTTGCTCCAGTGTCTCTCGGCACTGAACTCAACGGCTCCATTATGATGCCAGCCGCCAGAACGGGTTTATACGCCGTTAAGCTCACCCCTGAGAGTGTCGACAATGACGGGTTCCAGCCTGGAGCACCTGGCTGGGATAGTCAAGGCCCATATGCCAAAACGGCGACAGATATCGCGACGCTCTCGGCCATCCTGCAGCTCCACGACCCGGGTTACTATCATCCACTGACCACGTCCTGGAATGGGCTCAAGGTAGGTTTTGTCGATCCCACGCTGTGGCGGAGCGATCCCACGGCCATTGAACCGGTGGAAGGCTTCTTTAATCAGACCGACAATGCTCTGTTCGCTGCCCAAGCAAAGATTGAGGAGTCGGGAGGCAAAGTGGCTCGATCGGTGCCAGTTGCGTCATGGGAGGATATCACCGGCGCGATGCCCGACTTTTCGCAAATGGAGGAAATATTTCGTATGTTATCTGCTTCATCCAGTGCACATTCTTGCTGACGTCCACCAGCCTTTCAAATGAAGCGACGATTCCCCAAGTTCCTCCAGCTGTTTGATAGTGTTCCTCAGACCCTTGAAGAGCTCATCAAGTTCAACGAAGATCATGCCGACCTGGAGTTTACTGAACGTTAGTGACAAAGATCGGCATACGTATGCCATCAGACTAACGCGAATTCTTAGGGGATAACAACCAAAAGGGGCTCGAAGCCGGACGCGATACCACCATCACGCAGGAACAGTACGACCGCAACTTCGAGGCTCTACGTGGAACCGCATCTCATACGCTACTCGGCATGATGAAAGAATACGATGTCGATGTGCTCCTGGGACCATGTGACTCGCGATTTAACAGTGTGGGTGCTGCGGCCGGGTTCCCTGTTGGCAACCTCCCACTCGGGTTTGCCGACTTTAATGGGCGTCCCTTTTCGCTACATGCCATTGCACCTGCCAATGAAGAAGCCAAGATCTTTCAGGTCATGTCGGCTTGGGAGGCGTCGTTTCCGGATAATGTCCGCCCACCTCCCTTACTGGTTGATGGTGCATTTCCTCTGCAGCAGATTGTGATGGAGGATGTCAATTAGATAGACGATGGTTCAATCCAATCACACGTGAGGACCACTAATCGAGATCTTAACCTGAAAGCATCTTGTCTTGACCATGAGTTTGGTGATCATATTGATGTTTGTTTGAAATGCTTGTAGAAATTTAATATGTACATCAGAAGATGAAGTCCCAACTAGACTTTTTTCACCCCATATGCATGCATGCCGCTATCAGAAAGGTACGCCGTTATATCCATGCAATTTCAAGTACATCATCAGGTTCCCTCTCTTTTTCAGGGAAGCCGTAATTATTTGTCAATATGACAATCGCTCTCTCCAAGCTCTCGTGATTGGTAGGAAGTTGCTTAGTTCAAGACAAGACCGGCAATCAGAGCAATGGCGCCTGCGTAGCCGAAGGAGAGGGTGCTGGCGGCATTGGTCGATTGGGCAGCACCAGTCTCGGTTGTTGTCGAGCTGGATTCGGTGGTGCTGGAGGTTTCGCTGGGAGATACGCCCTTGGCTGAGCTGCTGGGCTCTCCAGACGACTGGATGACCTGATCAAGCCTGATATGCGTTAGTATGCTAAGCTGTAGCGAATGAATAAAGTGGCAACTGACATGTGGATGAGGCCGTTGTTGGTGATCACGTTGGCCTTGATAACCTTGGCGTTGTTGAAGTAGATGTCGTCACCCTTGAGGAAAACGCGGACGGTAGTCTTGTTAAGAGTTCCGATAACCATTCCGTCGGTGAGATAATCGGTGTAAGTGACCTCGTCCAAGGTGTGGGCGCTGTGAAAAGAGTGTCAGCAGTGGTTGGGGCAGAGATTGAGCTGGCAACCTACAGGAGCGCTCCCGTGAGCTCCTCCTTGGACAGCTCGCCGGCGTCCTCAAAGGCCTTGGTCGAAGGCGCAAGGCAAGTGACGTTCTTGGAGTGGTCAAGGGCAGGCCAAAGTCCGGTAGCGTTCAAAGCCTTGTCCAACCCTTCGAGCCTGTCGTCCTTGGCTGTGACTGTGCGGACGGTGACGGAGCAGGGCCTAGGAGGGAGAAGAACGCTAAGGTCAATTGTGTCAGAGAATGTCCAATGTCCAAGTCCAGGTGAGTTTGAACCTACCTGTTGACAACCTGGAAGGTGTTGGCGCCCTTGGGTCCCCATTTGCCATCAACGGCCGTCATCTTGACATCCTGGGCCAGGCCGGATCGCAGGTTCACCTCATCTCCCTTAATATCCTGTCGCTTCTCCTTCTTGTCGCTCTGATCAACCTTGGAAGCAAATACGACCTGACCAGTCGCTTGCTTTCCGAAATCTTGAACGAGGTCGGGTCCAGCAGTTCGGTTGTTGAACTCTTCGCTCTGGAGCAGAGTAGGGACAGTCTTTCCCTTCGGGTCGTCGAAATCCGAAGATTGGAGCGACGCGGCCATAATGTGGTAGGAGAAAAAGACCTGGATATCATCCTCGTTGAGCGCAGTCACGTCTGTGACTCCAGCATTCTTCAGGTACTTCTCGATAGCATCGTTGGTGGGGACGAGGACTGTGATGTCGGTGGACTTTTCGGAGAAGCTCTTGGTGAGTCCCTGAGGAGCAGCGCCGATCAAGGAACGGAAGAGGGAGAGAGTAGGGTAGTCGGAGATGGCGTCGGATAGCTCTTGGGGGAGGGATTGAGCGCCCACCAGCGAAAGGAGGGCGAAGCTGGCGGCGGCTTGACACAGTGAGGAACGCATTATGGTGGAGGTTCTTGGTGGTTACGACAAAGACAAGCAAGACGACAGCTCTCCAATTTGGGCAGCCCAATCTTTTATGGCGACAAGGAGCTCACGATCACGGAAGCAACCGGCAGCAGACTAAACTTGGCGCAGGCCCAGGCTCAAATAGTTGACAGCAAATAAGCAGCTCAACCAGACAGCCACAATTGAGGCTACAGGCGTAATAATTACAGCAGTTACAGGGCCAAGCACTGCAGGAGCACGACCCCAGCCTCAACGGTCAGCACAATGTTCCATCTGGTAGATCATGTGGCGTCGAGCTGAAAATGAGCAGACAGGGATGGAGCCAGTAAGCGGCGACCTTTTTGCAGAACAGCCCCCTGTAAGAGGCACCTAAATTCTCACCCGCGTTGCGCCAAATGTGGTGGCAGCGTGCTACTGGGAGGTCTAGAAGCCGGGGCGCAGCAGGGCTGAGCAGGGGAGGGAGACGAAAATGTTACTCTGGGGGAAGTGTTTTGTCTTACTTGCGGCGGGCGGCCGACCCCAGCCTGATGTCTTGATGCAGGAATGGAACTTTGGGAAGGCTGTTTTGGATGAGGCAACGAAGGAGAATAGCATTGCCAAAAGTAATAGCAAATATCTTTACGGTTCCTGGTGTGGAGGGCGATGACCCGGGGGGAAATTGGAGACGCCTCAAATGAAGCCAGCTCTTTGCCCAAAGCGGAAGGCCTTGAAGTTAGCCCAAAGTCACTTCAACGCCATGGTAATACGAACTCTCCCTGCAAATGCCGATTAGCCAAATCTTCGTCTTTCAACGGAGCTCCTCCTTTTGTTTCAAGCTTCTCCGAGGAGAGATCCGAGCGCTTTACTGCTGTTTTGGCTGATCGACGCAATACTCTAGGGTAGCTTCACCTGAGGATCTTAATGGATTACCACCACACTGACGGGTCCATTGAGGGAGCTAATTTCCAATGCATTTACAGGGGCCAGGTACCACGATAGAGGCGGGTAGCTAATGATTCAGGGCGCTAGCTTTGAATCGCTGTTGCATTTGACTTGAATGTTTCATGCAGGGTCTCTACTCTGATGATCCTAATGCAACAATCCACAAAGTTGATTCCACACCATCGGAATACATTTCATCTCCCTGCTCACTTTTTAAAGGTCATATATCCCCCTAACAAGTCCGTTTTCTTTTCAACCTGGACATTGTGATCACTGTTTTAACCAAGGAGTTCACGCGCAAACACGGTCTGACATGCTGAGAATAGCACCATCTACTTGTCCCATTCGCGCCTAGGCTCTCTATTTATAGTCCGGATCCCGTCCCTTCCAGCATCTAAGCCAACATGTCAATACTATCAAAGCTGACACCTCCACTGAGATACTTCGTGCCAGTGCTTCCGGTCACGATGCTGATGGTCATGATCTGCCACTCGCTCGTGCTCTGCTTGAAGGCGCTGCTCGGAACCGTAAACTCGAGCTTGACATTGTTACCGCGGTAGGTGCCGGTGGTCAAGCTTCGGGTGCTGGCTTGGCTGGTTGCTCCGGGTGTGCGTGCTGACCAGTCGTTGACCTTGATGGTAGGTCGTCCGTTGATGTAAGCCTGGGTGATGCCAAGACGGATCGTGTGCTCCTTTCCGAGCTGTGCCTGGTTAAGACGGAAGTAGACGAGGTGGTTGTTGTTGATGTCCTGCCACATGTATCCGGGGAAGCCATTCGTCTTGCTGGTTCCAACAATAAAGTTGCCGGCATCCCAGTTGGCCAGTCGCTTGTCAGAGGGGTGCATGTACGTGGGCTTCATCACCTTGTCCTCAAAGTTCAGGAAACCTCGGGGTGTACCGTCCCATTCTCCAATGCGCCAGATGGCGTTGTCGTCAGCGGGATCGGTGGCCTTGACTGTGTTGACAGCAGTGCCAGCGCCCTTGTTGATGGTGATTGATCCGGTGTAAACCTCCAGCTCCTCCTTGTACACAGTCATGGTGTAGGTGCCCGGGATAATCTTCTTGATTGACCATGCGCCCTTTCCAGCTGAAGCCACGCCCCAGTACTGGGCCTGGGCGTTGGACAGGCCGACGGTGTAAGTGTAGCCGTCCTTCATGTTGGAGATTCCGACGCCGGAAGCATAGCCACGGTCACCCCACTTGGTCCATCCATCCAACTGTTAAGAAGAGTCAGTAAAGACGCCTAGGCTGTCAGGTGAGCTATACGGGAAGACTTACTCCGAGGCCATCAATCCAGGTCCAGTCCGCGTTGCGAGCAAACAGGTTGGAGTTGGGGGCGCCTCCATCAGTAAAGGTCAAGACACTAGGGCCCTGAAGACCGAATCGCATGGGGTCCGTGCTGCCCATGTTGTAGTAGTAAATGTCGTACAAGTCCTCGCCGGTTGCATCGGCTCGGGTGAGAAGAGATCGGAAGAAAGGACCACCGGAAGCCTTTTCGTGGTTGGAGCGGATCATGTATAGACCAACCTTGCCGTTTGACTTGCCGACGTAGTCGTCTGATGACAAAGTTAGCTTGAGATGCACCTGAATCTCCTGGCTCGCTTACAATCCATGGTGCGTCCGTAGGTGTTTCCCTGATAGTGCTTGCTCTTGGTGATGCCGTTGCTGTTGATGCTGACGTCGGAGGCCTCGATGTATGAGCTTCCGGGGTCATAGTAATCTATACTTGTCAGCATCTCTCTTTTTGGTCTGTAAAATATCTCGAAGACTTACCGGCGTCGGTCGAGGCATGGCTGAAAATACCAGGCTTGATGCGCACAATGTATCGCATGGCCGAAATGCTAGTATCGGCCTTGTTGGTGAACAGGTAGACATTGTTGTTCTTGTATCGCACGACAATGTAATGCTTAAGAGTTCCGTGCTGGACCGAGACCTTGATGACATTGCTGCCGACAGAAGCAATAGAGACGGTGCTGGCTCCAAGACCAGATTCGACATGGCTGATTGATTTGTTAGCATCGCCATTAATAGCATGCCGGATTTCTCACTCACGTATTCTTGCCGCCCCAACCGTTAAACTCCTGGCCCTTGTACTTGAGCGAGTTGATGTCGCCGTTGGACTTGCTGACGCTGATGACAAGATCAGCCCCTGAGTCAATCACGTAGTTGCCATTTTGATCATTCCAACCCCAGGCTGCGGCAACAGCCACGGGCCAGAGCAATACGGCAAAAAGAGTCGTCAAAAGCAACATGTTTCAGACTGAGCGATGTGCTGTGAGGCTCTCACAAGCTCTCAATGACCCCCAGTGGCTCTTATATAACTTTAAGCACAGGCCTAGGTCGCTACATAGCCTCCCTAATCGACTCATCACATGAACTTTATATCGTCAGGCCA